TGTTCACAATGTGAATTTTTACCATTGTGTGACCACAAAATTAATTCACACATAAACGGTCGCATTGCATAATGCAGCGTGTGGTAAAATTGACTGTTTGTTTTCGCTTCTGCCGTCTGTATTTCGTTTTTGTTCGTCGTCGTCGTCGTCGTCATATTTGCCGTGTGTCATATTGTCGATTGTATTATGTGAATTATTTTGTGCGCTTGTGTTTCGATCCATTCAAAAAAGGGCCCATTCAAATGAGATGCTTTTGTTTTAAAACAAAACTCAAAAAAATCTTTCAAATTCCGCAAAAATCGAGGAAAAGTATTCATTATTTACGATTCGATTTATTATCTATGATCTGATTGGTGACAACTGTTAACATGACAAATCACCATTTCTTGTCCAATTACGACAAACCAAACGAGAGGAGCCCAATCATCATCGCTAACGACGTTGCTTGATCGAATCGGGCAAAAACAGCAACAACAATTTCTCTCCGATGATTTTTTTCATAAGTGATTTTTATATAGATACAACGCGCGCGCGCGCAAACAGTTTCTCGTTTTTCTCCCCTCGATCTCGTATCAAATTGGCTTTTATCACGCGTGTTGGCTTTTCAATAGATGAAATAATAGCAGCAGCATGGCCAAACACGACACCAAAATATAGTGGAAAGTATTTTATTTTTTCGTTCGTTTCTTCTTATTCCGGATGAAAGATTTGAGAATGAAAAACGATGCAGCAATCGAAATGAAAAATGGATGTCGTGCAATCAATTAAATCGACGCCAATCTAATCCCGTTAATAGCGTTCGTTGTTATTATTTTGGTTTTCGTTTCGATCGTAAAATTACTGTAATGACCGCAACGAGCCGCAATCGCTGTTTTTTTGCGCTTCTTCTTCCATAGCTTATTTGGACAATAGCGCAATCAGTAGGAAACGCAATCGTACAGCATCAATCTAAAGATGATCCGCACTTGGATCATCTCATCCAAGGAAGGTAAATTGTACGAAATTTCAACAACAAGCGGGAAATGAAGCGAAAAATTTCGGTTTTTTTTTTGTTGTATTTGAATTTTTTTTAATTGACTTAAACAACGAGAAAAAAAAATTCGTTTATGCGGCACAACAATGTGCAATATGAAATTCCATTATCACGAAAGTTTTTTTTTCTTTGCATGCTTCACTATTAGATCGTGAAATATGCCGAAAATGACCACTTGAAACAAAACGAAACAAAGAAAAAGAGAAAAAAATCTGCACCGATTATCGACATTTCCAATTTTTTTTTCATTCCATTGATAGAAAATCGAAACGGAATTCGACAACTTGAAACACGCGCAGCGTTAAGAGCATGGCGAAAATATATTTTCTCTCTCTTGAAACGTAAGAGTGTTTTGTGTGTTACTTGTTAAAAGGTCGTGCAAAAAATTAAGAGAAAAAAAACGACCGAAACGGAATCACGGAATGTGACTTTTTCGGTGATATTTTCAGATGCACAGCTTGTCACGCCAACTTGACTAAATGTGTGTTTCTTTTCTCTCTTCTCCTTTAAATTAGCGTTTATAAGCACTGCAAAATTTCAGCATCGGCCTACGAAGCGACGAGACTTTCCGCGTAGAAAATCATGTGATCTTAAGCGATATGCAGTATGCGAGCGTTGCAAGCGTAATGAATGAGCATGCAGCAAGTTGCTGCCATATTGGCAATAAGAGTGATTTAATGTGGTTTGCATGCGCTTGACGAACAGATTGGCGTTAAATACTATGCAAAAAAGCATGTAAATAGTAATTTATTTGTGTTTTATTTTTATTTCTGTTTCGTTTTGAATTTTTCTTTCGTTTGGGTGATAGCTTGATAGCTAAACAGCCAGTTTTGATTAGATGAATGTTGTGTGATGTTGGCAATCTCTTGCAATTTAGGAATGGATATCAAAGATTAAGCACACCAGCATTCATTTGTCAGCGGTGTGTGTGTGTTTTTGAAGAGACGGCCTATCTCTAATGAGATGAGCCCAAGCTTTCGAATTGATGCTCACCGACTGCAGTGATGGACACCTGTATGCTGTTGTTTCATACTGTCGATCTGCTGTGTGCGCTTACACTGAAATCACAGATGAAAATGAAAAGTAACAAGTGCATAAGATGTCAGCTCGGTGGACTGTCATGTGTCTTTTTCACTGGGATATCCGTCATTTCATCGGGTTTTCAGTTTTCTACCTCGTATTCCATTCAAAAGCACAGCCATTTTATGACATGAAATCTGCCTGTATCTCCATGAAAATAAACTTTGTGCCACTTTTCATTTCGATATATTATTCAATAGCAAGACGCGCATATCGCTCTGCGCTTTTTATGGAAATCGAAAGTTTTGCGCGCGCAAATCTTCAGCTTCGCACTTGAAATATGGCCACTGTTGTGATATGAACTACACTACGTTGATCGTCAAGTCACGGTAAATTACAATGTAATTGGTAAACAACTTATTTGCCGAATGCAAAAATTCAATCGAATTTACTGGACGCCAAATTGACCTATTGCAAAGGCGACGTGCGCGCACGCGCGTCAACCATAATACCGTATAATAACCTTCAGATATCAGGTGACAAAATGTCTAATAAAGTCATATTTTAAACAATTTTTTGCCCATAATAATTTCTCTATTTCCACATAATTCAATAACGGTTCGAACGACGACAACGACAAAAACCCAACAACAGCCGATCGAATCTACCGAATTAGTGTCAAACGAAAGAAAAAGTTGTTTCGATTGGCATTTATATGTTATGCGTACGGTTGCGATACAAATATTTGTTCGATAAAACATAGTTATATCCATATCATGGTATTATAAAATGAAACCGTAGAGAATGAGAATCGTTATGACTTCGTCGCCAGTTCATTTTCATAATCGAGTTTTTGATTTCAAGGACATTAATTAACAGTCACACACACATACACACACACACAGTGCATTTAATATATCACGCTGGTGGTGATCGAGTATTATCGGTCTGACCACAAAAATATTTCAATCGATTGACGTGCGACTAATTTACATGAAAATAGAAATATGAAAACATAGATCCGTGATACTTTCATTCTAAAACAATCAATAAAGAGCCATTAAACTTCAACGGGTTTGGATTGCAATACGGTGCTTGTGGTCACCGCTCTCGTCACTTTCAATCGTTGATTTCGGCTGTTTTTCCCATTCGGGCGGCTCATCATACTGGTATGACAATTCCATACAGACACACGATGTGATCGATGAGAGCGAAGGTAAAATATAACTTTGCCCCTCAAACCGCACCATCAACAATCAACGACAAAAAAAAATATATAGTCACAACATTTCTTTCTCGTTTCTTACGCCGCTCATTTACTGCGGTGTATGCGCCTGTGTGCGTGTTTGTTTTTTTCTCTAGCCGTTGTTTTCTATTCGGCACAAGTACCGAGTCTCCAAAAGATATTTATTACTTTGTATTCCGAGCACCGTATCGCAATCTCGCACAATAACAATGAAGTGTATTTTTCTTCTGTCAGCTTTTTTTTTTCTTTTTCTATTTCTATTTCTTGAGTATATAGTTTTTTTAATAACAACTATTACTAAACCTCTCGAATGCAGTAACCTGCTGTAGAAGCCGTAAAATGTGTGTGCGGCAGTGATATTACGTTAGCTGGCGTAATTTGTAAGTCATAAGACGAATTGTTTTGGAATAAAAACGAGCGAGAAGGAAAGAATAAATAAACAAACAAAGATTGAATTACAATTTTGGTCTTGTACAGATTGGCGATTAGGCAAGAATGAGATTCAAATCAAACACATTGATATTCTTGAAATCGGAATTCAACGCAAAGAATGGAAGACCGGGTGGACGGGAATTATAAAGCTTATTAGGCCTTTTTTTTCTGTGTACGCGGTTGGTTTGTTGATTTAACTCCAAAATCAAAACTTTTTTTAAAGTCTACGGTAACTTGCTATATTTGCATAGATCTCTCATCATTCGAGAAGCCGTCCAACTAGTATGTTGCCGGAGCTGTTGCCATGAGAACTTGCAAGGCCATTCGATTGGAATTTAAATAAAATCGCCATCAATTTTATGTTTGTCTACAGAATTAGTCACGAGGGAAATGTTCTTAATCGTCACTATTTCGACTTCTAGTTTTTGTTCGATTGAACAAGTCGACATCAGTGTTGATTTGCGAATATTTGCCTACTGAACCATTGATCCACAGAAGCCAAATTGATTAAAAATTATGAAAACCAGAAGCCAACATGATACTGTTAACTCTCAAAATAACGCACTTAATCGATTTACTGTTAATTTTCAATCTTGTTCAAGCGACCAGTTAAGTAATTGATATTCCAGCTATTACGAAAATGAAAACCCTCAAACGGTTTTTTTTTTTGGTTTGAGCTAAGTGTTTCGATTGTTGTTCCACTCCGTGTTCGGTTACATTTTATGCACTTGGTGTGTTGAGTGCGTAATTGATCTGCAATCATCGCCGCCGCCGCCGGCGCATATACGAATTTATTTTTCAACAAAAATGGTCGTCCAAATGCCTCTATAAAAGGAAGCCGTCGAACGGTTCATAGATGTGCTCTCTTCGATAAATCAACACCTGGCCATAAAAAAATTCGATTGATTCGCTGACGAAATTCAACAAAAATAGTTGAATTTCCAAATAAAATCGTCACGATTTCCAATACAATGACCCTCTCTATCAATACAGTTTACTCGTTTCTTTTTCTTTTTTAAAGAGCTAATTATGAATTCTCAACAGGTTGGCAACAAATTTCGAATTTGAATGTATAACTGCGTTCGCGAAAAAAAAAAAAAAATTATGACAGTTTATTAACAGCAAGAGACTTCGGTCAATTTTTATGCAAATAGAGTGACGCGCTGCATGGATAGGTGGGTGATATTTAGTTTATTCAAATAAAACAATCGAAATCCATATATTCACGAACGAAGTTCGTCGCGCATGCATTTGATTGTGATCACTTACCGGAAGCATTTTCGACGATTGATTTTTACCGATGAATCCCAAATTATGACAGGATACGTCACTTCAAGTTCTCGGTATTTTTGGACCAAAATTGCTTTGTTTCGATCGAATCACGTCGATCTGTTTTTCGGTTAAAAGTCTCCTCTCACTTGACGTGAATGGTTTTTTTTTCTCGGTTGAAAAAACACTGAAATTGAATCACGTCCCCGCTATCACTTTTCGGTAAAATAAACTCGTTTTTATTTTTGGGGTGTCTTCGTGCAAATATTGTCACAGTGGATTTGAAAAAAAAACAAGATTCGTTTGTTCAATAAGATCTCTTCACCAAAAACTAATTTTCTATGGATTTCAGTTCAATAGTCTCTTTCGTTGACTGTGCTATACAGCAATGATATGTTAAACACATTGTCCGTTTCCGTCGTTAATCTGCAAGAATAAGAAAAAAACGAAACCAAAATTAACTCTCTTTAATTAGTTTGTATGCGATAATATGCATTTAGATTGCAAAATCAATCAATAAATCAATTAATCGATCGAGGCAAAATTGCTGTTGGAATTATATTAAAAAAAAAATTCTGCCAAACAAATCACGAGTGATTTTTTCTTCTACCAGTTCCATTGCATTGATTCGAATTGGATTGCAGTGATATGTTTTTTTTTCGGATTTAGTTCGATAAAAACCGAGAGAAATAAACAAGAAACGGCCAAAAAAGCGGCTTGGAATTTGCTCATAACATAAATATTTCGTTTCTTATCGTGTAATTAAAAGTTGGCAGTTGGTTTGAAAATGGCTTGCATCGGTCGCGTCAGCTGCAAGCTGCAAATCGCACTGAAAACTATTCAATTGTATACGCATGTAGATCGTTGCCTCATCGGTAATGATACTTTAATCGATGACGATGACACATATTTAGCATTTATACAGGCAAACGGAGAGAAAAATAAACGTGCACATTCGACCAATTTGACCAGAAGAGAAATAGAGACACGAATTTTGTGACCCGTTCGTTCACTTGCTTGCTTGTTTACTTGCGTGGCAAAATGCATCGAAACTAGTCTACGTGTGTGACGGCGGATTGCATCAATTCGCATAGTCGACTGCAATTAGCCCATGCCAAAATACTACACCGCGATATGTCATTCAGTGTGGTGCGAGTTGAAATTCCGTTGTCCATTCGTTCAGTTTGTACGCAATTCGGTTTTTGTTGCGTTTCGATCGCGCTGTTGCTGTTATTAAGGTTTGCATATGGTGTGTGTGTGTGTCGTTGAAATCTTTTGTATCTACACAGAGTCACATGAATATGCGTTCGCTCTTAATTCATTTGCAAACATTTGATAGCTAAAATGTTATTTAATGCTGGTCAGAATGGTCAAACAAGCCACACACAAATTTAAATGGTATTTTAGCGAATAAAAATCACCGCACAACACACACACACACACTTCGCATATGGAGATGTTTTGTATGTTATGTTGTGCTGCTTTTAATCGTCGAATTCATTTTGGATTTGCTTACATTCGCTCGCATATTTTTGGAATCAATTTATTGTGGAATGATGTGAATTCAGCTTGATCAATCCGCATTTTTGTTCGATTTATAGGTCGTTTTCGGCGAATCAAGTGACGTGTGTTCGCTTATCATCGATCAGCTCAGAGTGAAATGTTATTGCATAATGATTCGGAGTTTTTTCTCTTCAACTTTATTTCAACAAAAGTGATTATGCCCAATTCAATACAAAAAAAAAAAAAAATACAGGATATTAAAAACATTTCAATTTGTAAGATGAGTGCCAAAAAAGTCCAAAAATATCTGAAACAAGTGTCTGAAATTGAATATGTTGCGGCTAAATGGTATGTGTACGTCTTGGTTGGGCGTGTCAACCGAAAATTTTCGATGGAATCTTCATAAATTATTCAGTTGTATACAAAATCGGCAAAAGAAGCACAGAATCAACAATCGATGCCAACAACAAAAACATTACCTAAATACATATGGGAACACAAATCACCTGGTGCTTTTTTTTGTCTTTTCGCATCGAAATATGTACAAGATATTATGCTGATGTTTGTTTTTTCATACATTTTTTAACAATCAAAAATGCTGGGATTATTATTTATGACTCTGGTCATATCATTGGATTTGTGATCGTTTAAATTCTGAGCCTCACTGACCTAAATCCGTGAATTATCACACACCCATTTGATGGAAGTTACAAAATTGTATTCGATGATAAAAATCAAGAGTGTACTCAATGTTTTCAATTGCTGTACGCCTAACGCCCCAATTTCAGGCTCTTCTTTATCAACAAATGACGATCAACACCTTCGCGCGTTATGTGTGAAAAAAAGATCTATGTTAGTCAGGCTGCCGCCAAAGCGATTTTAATTCGTTTCGAAAAATTAAGAGTTTCATAAAAATCCGTGTGAAATATGTAAATATGCAATCACATAAATGGCAACTATTAGAACCTGTTTAGATTATTAGTTTTTTTCTTGCACTTTTTGTCACTTGAGAATGAGCCACGAGAAAAATATTTGATTGCTATTTAATTCGGCGATTTTCTTGCATACACTCAATTACAGAGAATGAGGTACTTTGCCAAGAAAAAAGTGTGTGCACGCGCACTGGAAAACAATACCACCTTTTAATGGCCAATTAAAAGTGGCTGGTAATTACAGTCGATGTTGTTATATTTCTATCTCTTTAGGTTTCAACGCCGGTGTTGCGATCGTGCGGGTATTTACATTGTAAGTAAACACCACAGAGGCAACAGGTATCTATTTACATTGTCGTCGCTTTTTTTCTGCTCTCTCGTTTCGTTTCGGATGTGGTCCATTTTAATGAAATGGATTTTGCGATTTGATTTTTTTTTTTCAAATTGATTCCACTTCTGTTGCATTCGACACGTTAATGTCAGTTTAAGTACAGTCGAACAGACTGTTTCAATTAATTATTTCTAGGTTAATGTTAATTCGAAATTAAATGGGTTTCGAAGTTTTGATTGAGGTGTTCGTTTACATGTCATTTGCCAGAGATTGGTCAATGGCACAACCTGGATAAATAGACGGAGCGGTTTTTTCTGCTCTGATTTTTTCGCACGTCCTAACTCCACTTGAATTTTAATTAAATGCAAAGTAAATAGATTTTTATTGCTCGTCCTTAGCGAATGACCAACCTTAAATTGTTTCGATTTATTTTGTTCGATCAGATCATTGGAAAATTCTTTACAGCTTCCTGACCTATAATTCATACAATTTTTGCGATTCTGGTCGAATCATGAATATGTAAATGAGTGTGTTCAACACGATTTTTTTTTGATCGATCGACCGATCGATTTTGTAACGGCTCAAACGGTTTTTTGTTGTTCGATCGATGATTTATCAATATTTTTATAATTCAAGTTTATGCAGAATGCATGCAAATGAGATCTTTCGCCCGGAGATTTCTCGCATTCGTGCGACACATAGAGAGAGAAAGAGGTGAAGTGTATGATGGACATGACGTAAACATTCATGACCTTATTCGGGTATTTCGTCTCTCTCTTTCTCTCTCTCTCTCTCTCTCTTCCTCTTTGTCTTCTCTTTTGCATTATGTAAAAAACACGTTGCGATTGAGGGAAAAGTGGGCATGCAGGAATTCTGCAAGATGTCTAATGGCCTTTGTGGCCACGATGATTTGATAACATCTCGGAACCACACTAAAAACCCGATTTGTCACTTAAAACTGATTTTTTTGAGAATTTATTACAATTTTTTTGTTGAAGGATCGATTTTTTGTCGAAGAGGTAAGCTGTCGAAAGGTCGATTTCATAGGCAATATTTTTTTTAGTTCGATTCGGCTGGCGGCGTGCATTTATACCGGTTTTTATGAATGATAATAATTCAGTCCTCACGAATTTTATGTTATTTTTTTTTCGTTTTGTTCAAGAGCCATGGTGCAATCGCCTTTTTTCCGAATTATTCGGAATTTTAAATGGCACACAGGGTCTGAACCTGTTTAAATGTGTGCACGTATCCGAGCAAAAATTATTAACGCCACGGATTAGGTAATATATTATAAAACATAGTGCATAACTTGGATGGAAATGAAGAGAGAAAAAATACAGACACACAAACATGAATAAAGACGCCCATGCATTTAAAACGCGGGATTTTGATCAACTTCATATTAATCAATAAACCATTTCGATGGATTTCCGACAATCGGTCGGTTTTTCAGTGGTGGAAAAACTCCATGACAAACGAAGCATAAATTTTACTTGAGCGTACCGAACGAACGAGTAAGCGAAAAACAGCTTATGATTCGCGAGTCTACCACTTTGGCCATGAAATATTCTTACAAATATTAATTACGCACGACAGAAAAAAGCCGCATGAAATGCACATTTTTTTCTCCCAAGAAGATTCAACGCCAAGTAAGTGGCAACGCCAACGTTTCTCTCACCCATACACCGCATCGAATTTAGAATAAAAACGATTTGATATTCTTGGCGAAACGAAAAAAACGCATTTAATGCGATATTCTTGCATTTTTTTGCCACACGAAGAAGAATGTCATCATATTTCTTTTGACTAAATTCCCAATCCACACATTTAGCCAATTCAGATATCATGATTTACATACAATCGACTCGCGCATGTGTTTTTCTTCGCTTTGTGGTATTTTTCGCTCGTGCAATTTAACGAGTGAATGAACTTAAAGAGGCTGTGCCGAGCGAAAGATTAAATCCAAATTCAAGGGTTTGCATTTTTTTTCTCTCGTGTTCGATTGAAAATTCTTCGTCGCTCATTGTGTTGATGAAGCGATGTTAAGTGGCGTTGATTCGTGTATTGATTGCCGCGTGTGTGTTGATCATGCCGCAAATTTGTTTGCCGAACGAATGAGTAATTTTATTGTTTTCGTTCCAAATTGTCAATTTCCACACCTCGTGAGCTACAAAGAGGAAACTGGAGTAGTTTTTATGGTGCGTTTTCTGTTTTTTTTCTTTATTTCGCATGCGATGAGTATTTTGGAGATAAAATCCTCAACCAAATCGACGGAATATTATATCATTTGGATTTGAGTCGCTTTTTTGTGTTCGGTCTTTTGCGTGTGGCACAAACAATTCAAAATTAAGAGCGATTATGTTGATCGTGTTTGTTGAGCGATTATTACGTTTGATGCATTAACATGATTCGCACTGCAGAAGAGAGAGAAAAAAATCTCTTCGTGTGTATTGGTGTCCTATATTTTTGTGAGCTCGAGACGCTACGGTTTGTTGTTGTTGCTTGTTTTGTTGGCGTTGTGTTTTTTTCACACGATTTACAAATGACACAAAGTCGTTCACGCTGCAACTTCTTAGAGTGTAATTAAATTCTATCATAATTTTCGTCTATTGCAAAAATGGCCAATGGGCAAAATTACGACTCGTTAGCTCTGGGTTCGCATGTAACAGACGAGATGAAAAACAAAAACGACACAAACGCTTCGCGTTGAATACGAAATATTGAAATTAAATATTAATTTACATGAGATTTTATGCACAAATGATACAGATTGGTTTTTGTTTCATTTTCTTTTTTATGCTGATTTTTTTTCTTTTAATTTTAAGCCCTCGAAAATCTGTTGGCGGCATTATCATTCCGGTCGCGCTATTGAAAGGAGTGGATCCGCAACATTCGATCCACTTCGATTTGATCTGATTTTATGTTTGAATAAAATCATCTTATAAAAGCATCTCACTCTCTCTCCATCCGGCGAACGCACACACGCTCACTCGATCGACTATCACCATAGATGATTCGTTTAATAATCGCGATTTTCAATCAGCAAATAGAAAGTTTTTTTTGTGTTGCACCATGTAATCGACTCAATTACTATTCATTGATTCCAGTTTTATAGATGCAGTCACATAATTTTCTTTTAAATCGAGCCTTTTCATTCCATTTTAGAGAGCACATCTTCTATGCACATATTAAATACGATCCGTGTTTGTTGATTTTATTTTTTTTTCTCTCTCGTCAATAAATGGTGTCGTGAATCGATGCTATGCGATTAAATTATACACACAAGGGAAAAAATTAGCCATTTAAAATAATCACCGAAAAGAAATAATTTTCTATCGAAATTTAGGTGATGAGAGAGTAAATTTTCACTTAACCAATTGTTTGGCTAAATTCACTTCGGGGTGATTTTTGTTTGTCGGTGTGTCAGTCGTTAATTATGTGTTCGTCGAGAGTTTCGTTTGCCTTCGCCGTTTAATTGAGAATAATTACAAGAGATTTATCAACGCCCGTCTTCCGACAAGATCATGACGAAATCGGATGGTTTTTTTTTCTGCTCTTCAACATTTTCGATCTAGATTGATGTCCAGCTCTCACACAACGGTACCAAACTGCTAATTGCCATTGTAATTCGTCAATTATTTCGAATGTGTATTGTGAAATCAAGTACATGAATATTATATCATTGTCCACTGCGAATTTTTCCGAACTGGATTTCACAATAAAAAGGTTATCACATACTACAGCGCACGGAACATTTTTCATTTTAAAACCAACAGAATTTTGAGTTTTTTCCTTTTAAACTGATTTTCTTTTTACCTCCAATTTGCCGATTCGCCAGGCAAGATAATATTCAAATTTTTTTTTTTTAAGTCACTTTTTATTAATTCTTGAACAGTTTTAATTTCTTTCTCTAAAACATGTTTCGCTATTTTTAGCTCTCGCTGTGTCACTTAATTCCGCTTCGTGAACGATAGACGTTGGTAAATTGGTTGATCATGTCGAAAAATCCATCACTTTAATCATTTTACTTGGTTGGTGTTTACTTAAACAACAACAAAAAAAACGGTTCACTCGTACGAACGAGTGTGGTCTTAGAAAAACGTCTTATACCCAATGTGGTCACCAATGCACTGAAGCTCATACCAAGCGTACCGTCTTTCGTTCAGCCAAGAGTCAGTGCCAACTGAGCGTACCGTTGAATGTGTTTGTTTGTTTGCAGATACATACACACGGTACGCAGAAAAAGCTGGAAAGAAAGAGCGAACACGGCGAAGCTGATGGAACAGCTTTTCGTATGTTCCATTGCCGAATCAAGCGTAAGCAACACACAGACACAGTTGAAGCTTGAGAGCTGCTTCGAACACATGTTATCACGAGAGAGACACGCTTGCTGTTGATGTGTGTGCATGCACAGTTTGAGAGGGGCTTTGATTCAAATCACTGTTTAGATTTATGCGGACGGATAACGTGGCTCATTCAAAATGCATCGCAAAATTGCTAAAACGGTGAACAAAAATGCTGACATGGCAAGCAAAAACAATTCATTTATGGTATATAATATCAATGACAATGTTTTACCGTTTGAATTAATTTCATATCTTTGAATACATTTCATCAATTTCGAATATGCTCGGAGTTTTCGTTTCTCTTGACACCATAAATATGAGAGCGTTTTGTGTTTTACAATTTAACTGAATATTTAAAATCGTTGACTGCAATGTCCAATGCATAGTTGGATGGAAATAATTAAACATTATGTCGCAACTAGTTAGAAGAATATTTGTATCATTCAACTTGATGTTAGAACAATGTCTCCATAAAATATTCACATTCTAATGGCAAAATTAGGTAATTGCAAGTGGGTGGGTAAAGTATGATTGCTCATGTCAAATTGCAACACGTGCGAACATAATGTCCTTCACCAAAGTATTCATAGATTGATCGAAAGTGTTTCATCCCATGATAGCCAACAACGGTCGGTTAATCAGATGTAATTTCAAGGCGTTTACAGCAATCAAATTGACATCAATTTGTTTTATATCAGAACATAGCAGATGTGAAAATTCAGTTACATTATATTCAAACCAATGTGATTTTGATACGGAAAATGTGACGCGTGATAAGTTTGAACTTGCATTTATTATAAAATATACATTTTTTTAATGATATTTTCTCATGTTATCAACAAATTGCTGATATTTTAGATTTTATCAGAAAAATATTGTTATTGATTGAACCATGTGAATGAAACATTGTTTCAACATATTATTTAAATTATGCACGAATATTGTTTTCACCTGAGTTTCATTTAGGGAATCAAGTTCGGCTGTTCACAAAACTTGGAAAGTAATGACACTTATCTATTATTCAAGAAGTGTGCAACAATTTCCTCATGTAATTTTCATCTAAAACTTACCTATATAAAAGAAGTGCATTCCACTTCATGAAACATAATTCCGATGGTGGCTTTCGAAATAAGTCGTGCGTTGTTGATATTGATTTGGATTAAATTTGCTCAATTTTAAATTGAGCTGTTGGTCAATAAAAATATACTCTTTCCCAAATAGAAGAGAATAATATTTTCTGGTGAAGATTTGGAAAAATCTATCAGCCTAAAGTGGAAACGTAGCCGATTTGGTGAATCTTGAACACAATTGGTGAATTCAATTAAAATCAGAATTGAAGAAAATCACGTTCAAAATGTTGACACTTCAGCGAAACAAATGGCTGCAAAATTTGGTTGGTTTAGGTACCTACGATCAAAATGTGAGTCCGTTGGCCACAACCCGCATAATTGGCATGAGCATATTGATGGGCTCATCGTTGGGACCGTGCTTTATAAGTCTCGTTCGATTCATTGGAAATGTTAAAGTCGCTACGGAGCTCATGTTTTGTGCTGCAATTTATGTGGTTGTGTTCTCCAGTTTTTTCATTGTAATTGCCAATCGGGAAACTGTTCGTGGGTTCTTCTTTGAAATTCAGAAGCGAGCCGAAGAAAGTGAGCACATAAAAGATTTCTTTCCTGTTACAAAAATTACCTACATTGATATCACTTTCATTGAAGCGATTTTTTCTACTTTTATCATAACTCGCAGGGAATGCAGCACGAAAAGACAATTATTATGCGGAAAACGAGGCCTTTATACATAAGCTGACATTGATATTCTTTATACTAACTCTTGGCGGATCGTTTATGTACGGGTTCTGTCCGTTTTTGGTGGTATTTTACAATTTAGCAGCCAATTCATATTCAATAAAATCATGGAGTTTGCATTACAACAATGTTTGGTGGGTGTTTTATTATTCAGGAATAAAGATTTGGAAAGAAATGAAAAAGATTTATTGAAAAATTTTAGGCTGCCATTTGAACTAAGTACGGCTAGGCGATTTATTGGTGTCAATGTGGTTCAATCGATGTCTTGCTGGACAGGCACTACAATTTTGATAACTATTGTGTCCATGTACTTTGGAATCATTCTGTATATTCAAGCATTTTTGAAAGATTTTGAATTTTATTTCAATGAAATGGACACATTCGCCGAACAAGAGGATCTACCAGCACTGCACAATAAATTCGAAGCATTGATTAAATTCCATGTCTACATTTTGGAGTAAGGGTGAATTTAGTTTTTAAATTGGATTTTCAACTAATTTCTATGATCCTTTTCAGTCTCAGCGAGCGTTTGGGTGATATGATGAAAATGGTCATCTTCGTCACATTTACACCTTGCATTGTGAGCATTTGTGGCTCTTTACTACGCGGTCAATCGGTGAGAATCTTTCTTTTTTATTCGACTTTTCTTTAAGTAATAAGTTAAAAATAATATTCTAATACGTTCGGATGCGAAACATCTTTCAGGCTACCGAGAACATGGAGTGGTCAACGATTTATGTGGCATTCTTTTCACTGTTTTATATCGTTGAACTACTCTTTATGTTATGCTACTTTGGCAATGTGTTGACGACAAGTCTGGAATTGGTCCAAGAATCAGTATACGACTCAAAATGGTATACGTATCCGCTGAATATGCAAAAAGATTGTGCATTTATGATGCGTTCCGCTCAATCGCCGTTTTGGATTAGTGCTTTTGGTATCATGCCGTGTACTTTGGAAAATTTTGCAGCGGTAAGAAATCAAACAATTTTCACGCCTTTTTAATTTAATTTTTATTTTATAAATTCAAATATTGAATTTTAGGTGATTAATTCAGCCATTTCTTTTTTTATGGTGATGAGAACGATGGCTTGAATTATATCAAACACCATTTTTTCAGAGGATTACATCAATCTTCATTGCAAAGAACACAATTACAAATTAACACCGTTTTTGTCAATCGAATTAATTTGTTTTGTGATGACCAATGGTCATTGACCATTCACGAGCAATTCACCAGATGCAGCATGTTTTATGAAGCACAATTTGTACAATTCAATTGCAATGTTTGTATAACCATAACCGAAAATTCGGTCAAGCAAAAGTTTGTTTCAGCTCAAAAAAGAAACATTTTTTTATTCCAAAAAAAGATTTTCGCTGACCGTTCAAAAAATTCGCCAGACTGCAAAGCCAATGTATTTGAATTAAGCATTTGAATTTTATTACACAGCAGCACACGTTAATCAATCAATAAAGAGTATTTTCCGTAAAAATTCCGAGTGTATACAACCAGCGTGGTATTCCAGCGTTGCTTTGAGTTCATCGATACATTGCCAATGTTTTCTTCCACCCTATGATTTGCATTTTGATTGAATTTGCTCAGCGGTTGTTTGGTTTCGGCTGCACACCCAGTGCGTGGATTGCTGCCATGAATGTTTGCAAAGCTTTGACGGTGAACAGAAAAAAAGGAATATGCAATGGCAATGGCAACCGTTCGGTGGGTATGAAAAGCAGAGTTATACACAAATATCAAGAGTTCGCGCGCGGCTTGTCTAGACGCAAAAAGATCGCTTAAACAAAGATTGGGCATTCAATCATCACATTCAATTTCAAACCGAGTATTATTGCCTATTAAATTATATTTTACACTTTTTACACTCATGCTGCAGCGGTATTAGTCCATGTGTATGTGTATGCAGAGCAGGCGCGTACATCGCAGCTATATTTGGCTAAACAATCAATGTGACTTTGTATGTTGCTTTCTCGTGATTGTTTGCACTGTGGCTTTACAATAACAACAGCAGCAAGCCCATTAACGGTTCGAGTGTGATGGTTTTGTGTATAATTTTTCTTGTTCAAAAAAAGATCTCTTTTGCCTCCGAACCAGTCTTTTGCTACTTTTTCGATTAGTTTAGTTTGTGAGCTCACTTTCAATGGGTTTTATGTTCGGAATTGATGTTTCTGTTTCTTTTCTTTTTTTTCGTTCGCTTTATGTAATTCACGCGGGCAAAACTTTATCTCTCTTTGTCAATGGGAACAGATCGCATCGTTTGACGATCGCATTTTTCGATACTTCCACTTTTTACACGCATTTCAGTTGGACGGTGTGTGTTTTTTTATGGGAATCTTTTATGTGTCTACGGTTTCGATGGCTATTGCTTTTGTTCACATTGTATGGGTCGTTTAATTGTGTCCGTTTAAGCACTTTGTTTCGGCTCATTGACGATGAATTATGTGTACGACGTATCGTCGTCGTCGTCAAGCTTGTAATGACCATAGTCTCTCGCGATGTGTTGTTCTCACTCCACCTTGGCGATGTACACGTCATCTTGATTGATTCCACTGTTTGAAATAAAATAAGAATAAATAACGCTTTTTTCGGAAATTACACGACACTTTGTGTCAATGAACATAATTTTACACTTCAGATTCATCACATAGCAAAACGTTTACAATTTCGATGTTGTTTATTGTTAGTTTTTGGTGATACATTGAAAAATGGCCATTTTTGACATGGATCTTTGTAAAAAAAGCGATACAAGCGAGAGATTCGTAGAATTTCACAATTCCAAGAAATTTGCACTTGAAATCAACGGTTTGTTGTTCATTCAAATGCATGTGAGGCGAACGATGTTGATTGACAACGCAAACTGTGGCCAACGGCAACACACAACGTCTTAGCAACAGTAAACAATATGCCACCATATTTGCATTCTGATACATTCGCATTGCTGTAGTGACTTCAGTGTTGACGACAAACGATTCAATTCGAAAGTTAAACAATCCCAAAGAAATTGATTCAAGAAGTGTTGAAATATTTTTCAATATAAATGGAAAAACGAATTAATAAATGCTGTAATAATTCACCGAAAAATACAATGTCGGAAAACATAAAGCAAGCTATAAAAGAAGATACAACGAGTCTGCCGGAAATCAATAGATCAAAAAACCCATTCAATTTGACGAATCTCGAATGGCAGCGAATGGCCAAAAATATTTATGGTCGTTTGGACTATGAACGTGACGTATCAAAGGATGTGCAATATGAGGAGTATTTGAAAAATGGTTCACGTGAGATGACGAAAAACTGGGACAACACGGTCGACAAGATTCGTCAGCGCAAAGTGGCCGCTATGAAGAAAAAAGAGGAACAGAAAAAGGCCGAAGGTTAGAAAACAAAATTCGTAGCAAAAACAAAATGTGTCGCAAGTTTTGCTAATGTTTTTTTTTTGGTCATTTTTTTTGATGGCAGTGAGAAGATGTCTGGAAGATGTGAAGCGACACGATGAAGACACCCGTCGCGAGCGTATTGAATACGCGGAAAAATTGTTACAACGCTTAAAATCCGGACCCAAACAATTGGAATCAGCTTACAAGCTCAGCCAAATTTTGGCCGAACAAGAGCAACAGCGACACGAACGACACAGACAAAAGGAGCTACAATGACAAAAAGATTTAATCGAAGGTCAGAAATTAATTGAACAGGCCGTCGAATGGATTGAAAATCAAAAGGAACACATACGTAATTATCGAAAACGTTGTGCACAGTACAAAGAAGTGTTACAAAAAGACATAAACGAACGAGAGAAACAGAAATCGGAGGCGAGTCAACGACTGGCCGAAATGGAGGAAAAGGAATTGCAAACGAATACGAAGCAAATGCAAAGAGTACTCGATAAAGAACAGCAAAATGCCACCGGCCAACGACTTGACCGACAAAATGCCGACTTTTTATCGAAACAGAATATGCAACAAAGGCGTCAGAGTAATGTTTTGATCAATCATTCTGATTTTTTTAATTCGACAGAAATTCATTTTATTTTTCTCTGTTTTTTTTTTGTCTTTTCTTTCAGGAGACTTGATCAAGGTATGCATTGAACAAAAACGAATCAACAAATATCTCGAACAGAAACGGTTTGAGGAATTCAATCAAAAATACCAGGAGAAATCGAAACAGAAGCGACGGTCTCACTACCGAGACACCTTAGCTAAGAAGCTGTTTGAAAGTCTGCCAGATATAGAAAAAGTCGAAGAAAAGTGCTATCAAAACGCTGTGAAGGATTATGCGGTCAAATGGGACGAGCAAGAAAAAAAGCGAAATGAACATATTGAAGAATTGAAACGCGAACGTATCCATAATCATGCGATAGAAGTGAAAACGATCCAAGAAATGGAACAGAAAATTCAGCGCAATCACGATTTGGAAAAGGCAAAACGTCAACTCAATGAGAAAATCGATTTAATTTTCTATCGTCAACAATATGCTAATCGGGTTCAAACGGCCAAACAGCTTAGGCAAACCATTGATCAGCAAATCGAATTGAACAAAATATCGCGACGAGATGAAGTGATAACAAGCCGAGTCGAAACAAATCATGCCATTGAATCGGTCATACAAAAAGATGACCAACACTTTTTTGATTATGCAAATAAATTGGTCACTGCCGCCAAAAATAAAGGCATTCCCATCCATCCTTTGAAGAAAGTTATCGACGAATATACTAATCAAAATACATTGTTGCCGCAGATTGACGATTTGCCACACATGAAATCACAAATTGACATCGGCATTTCACTCGAACGAAAATATGCGATCAAATGAAGAGATAACAATTCAAATGTATTTCATTTCGTTTCGATGGAATAAAATTGAATGAAACAGCAACATTAACTGGTTTTACTTTCGAAAATACATTTGAATGGTTTTGAAAACTTTTCACGGTTAGTCGCAGCGGTGAAAAAGCTTGTTCAGGTAAAAGCACCGAACGAAATTATGGAAAACACTGTACGGCACATTCTCTTGAAAATCAACGATTTTACTTCGTTGCAAAAACTCACTTCGATTGGATTCTTCTTAGTATTTTCTTTTGTAAATTATTTTTACAATAGTCAATAGAAAGTCAATAGAAATGAAAATTTTGTGAAATTTGTTTCTCAAATACGAAATTCGCTCAAATATTCGAAGTTATTCTTTCTTTCTAAATCCAATGAATTCTTTCTGATGGATGAATGACAAAAACCCACTCAAGAAGTTTTGAAATGAACAAAAAGATTACGAAATTGAGTGGTAAATCTCGATCATTCAAAAGCTAAACCCTCAAGTACATGATTTTTTTTCTTCTTTCCATCATAATTTTAGCAGTATCAAGTTAAACTTATCAATACCACCTTTTTGATTCAACAGTCTTTTATATACCTATGCGTCAAATGGAATATTTTAATATTGATTCATTTTTATTTTTAAACAATATGAATTGATAAAATCATATTAATTCGATTTCAACGTAAATCTGTAGGTGAGTTCAAGGGTAGAGCAATTGATCATCACTCTTTTCATTAAAATTTCTGGAATTGTACCAAATTTCAAAATATCTTTGTTGTTTTCGTTAAAAATATTCTTATCAGTGAAGATTCCAATATAAATAAAAACAATGCGTTTTCGTGGTATAAAAGGAACTGAAATCTGGAGTGACTATCATACGTGATTTGTTGAATCGAAGTTGCACTTGGAAAACGAAGCAAAAATTGCGAATATTTTATTTTTGGCGTAAACAACTTCGTTGACTTGAGAAAAGTAATTTTTTTTTCAAATTTTCCATTCGAACTTTTTTCCATGACATCGAAATCTTCCAAATTTGTGTAAATTTGACAGTTTAATTATTCCTTCTAGTGATGTTTCCAATTATTTTACTGTCGATTGGTTTATCAATCGCATCGGGAGCGCCCACAAATGAACCGACCAAAGGAATCCCCACTTTTGCATTGAACTTTTACCAGGTAATTTCCCTTTAAATGCAACTTTTTTAGCAACAATATCGATGGAAGTGTGAAAATTTCACCTTTTTCTCACCGTGACAGAGCGTTAAATCAACTCCGGGCAATATCATCATTTCTCCATTATCTGTAGCAAGCGCTCTAGCACTTCTTTCTCAAGCAAGTAATGGTAAAACCTATGATCAATTGGTAAAAGGATTGAATTTGAGCGATGACAAAACAACCACGGCTAATCAATGCCACGAATACTATGAAATGCTTCTAAGAAACGCTGGCAATGCAGAACTATCGATTGCCAATCAAATCTACGTGAACCGCGGCTATGAAATCAAGCCGGAATTCCGTGACGTTGCTACCACCAAATTTATGTCCGCTGTTGGCTCATTAAACTTTGGAGATTCGGTATCGGCTGCAAAAAAAATCAATCACTTTGTGGATGAGAAAACCAAAGGAAAAATCAAGGACATAATTGCACCGAATGCGATTTCATCAAATACTCGCGCTATGTTGGTCAATGCCATTTATTTCAAAGGCCAATGGGAAAATCAATTCAACAAAGCTCTCACCAAGCAAGAACCATTTTTTACCACCTCATCTGAATCAGTTTTGGTTGATTTCATGCACAACAAAGGCCGATTCAACTATACAACTTTAAATGATTTGGACGCGACCGCGATCGCAATGAAGTATGCCAACTCGAGTTTCTCATTCGTTATCGTTCTACCAAACAGTCGCACCGGTTTGTCGGCACTTGAAAGCAAATTAAAGAATTACGATTTATCCAGAATCACCCACCAAATGTGTACACGAAAAGTAAAAGTTACAATTCCAAAATTCAAAACCGAATTCGAGATTAATTTGAATGCAGCTCTGCAAAGGGTGTGTGAGATGATATCTTTTTTGTGCTTCGAACAATGATAATTTTCCCATATAACTTCCTTTTAGATTGGCATAACTGAGATGTTCACATCTTCAGCCGACTTGACAGGTCTCCTGGTTTCAGATGAACCATTACAGATTTCGGATGTGTTACACAAAGCTTTCATCGAAGTCAATGAAGAAGGTTCTGAAGCTGCAGGTGCTACAGGTTAATTAACTTGAAAGTTTTTTAAATATATTATTTGGAGTTGAAATATTGCTTATCGCCATTGATTGTACCTTCAAATCACAGTGATTGATGTTGGAGTAACATCAATTCAGACGAAAAAAACGCTAAAGTTCCGTGCAGATCATCCATTCGTTTACTTTATTCGGGATGACATTAAGAATACCATCCTGTTCAGCGGACGCATTGTGGAATTCAATGGGCAATAGAAGAATAAAATTGAGTCCAAAACTTTGATCCAATTATGAAACGAAATTTGCTAATAAAATCACATATTAACCCGAAATTTTAAAAAGTAGCATCTTATTTTATCGTGAAATTTCTATGTCATTAGATGAAACAAACCCATGTTAATAACAGACAAACCTTAGCGAAGTGCGGATACGAAAAAATATAAATGTGAATACTGCAAAATGGCTTTCAAACATAAAGAAGGTTTAATAGCACATGAACGAATACATACGGGTGAGGAACCATACCGATGCCCACATTGTGGTGAATATTTCCGAACTCGTCAAGAAATAGAAAGACATGAGCGAACTCACATTTATGGAACACCTTATGTTTGTAATAGATATTCTCAATTATTTTTTTTAGTTTATCGTAAATATTTCGATGTTTTTTCGTGCATTAATAAATAAATATTTTGAGTTTTTCTCGTAAATATTTTTGGTTGCCCTGATGATGATTTTATGAAGTCATGCATACTATATTAGAAATCGAAACATGATCATACTCTTTGTTGAAAACATTCCACACAAAGCACTTATGGTGGAGGTGAATGTTATATCAACGATATACAACTGGTATGTCATTCCTGCCAAAAAAAAAAACAGAATAATAATTTTTTTGCATTGAAATGAAGTTAATAATATTTTTGTAAAATAAAAATATACAAATGATTCTTCTTTTTTTTGTAATAAATTCATCTAAATTTCCATAAATTATTTTGTTCGATTATTCAACTGTGAAATATTCAAATAGTTTCTCTTCAATACTTAAGCCCTTCTTCAATTTCTACTCTCAGTACTCAAACTGATTGGCAAATACTCAAGGAGTAGACATATGAGTTTGACATTTTGAAGGTAAACAATTTGAAGATGTTTGGCTACTGAAAGTAAAACATTGGAATGAAGTGTATTTTGTTGAATTGAATAAAATAAGCGGGTTGAACAAGTTCCCCACAGAAAAAAAAAATGGACGAATCTATTGCATGTAAGGTTGATTCGAGCATTATTGAAGGAATAAATTCTAATAAACGCTCTATTTTTCAGTGCATCAATGTTTGTTTTGTGAGCAAACTTTTAATAAAGCCGCCGACAAAGACGATCACATTTTGGAGCATTTTGCTCAGGAAACTTGTGCGGATTGCGATGAAAACTTGATTCGAATCGGTGGATATTTGTATGTTCGTCATAATGAAGCGACATGCATAAAGAAGGTGTCAATTTCGGAAGAAAATGTCGAATCATGTACGGTCATTGAATCTGTTCTGCACCCTCTGGACCCTTTGCAATGTGATGAAAATGGTGCCACCACAAATTTGGTGACATTAGGTACATGTGAAGCGAGAATGCAAGAAATACAAACAGAGCCGTCCGATCGTCGTGAAGAAGAAGAAGAAGAAGAAGAAGGAGAAGAAGACATTCTGGTGGAAACAAATGGCTTGGAATCAGGTGAGTTTTCCAGTCAAATATTGAAAAATACAATGAAAATGAATTTAATCAATTGTTCTTCAATTGTTTACAATTAGTAATATCAACACGTGAGAGTAAAATGGTGTCAACGGTATCAAATGTTGATTTGGCGATATTGGCCCGATTTCCAGATATCAACCCAAATCCAGTTGTTGTGTTGGAAGATATTTACGGAAAAGGAGATACAGAACGACTACACAAATCGAAACGCCGGAGGATTAATCAAAAGGTTAATGAAGATCTTGGATCAAGGAGCGATGAACCATTGCCATTCGAGAAAGTAATAGTAAAGGATGAGCATTGTGATGAACATGAACCGAACCAGCAGTACGAAACTGAATCACATCAATTACCTCAACAGAACATGAACACTGAACAATCAAATATCCTGCAGTACGTGTGTAAAACTTGTGGGAAAGCATTTAAAACCAGAGCATTGCTAGGATACCATAACTATATTCATACCGGGCAAAAGCCGTATAAATGCAAATTCAATGGCTGCGAAAAGTATTTCAGATGTTTTAGGATGAGAAATCAACATTATAAAACACACTTCAATCTAGAACCATCACCATTCCAATGCAAAATTGATGGCTGCGATAGTCAATTTTCATACCCGTGCGCTTATCGACTGCACAGAGCCAGAGTGCATGGCATAATCACACGCGAGTATAAATGCAAAGTTTGCTCGAGCGCATTAGACACAAAAGAAAAACTAATTGAACATGTGGCGACGATGCATCCACCTATTGAGGATGAAGAGAGGATTTATCCATGTACTTACGATGGTTGCAAAAAACGTTTCAAAAATAGACAGAGCTGGTCATTACATCAAAGAGCACACAGTGATGAATTGCTCATTTGTTCAATCGACGGATGTGAAAAGCAATTTAAGTTTCGATCTATGTTGAAATTGCATCAATCCAAAGAGCATAAAACGAATGAGTCGGTGCAAAATGATGAACGAAATGTTCAGAAGCCGATTCAAGAACAACAAGATCAAGACGCTACATTCACTCATAACGATAATGATACTCGGGCACAGGAAACAATTTGTAAAGAAGAGTTGAACATCGAAATGGATCCAATGGAACAGTCTGATAATGAGATCAGTGCTCAGAATACAGAAGACTTTGAGCAGAATTATGAAAATATCGACGATGAGAAGCAGGTGATTGAACCTCAACTGACTGAGATACAGCATCAGAAAGATAACAATTATAAATGTGATGATTGTGGTAGTACATTCGGGTCGCAAGGTTCAAAGGAAGCGCACATACTGCGTTTTCATGCTGGAGCCGGATTTGCGTGCGAATATTGTAAAAAAGAATTTTCAAAGCGCCGTAATCTTAGGAATCACATTCATCGGATGCATGATGGAGATGGGAAGAAACATAAATGCGAACTTTGTGAATCGTTATTTTATACCAAGACCGAATTGCTAGCCCACATTGATTCGATCCACTTGCGAATACAAAAATACAAATGCAATATTTGCGACAAGGGTTTTGTGCGTAAACAATTGTTAACAGTTCACGAGCGCATCCATTCGGGAGAGAAGCCGTATAAATGTGATTTTGAAAATTGTAACGAACGTTTCATAAGTCGTAATCAACAAGTATGTCATGAGCGGGTTCATGAGTATGAAGAACTTTTTGTTTGTGGAATTGATGGATGCAAAGGGAAATTTCGCAGAGCCCAAAGTTTGAAATTACACCAAGACAGAGAGCACAAAATATTGCAATTGAAGATAATCCAGACGGGAAATAATATAGAGGAAATTATGATTGAAAAACAAAATCAAAAAAATGATTACCACAAATGCGATAAGTGTGGCAAAACGTTTGCTTCGCAAAGTTATAAGGAAACGCACATCATACGTTATCATAATGGATCTGGAGACTTTACCTGCAAAGTTTGTGGAAGAGAATTCACAAAACGGTTAAATTTGGAGCGTCACATGTATATCCATGATCCAAATAAATGGAAATTTAAATGCGATTCATGCGAGACATCATTTGCTAACAAATCTGAATTAAAAAAACATTTTGAAAAGCATTTAATTGGAAAATTAAACGATACAAGTGTAAGGTGTGCAAAGTGACTTTCAAGAAAAAAGAATATTTAACAATCCACCAGCGGAAAATGGGAATACTCAAATATTGGTCAAAAAACGTATTTCCCACAAATCAATTTTTTTTTCGAATTAAGAATAGGTCCAATTATTTGTAGAAAAAATGTAGAATTCAAAGCAGTCATCCGATTCATGATGTTTTCAACGATTTATTTTGACAACAGCAGTGTTTTTAATTTTGTACGGGAGAATTACTGCTCCAAAACTGGTCCAAACTGTTTTAATAATTGTAGTAACCCAGAATTAATTGTAGAAGCATCTAGGATTATTGTAGTGGCCAGAGAATAGTTGTAGGAGCATCGAGGGCATAAGTAGTGTCTTTCAAAAATCAAAATAAACATTTCATGAAATTAATAATTTGTTCATTTTTATTTTGCAACCAGATTAAATGTTAGTTCTATAACAGAAATATATTGTTATTTTCGTTCGTGTGGTAAAGTTCAATATTGTTTTATGAAAATTTTGATCAAGCATTTGATTCACTGTGAATAAAAACAGCGTATTGCATTGGTCGCCAAACAACAAAACACAGCATTTTGTATTGCAATAACAAATTGATGTAGAAAAAACGCAGTGGTTCCTTTTGTTCGACGACTAATTCTATTCACCAGTTCATTTCAAAAAATTTGTATTTGCCTCAAATCTATGGGTGAGATTGAGAGTGGAGTATGTTTTTTCTTCGATTTATATTTTTGAAAAGGCGAGTATGTTTTCTGATGATTCTATTGGCGTTAAAGTAGAGTATGTTGTAGTACCGTCTAGCCTCCGCGGTCTTCATGGTTTTCGCGCAACTGATAAAAGATAACAACATGGTGTCTTCGGCAAAGTTGTAGTACTCGAGGTCTTCTATAACTAAGCTGAAGACAGTTATCTCTTATCTCTTATCAGTTGCGCGCAAATCGCGCACATAATAAAGCAAATTTTATATAGAACTTTTTTTTTCTTATCATTTTTCGCGCTTTTCGCGGAACTGATAAGAGATAAGAGATAACTGACTTCAGCAATGTTATAGAAGACCTCGAGTGCTACAACTTTGTCGAAGACACCAAGTTGTTATCTTTTATCAGTTCCGCGAAAACCGTGAAAAACCGCGAGGACCCGCAAAAAACGAACATACTCGCTTTTAACCATTTTTAAGTCGACAGAAACTTGCTCTTCTCTTTCGTAACAAAGTCAATGAAACATACACTACTCTCAATCTCACCCATAGAAATATTCTCGAGCAAATACACGAATATTTTAATGATATACACAAAATATGTAACCATTGCGAAACATCAATACGTTTTGGCTAACACGTAGTACCGGCCCACAGAGAAGCTGTTAGCGTCGCCGTAAAGTTGATTATATTCTAGTAAAGCCATACACGTTTGAAAAAAGTTGCCGAAAAATACAATGATTCAATGAGTTAGAATTGAGATGGCATTGACTGCTATGTGTCAAATGACTTACATTTGAAATGTATTGTGGCACTTTCCCTATGGCTGAAACTATGCTACAATTTATTGCAGAACACGAGTCTGATTTGATTCAATTTCGGGTTTAAGTTTTCTGGACGATTTTAAATTTTAACTGAAACCAAACATAGATTTGCACTCAAAATGAAATCATTATTTCGTGTTGCCAAATTTTGACTTGTGATTAAATTCATTGGTCATCGTTCAACAATATTTTGCTGGAATTACAAATTGCTTTTTGAACAAAAATCTATTTGGTTGGAAGCCAAAAACCATTTGACAAGTTTGTAAATAAACAAAAAGCTTATAAATGTATCGGTAAAAGTCTGATCGTTCAAAAGCTTCAAGACAACTTTGGAATAAAGTGATGAACGATTGTGAGTTGCAAATTATAGTTGACCCCACCACATCGAAAAGATCATGATCTGCCTCAACGTTGCAATAAATCAACTGTCTTCGGTTTCGCATACAAATCGTCTTAAGTTGAATTGTTTAGCATAGAAAGTATTTTATTTATTCAAGCGACTTCTGCGTTGTGTTTTGTAAATATTTGAAAATCACACCGCCACCTCTAGGCTCTGTAGATCCACGTTCTTTTGTTTATCCATTCACGTTTGTTCGAGCGCCCAGAAGGTACTTCAATATTAGTATTCCGTTCATCACTTGTTCATTGCATTGCACACACATATCGCGGTTGAAAGTATGAGATCGTGACAGTGAACCGTGCGAGTGTGAACGTCAAACCGCAACACACAAACATCGTCGATTCGGAAACATTCTCACCGAAGCGACGCAGACATTTAAATGAAAAACGCGAACATTGTTTACAGTCGATCGGAAAGAGCATTTGCATTAAGTTCAGTATTGTGTGTGCCGTTGTAATGTTAAGAGGTCGTGTGCTCTCTGTATCTACTATCGCGGCAGTAAGAATGATTTTTGTATGTCGACGCGCGCGCGCAGACTATCATTACAATTTGCGTAAAGTGATTATTCAGTGATTTTTTCGACTCTTCCGAATGAAGATTATATACATTTGGTGATAGACATTGATGGTTCCAGTGGTTACACAGCGAATAAAACATTTGAAATTAAAACAAAGTTCAATTTTGAATGGAAAATATTAGAACAGAAAAAAAAACATAATAACCATTTAAGGCTAAAAAAATTCGTAAAGTCTTCGAATTTAAAGAGATAAATTTAAATACATTAGAAATATAACACGCGAGTGAACAAAAAAAATTGTTGAGAGTTTTTTCCTTTTACTTGAAACATGAACGAAGAGTAAATTATCGCAAATCAAAAGGTTTCATTACATCGCTTTAAATATCAAGTATCACATTCGAATTTAAATTGAAAAAGAAACCACTGTGAAACCACACAGAAAACATTTACAATGTGGGACCAAATCATTGAGTTCGTGTTCAGCGTTCAACTTATAGCGTTGATTTTAATTCTGATTGGCCTGTATGCGCTATTGTGGTGGAGCATTGACAATTTCAAGTCGATCGTTCAAATTATCAGAAGTTTTTTGGTGCCATACTTTCAACCACAGGAAGATGTGCCGCTCAGCGAAAAATTCGGCAATTGGGCAGGTATGATAACTCAGGTCATTGATCTAGACTGAAAATACAAGAGGTAAAAATTTCGGTAAGGAGTTTGAGATGAGAATTGAGAAAGAATTTAACAGAGTATTAAATAAAACAAGAAAGTAAAATGTTAAAATGCATTACCATACTATAGCAGTGAAAGAAATATCGAAAGAGGAAAAGCAAAATTCTTATTCTGACAAACAATTTATTGCAAGCCCGAAAAAGAAGTTTTGCTTTTCGTCTTTCAATGGAAAAAAAAACGTTGGAAAAAGAGGAAAGAAGTGAAGGCAAATTCAAATGAATCGAATGAAAGAGAACGAAAAAAAGTAATGAAGCAACAGAATTCTCCAGTGAACAATTTGAATTTCAAGTAGAAAACTTACTCCGTTTATTACTAAAAGAAATCGAAGGAAAAAAACGTAGAATTACAGTTGAAAAAAGTAAAACCAAAAATGAAAAAAAAACAAATACCGGAGACCGATAATAAACAGTCACCAAACAAGAAGACAGAATCTACTTTCAAACAAAATGAAATGCTTAGCATTTTTTCGATATCTCTCCGTTTGAAAGTGATAATCAATGTGTATATACATATGGAGAAGCGATCGCACTAGGTTCTGTACTCCGGCGAGTGTAGAGAAAACTGAAAGAGGAAATTCCAGTTTTTTTCTCATTCGTTACCTGGCTGCTATCATCTCGCTATGGCTAGTTAAACGATCGATGTAGGTTAATGTGCCATGGTCGTTGTGTATTGCACTCGACTGAAAGTACAAAGCGCAATTGTGTGCTTCTGCATTTTATGAATAAGGACGTGAAAAAAAAACGCCACAAATATGCACATCGCGTATACGTTGTTACAAATGAGTGAGCTGAAGAGTTATGCACTTGCATTGGTTTTGCATAAGCCATGAACGCTGTTTATATCTTGATCAGAAGCTTAAGAAAAAAAACAGTTTTTTCTTTTCTCTTCATATTGGAGCAAAGAAAAAAAACAATGAGTACGTTCGCGGTATGATTATAAACTGATGAGGCCGTTATTGATGGAAATTATACGTTGCGATGGTACTTTTTTTGTTGCATACATGAGAAACGCTTGGCTTTATGCGCCGCATGAGTACATATGACCTAGAGAGATGACTTTTTTCGCATGTGTTTCACCCGAAAAAAAATGTATGTAAACTTACTTTAGTGACATCCATCGCTTCAATTAGAGCTTTTCATTGTTACACCCAAAATGTCTTTTGAGTTAAGTAAGTCTTCATTGCCATGTGCATTGTTTACTTCTCAGCCTTAACAGTGTTTCCTCAGCCAAAAACATTTTCGGCAAAATGATTAGATCATGACAAGGCCATTCCGTCCACAAATGCAGTTCCATTAAAAGTGATAACCACTTAATGGATACAAAATATTTTTGACGAAAGGGAAATTCCATGGCACAGGATCCATGTATTCTAAATGATATTTAATTGCATCGAATGACGAAGCGAATATGACAAACCAGAAGTGTCAATTGTTTTGATCAGGTAGTGCCAGCCAGTTTGCAAGAAGAAATAAGATGGCATCTGTTTATCGTTAAATTCTCTATAGACCATTCCATTCAGGTTACTTGTTTTGTTTTTTTTAAATGGTTGGTTGAATGATTAGCAAAATTAGCCGATCAAGTGTTAAATTGAATGAATACACAATCGACCATTGCTTGCCAGCTCTTTTTTCATTTATCCAAACAGTAATAGTAAACACAAACTGGCAGACACAACGAAGAAAAAAGATATACCCAGAAATAGAAACGCATTGTAATGTGTTTGTTTGTTCGTTGCTCCAAGGTAAACAATACCATGTACTAATGTGCGTAATGGATGTGCGTATGCAACAGTTTGTACATTATGGCTTCGTAACGTAGTATGGCAAAGCGGCTGTGATCACTGAAGAAGCCATTTCAAATTGCGATCATCGTTAAATACGATGAAACATTAGACGTTTGCCAAGAAAAATCCAATCGTTTTTCATTTCGATCACATCTCATTTGATTGAAGGAAAAAAATCTGATGATTGCCGAAATCGAATGTGCAATCACATATGCAATTTATTTTTAATATCATCGATTTCTCAGTGCCATTGCATTACCTTTTTTTTCCTCTGCCATCATGAACATTCGATGATTTCGTAACACAGTTTTATTCGCTTGTCCATTCACGATTCTTGTTGTAATTTTCCGAGATGCGCTTTATTATTTGTGACCTCATTGGATTGGCCTGTACATCATATACAATTCCATTATTGGCTATTAAATGTACAAAGTAATAGCATGAATCGAAAAATGCCAAATTGCGTTCTCTCACCTTTTAACACATTAAAAAAAACAAAAAATTCCATACGCCAATTTTCTCATGCAACATTTAATGGGTCTTTTTTATGCAGAAAAAAACTCCATTGAGTTGAGTCCAAAATAAAAAAATTGAAAAATTTGCTTAATATATATGTTGAGCATGTGCTTAATAAAGCGACGAAAGAAGCCGAAAAAAAAGCCAACTCACAAAATAGTGGATAATCGTCTCGATTTTACAAAATTAATATACAACAATTTTGGAAATATTTATTTTTTTTTCAATTGAGGCGAATTAAAAGGTATTACGTGACGCTACGACAAATCAATCAAAATTGCTATAGAGAAACAAAAAAAAAACGTTAATCGTCTGTAAATTAGATTGTAAGCGTTTTTCTTGTGCTGAAATTTTCCGGTTAGGCGACAGTTTTAATTACAATGCCCACAACAAAAGTGCTTCATCGCGGCGTAGCATGCATATAATAATAACTATTGGCTGGCGATTTGTTCAGATTAATGAAGGGAAGTGTTGAAACAGCGATTATAATCGATACCGAAAAAAAACAACATTTATTCAAAATGCATTCTCATCCGTTAAAAATTGATCGTTGCTTGTTCCACTTAAAAATGACAAAAATTATTACTGAACCCGAGTCGACTGCATACGAACGAAAACCAAATGCTATTCATTGCAATTTTGACGTGGTATTTGAAATATCCGTTCTGCGCACACAACCCACAACCACACAGCCTTTAATTGTAAATCAATTTATTTATGCATAAATTAAGAATCGAACGGTGGTTCGGCTCAATTATTGCAACTGTTTTGTGTGTGTTTGTTGCACACAATTTAATGAGTTATTTGGTTCAGATCGATTGGGGTGCACCATGGTGAACACAAAACCCATAACTAATAAACCTTTTTTTGGGCAATATTCTGTCGATGAACATTTAAATTTTTCCAGAAGTGACAAGTTTTTTTCCGGCTTTCATTGGTTTGTTTACGAAATTATTTACGCACCCGTCTGACTGTCTACATGATGATATGTCAGAAAAAGTGAAACTGGATTCCGAGCTGCAGACACCGAAAAAGAAAAAAAAATGAGATGAAAATCATTGAACTATAAAAGTAGCCATACCGTCGATAGTACGGTTGCGTAATCAAACACACTCGATCGATCAATTGAGAAGAGAAACCGCATACAATTCCAAAGAATAACACACAGAAAACGAGTTTATGCGGTCTTTTTCTTCAAAAGCAAAATTACACAACAAAATCTAAGTATAATTTATTGAACGGTATATGGAGCTGTGCTGTGTGTGAACACTGGTATTTCTACAATATGTCGATGATTTATTAATACTTTTAATGGGCTTTTGGGTCTACGTCGATTTAACTAGAATTCAGCTAGGTGAAACAACGAAAAAGGTTCAATAGACTGTGCTGTGCTCGATGTGTGTGTATGTATCTTGGCGTACAGTGCATACATTTGCGATAAAACGATTGCGATTGCCCAACCGTTTAAATTGCTGTGTGCAATTGAACGCGCAAACCAATTGAGCACCGATGAATACAAGTCTAACCTTGTTTTTTGTTACTTGAAAAACATGACTGCATTCGTTTTGAGCGACCAAAATGACAGTAAAAAAAACACACCATATCCATTTGATTTAATGATATTAAGACTTGATGCGACCAGTTTTCATACGAAGTTAAGAAAATCGGAAAACTTGAAATTGAAAAACGTTGTCATTTCGCAATCTGTCTAAAAGTAGTTCTATGCGGCTGAATAGAATGTATTAGCATCGCGAGTCTTGGCCGCAACAAATCCGATTCAATGGCTCGCTATCAACATAATAAGCCTTTTTTTAAACATTAAAGCTTAAATTCAATTGCACATTTAGTAAACATTTATACCGAAATATCAGAACACCTGACCTTCCAACGTGTACAGTGTACTCTGGCACATTGGCCGAGCGTTCACGCCTCATTGTTTTGTATTTATATGAATTAAAATTAACATTAAACTATTCTGTACATTATTTATACCGCTTTGTTTTTCTATTGTTACATGCATTACCACTGCTGCTGCTGCTTTTTTCCCTCCGCTTCTTGGAACATTGAACAACGGCCATAAACAGTGGTAACCGGCTCCACCGATGGCATTGGTCGCGAATACGCTAAACAATTGGCCAAACGAGGCATTAATATTGTACTCATTTCAAGAACGAAATCAAAGCTAATTGAAGTAGCCAACGAAATTGGTAAATATATCAAGAGAAACGCATAAATTCAACAAATTGATTGGAATCAATTCGAATGGAATGGAATCATTTTGTATTTGCAGAATCATTATATCCAGTGAAGACAAAATACATCGTCGCCGATTTTAGCCATGGCAAAGAAATCTACGATGAAATTGAGAAACAACTCAGTGGCATTCCTGTCGGTATATTGGGTAAGTTGAATTACGTTGAAATTACAACGATCAATTTGAAAATGTTGTGAATCCATACCGCGAACTCAACATCCACTCCTATGACATCCAGTCATAACATTGCTAGGCTCATCATCTTTCAAAGACTCTTTCGTGCCACTAATTTAATTACCTCTTGTTTACAATCTTAATAATTATGAAGATTTTTTTTTCGGTGCGTCATTTCAATTCCCATTCGAATTCAATGCTCAGTCAATTTGAGTTTGATGTTCAAACTATTTAAGCTCAGCAAGTATAATAATATCTCGCAGCCAAAACTCAAGTTACGTGAGCTTCGTTGACCAATTAACATTTGCAGAAAACTATCGTTTCGCGTGTATTCGGAGGTAATTCAATGGATTCGTTTCGCAAAAAGAAAAAAACAAATAGTCAGATGTATTTGGATATTGATCTTGAACTTTGAAGTGTGCAAAAGTATTTGATGAAACAAATCAATTGACAAATTAGCAAGTCATCTTCGTAGAAGCAAAAAAAAACTAAGTGTCATGTGTCATGATTTCAAACCTATACTTTTTTCTACCTATATCGATAATGTTCAACTTTCGATTCGATTCGATTGCATAAAGCGAGATAAATGATGATAAGGTGGTCACATTTTTGATGTGAGCAAACATAGCATGTTGAAATCGTCACTAATTTAATTTAGTTTTTGCGTTGAGTTTGATTCATTTTTTTTTGCGAAGATTAATTTTCACGAAGTTTTTACTTCACATTTGGTCATATCGATTTCAACACGAAAACCATTTGTTATCAATTGATCAATTTCGATTTCAGTGAACAATGTCGGCCGAATGTATGACTATCCCGATGAATTGGGCAAGCTAACACCAGACTTCCTATGGAGTATGCTCAACATAAACATGGGCGCTGTAACGATGATGACACGAATGTTGGTCAATGACATGAAACAACGCGGTAAAGGTGCAATCGTAAATATATCATCTGGTAGCGAATTACAACCATTACCCTATGCTGCTGTTTATGGCGCATCCAAAGTACGTTTACTTTTATTTATAGAGTAAGGTAAAACACGGTGCTATGATTCTTTCACAACAATGAGTGATCTTCCACATTATAGCCCTTGAAAGAGAAAAAAAAACATTCAATAAAAAGAAACCAAAACAAAATTGTTGCAATCGTATGTAATGTCATTTATGTTTCAGATTTATGTCAAGAATTTTACATTGGCCATTCAGCATGAGTTTGCACCGTACGGTATATCTGTTCAGTCGATAACGCCGCTATACGTGCGCACAAAAATGAACAATTACTCGACCACCGTCATGAAGGGAAATGTATTCTGTCCCGATGTGGAAACGTATACTCGGTCAGCGGTTGCCACCTTAGGTAGAACCAATGAAACCACTGGATATTGGATTCATGGCCTTCAGGTTCGTTTATTTTACAAATTGATGCACAAATCGCTTTAAACCAATCAAAATCGGTGTTTATTTGTGATTTCATTTACAGTATGCAACATGCAAATTAGTACCGACGTGGGTTCGAACGATAATTGGGGCAAAGTTGAATGAGAAATTCCGTGATGAATACTTTGCGCAGCAAAAACCACAAGATTGCAAATAATGCATGACCATACGAAGGCCATCGACGACGATGACCATGCCGGAATATGAATTTAAATGGATTTTTGGAATTTCATCAGAACATTTAGACTTGAAGTGTGTATAATGATAATGCTGGCAACATTGTAAATACCTATGAACTGATATATAATTTGTTGTTGCTGCTCTGAGTTCGTCAAATTTGCTAGACAAATCAAATTTGCTCGATACTCATTGAAACATTGCGACATCATTCTTCACCGGCCGATTAAAACAATCCTCATTTTGCAAAGAATTTTCTCGACACTTTTTTGTCGGTAAAATTGAATAGGTCTATTATATCTCATTAAACAAACATCGTGTGTGGAGTGTCTCACAAATTACTTTAAACGAAAAAAAAAACGAAGAGAAATACCATAAGTATATTGAATGTAAAATACTGACTATTATGTGTTCGCTGTTCCGATATTTTCGCCATATGCAATTGACATTTAAAAAGGAATTTCTATAATAGGATGGGAGCAATGGGTACAGCATTTCATTTAGAATCTAGAATCGTTTCATTTATTATTGTTTTGCTTCTTTGCTTTTGTTTTGTTACATAAAAAGTAAATATATACAATATTTTAATTACAAGAAAAAGTATTCGAAACTCAATTGGGCGCGTAATAAAAAAAAATAGAATAAAATAAATTAAGTTATCAACAACCTATTGATTTTTGTTTTGTTTTTTTTTTGCTTGATTTTTTTGTTCAGCATGCAACGAGAGTTCAAATTACAATTCGATTGCGAATAAATTTTGGATGAAAAAAAAAACAAATTGGCAGTTGCATTCAAATATTTATATGTGATTGGTTAATTGTCAGAGTCACTGTCTTGTGTGTCATTATCTTCAGTTTCGTCTTCATCCTCGAGCTCGGGCATCGGAAACCGTAAAATTGCAGCTATCCCACTCAGCTGTGCCAATTCTGCAGGAAAAAACCGTATTGAAACAAATAGGTTATATTAGAATGAGGTAAATTTTGATTTGCGAATCGAAAGGGCGCTCTTTGCAATGGCTATTTAGTATTTGGTCGCAATTTTTCTACACTCAATGCCACCATGCAGTGTGTTACTTACGTTGTCCCGATATGTGCATACTGGAGAATATTTTCACTTCACCTCCGGCGTCTCGAACATCTTCCACTAATTTTACATACTCTTTTCGAACGTTCACATCATTACATCTGAAATAATTCGCACAAATCATGTCAATCACGTTTTTTAACTCAATCACAACACATTATCTGATGAAAAAGTGTTGTTGTTGTTCTTTATTGCAATGATGTCGCAGCATTTTGTACTAACCGGAAAAGATTGTCTGATATCAGTAATGTTTCAATTGCTAGTGCTTCAGCTGCTTTAACCACATGATTTTTTCCATAAAATGCACGAGCTGGTTCAGTTTGGAGTATTTGATAGAATTGCTCTAGCGCCTTCACTTCAGATGCTGCCTTTGTGTCGGACAGTTTTGACTGTACTGCTGGATCTTGAAGCACCTCTGCAATGATCAAATACACATTGTAATATAGAAATCGAAGTGTTTATTGTTTTTAATGAGTTTCTCCCATTGAGGTAAGCATTTAATAACATGATAACCAATCGTTAATCAATAAAAATGATAAAAAGCAAATCAATTTTCAACAAATCACCTTTTAACGAATGCTTGAATCCTGATGAGGCATGAACAAGCAAGAATTTACTCCTATTTTCCAGAAGCACCTACAAAACAAAGTCAATCAATATCAAAAATATTCCAATTTTGACCCGTCTTGTTAACTCGCCTTATTGTCAGTTTTAACAGCCTGTTGATTGAGGTATTCAAAGAATTGATCCTTAACAAAGCCCGGTGAAGCGATTAGTACACATTTAACAACATCGAAATTGATATGACGTAAAATGCTCTGCAGAACGGCTTCATAGAATTTCGTAAGACCGACTTCGTGTCCTTTGGCATTATTTTTTCGCTTTCGTGGAATATTCATGTCGATTTTACTACGCACCAATGTCATACTCGAGGTTATCAGGCACACATGAGCCAGTCCTTCTTGCATAATAACGGCACCTAAGTCTGCATTCTGTGTAACATCACAAGCCATATCAACGCGTTCCAAGGCTATCGTATCCCATTCACGTTTTGTCAGTTCAAACTTTCGATTCAATTCCAGATCCAGTGTGTGATAGGCACCCATCTAAAAAAAAAATGCAGAAAAAATTTACATTAAATACATGATTCGGAAATGTTTTCTCTATTTATATTTTGTTTCAAAGTCCAATCACCTTGACATATTGATTCTCTTCGCGATTCCGCCCTTTCAAACGCAGCACACACGCCTGTGTATCAAAATCGATGCTTTCGACACAAATGGTGAGGGTGGTACGCACTCGGCTGCTACTCGACGAACCGGTCGCCGTTTCATTTTGCACCTTTCTAATTGTCGTTGATCGAACGTAATCATCTTCGCTAATCAAATTGTATGCATGCCACATATCTTCTGGTTCTTCTGGCACAAGTGCCACCGACCTAAAAAAAATAATTCCATCCAAAATTATCATCACAGATGGATTTCAGAGATAAAATCAGTGCAAATCAAAACAAAAAACTCACCCTTGCATGCCTTTATCGACATTTTTTGCGATTAGTTTCATCTTCACGAATGACTTTCTCTTTCAATTTTTGTTGATGTCTAAAATTTGTAGTCACCTATGTATCATTATTCACAATAAAAATTTTGATATCTAAACGCCGTACAAATATACACGCTTCCTTATTCGTTTCACACAAAACCGTTTATTTTGTACACAACATTCTCCGAACGAGTCAAAATAATCAAGTTTTAGTCTCTTTTGATTGTTGTTTCTGTATTGGCAAGATGTCCCACGTTACAAAGCGAGAGAAAAAAAGAAAGATTATTACCAAAAGTGTATGTGATTAACTGACAGATAAATTATTTCCCGACCACTGACACTTTTTGCAATGTCAAATTTAGCCGCCAATCCAATGACCACTCCGAATGTTCTATGACACACGATTTGTTTAGAAGGACGAATAAAAGTGAATTTGCGGATTTTCCATCGATGAGTCAACTATTCGCTCAATTTATTGTCATAAATAGTGAGATATGTTTTCATGCAATTATGAAATAAAGTTCTAATGCTCGGTTCACAACAACGTTGTGACAGTTCGGATCAACAAGTCAACTGTCAAATGGTGTATCGGACCACTTGCAAACCGCATGGTGTATGTAAAGCTAATCGATTGTAAGCGGTGTGTATTGTTTTCATTCCTCAAGGAAGCAGCATTGCGGAGAGGTGCCTATTCAAAAGCGTGCATTTCATTTGAAATTACAACACACATTTTCATCAAAGAAGTTTTAAAATTTCCTCAAACCAAACATGGTAAGTGCATTCTTGATCATCAGTTCTTTTCATTTTGAATGGATTTCAAATTAAACTTGTGTTTTTTGCTAGAGAGAGACAAAAAAACGCACTTATCAATCAGCCGCTTTGCCTATGCAATCCTAACCTCAACATTTTCCTTTTTTGGTTTCCTCGTTTTCAGGCTGACGAAGAAGTTAACAAGAAAGCCTACCCATTGGCTGATCCAATATTAACTACCAAAATTATGAACTTGCTCCAGCAAGCACTCAGCTACAATCAATTGAAGAAGGGTGCAAACGAAGCCACCAAGACTTTGAACCGTGGTTTGGCCGAATTCATTGTGATGGCTGCTGATACCAAACCAATTGAAATTCTCTTACATTTGCCGTTGTTGTGCGAAGATAAGAACGTACCATACGTTTTCGTTCGCTCGAAGCAAGCATTGGGACGTGCTTGCGGTGTTTCACGCCCAATCATGGCCTGTTCTGTCACCATCAACGAGGGCTCACAATTGAAATCCCAAATCACCTCAATTCAACAAGAAATTGAACGTTTACTAGTTTAAGTACAAACTATTTTTTTTACACAAAGTTTTTTTTTGATTTTTCAAAAAAATGTCTACAGTTTAAGTGACTGAAATAAATTCCGGAAATACACACAAAAAATGAAGAAAACATGTGACTTTTTTTTTGAATTTTATTCATCTTTTTGAAAAAGGGTAAACACGTTTTTTTTTCGTTTTGGGAAAAAGGTAAATGAAAATATTGTATAAGAGGTAAATTGATTCTTGTATGGCTCTTTGCGAGGAAAAAACACTTTGGTAAAGTATCTAACTATCTAAATGAGTGCTAAGCAACGTTGATTTTATGGTCGATTTTGAATCAAACTGAGATTAGAATGAAAATATTCAAAAAAAATAAATCAAAATGCTATGAATAAACTTAAGAACCGCACATCAAGCAGGCATCTTTGTTGTCGATTGAACAAACCATTGCGGCCATTTGATGTTCGAGATCAGCAACTGAAGAATTGGCTGTTGGTTGTGCGTCGTCTTCTTCATCAATACTGAAGTTGGCCTGTTCATTCAATAAGCCATTCTCGACCATCGATTGATTCATCGTTGAATTTGCATTGACGCTCTTCATTGATGTGTTGCCATTCGTTTGGTTTAAGGCACGTGAGGCAGCCAAACGTTTCTTATCGACAGTGAACTGGATTGGGTTAGCTGCTGGTCGTGTGCGCAAGTAATACATGCCTGTTTTCAAACCAAGTTTCCATGCATAAAAGTGGATTGAAGACATTTTTGCGTAATTGGGCTGGGCCACGTGTAGGTTGAATGACTGGCTCTGGTCGATGAAGGCACCACGATCTGCGGCCATATTCATGGTTGTCTTGACCGAGATTTCCCAAACAGTTTTATACAAATCGCCTATTGCATAAAATTGTGTTGATAAACCGCAGATAAAAACATGTAACATGAAGTTTAGTAAACTTACGAATTTCTTGGGGAATCCGTGTGATATTTTGGATCGAACCATAGTCCGCGATGATTTCATTTTTCATGTCATCGTTCCACATCCCAATTTCGGTCAAATCCTTGATCAAATGATGATTGACCACCTGAAATTCACCAGACAACACACGACGATTGTAGATATTCGATGTGTATGGCTCAAACGATTCGTTGTTGCCTAGAATTTGAGCTGGTGAGATGAAGAAGAAAGAGATTTTTGTTTTATTGAAGGAAATTGTACATGTCATTCTCATGATGACAATTTTAAAAGAAAATTTCCGTAAAAAATTAAATTTAAAGCAGAAGAAACAATCGATTTTCACCGAAAATTCAAATTTTTGCTTTGGAAAAATGACTTTATTGTCTTTGATTTGCTGAATTACCTGTTGAAGCCGTAGGCATTGGCGCCAAAAGCAGTGAGTTGCGAACGCCATGTGTGGCAATCTTCTGTTTCAATGCATTCCAATCCCATAAATCGGTTGGTGTCTTGTCCCACATGTCATATTGCAGGATGCCTTTGCTAACCGGTGAACCTTGGTATGTTTCGTATGGCCTGTATTTTTCCGCCAATTCGCAACTTGCTTCCAATGCACCATAGTAAATCGTCTCGAAAATCTGTTGATTCAATTTGGCTGCTTCTTCGCTTTCGTATGGGAAACGCATCAAAAGGAAGGCATCGGCTAAACCTTGAATGCCAATACCAATTGGCCGATGACGCTTGTTGGACTTTTCAGTCTCTGGCAACGGATAGAAGTTGACGTCAATGATCTTGTTCAGGTTTCTTGTGACAACTTTGCTAATTTCCTTCAATTTGCCAAAGTCATACGTTTTATCTGCTTTCACAAACATATTGACAGCAATCGAGGCCAAATTGCAAACGGCAATTTCATCCGGATCGGTGTATTCAACGATTTCTGTGCAGAGATTGCTGCATCGGATTGTGCCCAAATTTTGTTGGTTACTTTTGCGATTGCACGAATCCTTGTACAGCATGTACGGTGTACCCGTTTCAATTTGCGATTGAACGATCTGGAACCAAAGATCACGCGCTTTCACCTGACGCTCAAATCGTCCTTCGCTCTCGTATTTTGTGTAAAGTGCATCAAATTCGTCGCCCCATACTTTGTACAAATCCGGCGATTTGTGTGGACACATCAAACTCCACATTTCATCAGCTTCCACCCGTTTCATGAACAAGTCCGGAACCCACAGAGCCAAGAATAAATCGCGGCAACGTTCTTCTTCATGGCCAGTGTTCTTGCGAAGATTGATGAACTCGAAAATGTCAGCGTGCCAAGGCTCAAGGTATATGGCGATAGCACCAGGACGACGGCCACCTTGATCAACATACCGGGCGGTTGCATTATAAACGCGAAGCATTGGAACTAGGCCATTCGAATAACCTCCAGTTCCAGAGATTGGCGTTCCTTTGGCACGAATGCAATGTACCTGAAGAAAAAAAATGAGCAAATAGTTACAAAGAGTGCATTGGATTGGCTACTCGCAGCAATAAAAATTACGATATTACATTTAAACCAATTCCTCCAGCGTGTTGTGATATCTTTGCGCATCGTGCGAGCGTTTCGTAGATGCCATCCATACTATCGTCGGTCATTGCTAACAAAAAGCAGGAGCTGAGCTGTGGCCGCGGTGTGCCGGCTGCAAATAATGTCGGTGATGCGTGGGTAAAATATTTCTCGGAGAGAAAGTTGTACGTTTCAATTGCGCCATCGATATCTGCGCCGTGGATGCCTACAGCCGTTCGCATCAACATGTGTTGTGGACGTTCAACTATTTTGCTATTGATCTTGAGTAGGTAAGAGCGTTCTAGCGTCTTGAATCCAAAGTAATTGTAGTTGAAGTCTCGATCATAAATGATAGCCGAGTTCAAATGCTCGGCATTTTGCATGATAACATTGTAAATGCTGTCACTTATCATCGGCGTCTTACGACCATTCGTTTCCGCGTTGTATAAATCAGCGATGACCTCTGCAAAATGTGAAATTATTTCGGTGAGTTCAACAAGAAGAACATAGAGAAAAATGGAAATTTTCTGTTCTTCAGGCTGAATTTTAATCTGACATAGTTTATTGATAGGCAAATGTTGCTGTTTGTTTAGTAAATTCAGTGAATCAATTGAAATCGCAATTTGTTTGACTTTGTTTGGTTATTCAATGCATACAGTCGTGATGAATGCTAATCGATTGACACTGAATGAGTGCTAATTAGCGGTTGAGGTTAGAAAATGAAATTCTGCTTGTACTCACCTGAGAACGATTTCTTCGTCTCCTTATGTAAATTGGATACACTGATTCGTGCGGCAAGAACGGCGTAATCAGCATGCTCAGTTGTCATGGTGGCTGCTGTCTCGGCGGCCAATGTATCAAGCTCTTGAGTCGTTACACCGGTATAAAGACCATTGATGACTTGCAATGTGATCGAAACCTTTGAGAATGAAAAGAACGAAACAATCCGATAAATCAATTGATCTGGCCGAATCGGTCGAACGAAGCAAAAAACGGCTTTTAAGCCAATGTAAAATGTTCATGAAATCGATCAAACTCTTACCGGATCAACATATTCCATGTCCAATCCATAGCACAGTTTCTGGATGCGCGATGTAATTTTATCGAAATGGACCTCCTCTTTGCGACCATCTAAACCCAATTCCGTCATTGAATCGAGAACCATTATGAAAATTTAGAATTTTATGCACGCCAAATTGCGAGAGAAAATGACTAATCGAAAAATAATTGTCGGTTTGTATGCATACCTCGCTTCATGACGAACATCTTAGAGCGAACCATTTTTGTTGTATTGGTTTTATTCGATTTAATTTCTTATAAATAATCTTATCTTGTAATTAAAATGTTAATATAACTTGTTTTAAATCCTAAAGTCCAATAAACTGATTACGGCTGTGTTTTTCACGAATTCACTAGCTGCACTTCGTATTAACACTTTGGTGGTTTGCGACAGTTTAACAAAATTGGCGCGAACATACAGCGAAGTGTCAAAGTAGCATCGAACTTTTTTCACTTGAATTTTTCAGCATTTGACTAAACGTCCAGAGATTTCGAAGAGTGTAGATGCAATCTGGTTTAAAAATGTACATTTGAAGTGGGTTTTTTTAATTCGACTCAAGTAATTTACACGAAAATGTCTCTGTGAAATCAATGTAAAAAGAACCAACGAGATATTATCGTTAAAATGGGAAAATTTACGTAGAAAAAATTCAAATACCGATGCAATGAATTCGGGCAAATTGGTCGAACTGTCACAATGTGAGCTCAGTTGTTGTACACAGTGTTTGGGACATTTGGCATTGTCAATACAACACATCAAATCTGACACGTAATCTCATTGAATTGTAACATCGAGTCAATAGTCCGAAAATTTTTGTTATTTTTGTCGAAAAATTGCATTCGTTCGGTCTTCAAAATGGTAAAGTTTTCTTTAAAATTTCACTTGAACCTCTTGACAAAATTGAAAATATCGTTTTGAATGTGTTTTTATTGATTTTTTAGGTTTTGATCGCAGCCGCTGTATTTACCAAAGCAGGGAAAGGTATTGCATGAACTCATTAGCGAACTTTTGAACATGAACCACTTTTTTCGTCATGTGAAAACCGAATTTAATCGATGATTTTTTGCTTTTGCAGTGATAATTTCCCGCCAATTTATCGAAATGACGAAGGCTCGGATTGAGGGGCTGTTGGCCGCTTTTCCAAAGCTTATCACATCCGGTAAACAACATACATTTGTCGAATCAGACTCGGTGCGCTACGTGTATCAGCCAATGGAAAAGCTGTACATGGTTTTGATCACAACCAAAACCTCCAACATTCTGGAGGATTTGGAAACATTGCGACTTTTTTCGAAAGTGGTACGAAAAATACACCAATTTTCATTTAATTAGTTGATTTTTAGGGCGTTCATCGGACATGATTTTGTGTGTGTATTGAAAATGCAAACTATTTCAACCTTATCTGCTTGATTCTAGATTCCCGAATACTGTCGCAATTTAGATGAAAAAGACATCAGTGAGAATGCATTCAATTTGATTTTTGCATTCGATGAAATCGTTGCACTTGGCTATCGTGAGAGTGTCAATTTGGGACAAATTAAAACGTTTGTCGAAATGGATTCACATGAAGAGAAAGTCTACTTGGCAGTCAGACAGACGCAAGAGCGTGAAGCCAAGCAAAAGATGCGTGAGAAGGCCAAGGAATTGCAACGTCAACGATTGGAAGCTAGCAAACGAGGCGTGTCATTGGGACGTGGCGGCAGTAGTTCAAGCTCAAGCTTCGGCGGTGGTATTTCAAGTGGTGGCTTTGGTAGCATTTCGAGTTCATCGTCTTTGTCGCAACCATCGGTTGGAATCGGCGAAACTGCTCCGTCGCCAGTTAAGTAAGTTTTATTCCACATACCACGAGATTTTGAGCACAAAAAATCCAAAATTGACGATGTTCTCCATTGAAAAATCATGATCAACCTTGCTATTTGATTCACAGAAAACCGGCTCCAACACGTAATGCACTCAAATTGGGTGGCAAATCGAAGGATGTTGATAGTTTTGTTGACCAATTGAAGAGCGAAGGAGAGAATGTCACGAACTTGGCACCGACCTCACACAGTGCTGCTCCAGTTGCTCGTGCCAAAGCTAACGTACACACGGAAGAGTAAGAGACAACATGCATGTTACCCAATGAAATCAATCTAACTCTTTCACTTGGTCCATTTTCAGTGTTCATTTGCGTGTCGAAGACAAGATGAATTTGCGCATCGGTCGCGAAGGTGGTTTGCAATTATTCGAATTGTTTGGTTTGTTAACGCTCAAAGTGGCCGACGAGAAATACGGCAAAATCAAGGTTCAACTGGAAAATAATGTGAACAAAAGCATTCAATTGCAAACCCATCCAAATGTCGACAAAGAATTATTCCGATCCGCAAACCAAATTGGTCTTAAGAATTCAACCAAACCATTCCCGATCAACACAGATGTTGGTGTTTTGAAATGGCGCTATCAAACACAAGATGAAACGGCAATTCCATTGACAAGTGCGTAAAAAATGAGTTGAAATTCATGGCAACATCAAAAATTTATATTTTTCTCAACAGTTAACTGCTGGCCATCTCAAAATCCAGAGGGAGGTTGTGATGTCAATATTGAATATGAGTTGGAACATCAACAGCTTCAACTACAAGATTTGTCGTTGAGCATTCCATTGCCGTAGGTTTAGTTTTTGTCGATTTTCGAATTAAATCTGTTTATTGTTGGAATAGTCTTGGACAAGTGATTCAATTGACATTCTTATTTTAAATGTTTCAGTACTGGATGTCAACCGACTGTGGTCGACTGTGAAGGTGATTATCACTACGATAAGGGAAAGAACCGTCTTCAATGGAACATTTCGATTGTCGATGCATCAAATCCGGCTGGTTCAATGGAATTCAGTTGCCCATCATCGATTCCAGGCGATTTCTTCCCAGTCGAAGTGACATTTGTTTCAAAAGTACCATATGCAGATCTAAAAGTGTTACATGTTACTAAAGTCGATGATGATTCAGCCGTTCCATTCTCAGTTGAAACCATATTCTATCCCGAGAAATACGAAATTGCCTGAAGTAATTAGAATCACATTTATCTATGTTTAATATTCCATTGCCGCAAAATGTATCAATTGTAATGGTGTTATTTCAATTTATCTACATTTTAACATTTATTCAATAAATTGCATTTCTTTCGAAGAAGATACTTATGCTTTAGTTTTTGGGTGTTTTGCTTGAATTAAGACATAAATGTTTTCTTCAATGTTAAAAATTGAAGTGGCTATTTCCTACGTACCTTCCCAATCGTCGATGATCCTTGGTCGACCATCTGACCATATCGATTGCAACGTGATAAAAGAGATTGATTGTTTGATTAAGAGCCAAAGATTATTTTAAAAACAGTCAATTCATTTGATATCGATCTAAAAAAACAAGTTCAATCAAGTGTTTATTGGTTTCGAACGATCAATACAAAACAATTTATCATTCGATTCAGTAAGTGCACAACAATTGATTATTTTTCAATGGAAGGTATATTTACAAAAAGTGAAACCGGAAATACCTCCAGCTCGTTCCCTGTTTTGAACATTGGATCAAAATTTAAAGCATGTTCTAACGTCTGCAGTCCTGATTCAAGGTCTAATCATAGGAATGTGTGAAAAGTATCAATTTGGCGGCTTAGAACACGTAGAGAAGCCCAAAATGTATTCAAAATCAAAACGCGGGGTATATCTCAAAAACTAGAGTTGATGTGATCAAACTGATAATAAATTCGGATTCAGCATAAAAATGGGCTTCAATACCTTTCATTTAAGCCATTGCATGTCTTAATATCATATCGCTATACAAAGTTATCGCACATTCCGTATGAAGTTTGGGGTGAAAAGTACTACAATTGAACCCGTGAGCATAAAAACGACTTATTAAACAATCGCCGAACAAAACGATACAAGAAAAAACTACCGAACAAAACGTATCACAGCGGTAATGTGTAGCACAGCGGAGTTTCGTTTTGAACGGTACCGTCCTGCTGTGTTACGTTTTTAACGTGTGTTTTGTTTGGTAGTTTTTTCTTGTATCGTTTTGTTCGGTGATTGTTTAATAAGTCGCTTTTATGCTCACGGATTCAATTCGACCACTTTTTGAAATTTTGATGGACTCAAATTGACTTATATCGATTGGGCCAAGGCAGTTTTTTTCTTGAATCACATAGAGGAAGATCATACGAAGAATTTAAGTGCTATACGGTCTCAATATGTTGATTTGTTTTACGGGAATTTGCATTGAACTATTATAACCGAAGTGGAAATTCGAGAAAAATTCAAATAAATTTATGAGCCAAAAACCAAACTTGCGCAAATGCGATCAGAACGAAACTTTCAGGATCTAATTTTTCCACCAAATAATGAAACCTCAGAAAGTTTGAAGTCAATCAAAAGCGATTTACGGGTACCTCCCATACAAAATTGTCGAAATTTGGCCTGAAATTACCCATTTTTCAATAAAAATGATCAAAAATCGATGTAAAATCAATTGAGTACTGTTTTTCTATGTCATATATGTTATGTTCTTTGATCACAAGGTGGAAAATATACTAAAACATGCGAAAAAGGTAAGGAAACAGAACTTAAAATGCCAAAAAAGGCGATTTTTGGCTATCTGAATAGATATAGCTCGGGCGCCAGGTCCCAATCCAAGGTTTTAGGGTAGTTTTTGGTTGGAATTTTCTTTTTGTATGATTCTGCAACGATTAAGCTATTTGGTGACGTTAAATTCAAAAAAAGTCGAAAAAAACCAGTCTACTGTTACACAAATCGTCTAATGTCTTTTTCGTCTCGACAATTGACAAAAAAGAGGAATTAAGGAAGAATATATTTCAGAAGGAATACAGTATACCTGGCACTTGAAAGTACAACAGAAATTAGAGAAAAGACACCAAAGATTAAGGAATTTGACTTCAGTTAAAATGCATATTTTTGATCATTTGAATAGGATTGTTCTAAACAATGTTTGTAGCTACATACCGATACATCTGCCGACCTTTGAATTTTTGGCAATTTATGTCCATTTATATTCATGCTCACAACACGTCGTTAGAATGATATTTATTTTCAACCTGAAAATATTTAAATCCTCGATTATCGGGATTATCTATATAGCTGATTCTTGGAAAACGCATGACGATGAACTTAAAAACAAGGTCTTTAGACACTCATAGAACATTTTGAAACCAATTTTGCAAAGTGCATCAAAATGAAATTGTCAATTCTGTCACAACAAAGGATGTTATTTGTCCATTTTTGACTATCCTTACTGCTGTTAACGATCAGAAATGTATTGGAATTGTGCTTACAAAATTCAGTTGTCTTTGAAACTTGCTTGAGAACGGATATTGCTATGAACTTTGTAAGAAATATTATTTCGAACAATTGAGAACTATTTCTTTGGAAAAGAAAGAATAAAAATAAATACGTGATTTTTGAACTAAAATAGGTTTGATTAAGAACTGAATGTAGTTTACTGGATATCATTCACACAAATTAACATTTTAAGGTATTTGTAATTGGCGACAATGATGAAGAGGAAGAGAAAGAGAGTGTTCCCGTTTGCCGTAATTTCTTGAAGTCATAATGTGTTAATTTTATTTTGTTGATTATTTCACAGCGTTCCTCAAATAAATAGAACAAATCTAAAGCAAATAGCTAAAGCACTGATGGGGAACAATCTAATCAAATTGGCAAACAGAAGAAGGAGCAACGCGAGTAGTGTGAATGAAAATCAACATTTTTTATCATGTTCAATTTTCACATTGAATCGCCATTGTTTCGACGAACTATTCGATTATCTCTCGTTAAGGGATTTACATTCATTGGCCCAAACATGTAAATCAATGCAACAAATGACGGGCGAATTTTTCGCACGCAATTATTCAGGCGCTAAATTTAATTGTTTAAGTGATGGTATTTATATGATAGACAATGATGATGAACAATATGAAGTTAGCATTGAAAAGTGTATTCCAATACCATTTTTTATTCAATTTATCACTTGGATTGCCATAGAAAATAATGTACATGCTAAAACGAAGAAGAAACCATTTAGCACTCATTCTTTTACAGTCTTTTACCACTGTGAACTGGACAAATTTAAGTTCATTAAATTACATTCCGATGAATTTAACTCAGTGAAAATAATGTCTCTTACAAATGTACGCATCAATAAGCAAATAGTTGGATACATTTTGAAAATTTTGCCAAATATCGAAGTGTTGGAACTATCAACATGTAAAATTACTCAAGATCTCTATGATATTCTTCTAAAGTATTGTAGGAATGTGCGATGTATTCGTATAATTCAATTAAATAACAAAAATAAATATAAATGGCTACGGAAACGATACGAAAAGCTTGGACATTTAGAATTGTGCAATTACGCAGAAAAAATAGATGAACTTCATGAATTTTTCGAACGTAATCCCAATATACGTAGTTTTTCATGCGATTCAAATACATTTTGGTCCAATAAAGATGCATTACTCAATTCTAAAGCTAAACTGGATACATTTGAATTGAAATACGGATATTACATTCGTTTGGTGAACGAAAAAACTTTTTGGGATTTTTTATATCAACTTCACACTCATGGTTTCTATAAGCGTTTACATATGTATGGGTTTGATGAGGATTGGTCTTCAATACCGTTCTTGGAATTATTTTCCACTAATAGTAGTACGGAAAGCCTTGAACCTTTTTCGACCCATTTGATCGAATATATTGAAACAGGGTCAATTCGTCCTTTTCTTTGGAATGAAATAATGCTTTCTGGTAGATCCAAAAATGAAACCCTTGTAGAGAATCTCATTGAATGTCGAACGTCTTTACGTATTTAGAGAAACGTTCGATATTCTGCTATTCATTAAAAAATTGAGAAAATTTAAAAAAATTGAAGTTATTCAAGTTCAAATCGTCAGAGATACTTCAATTGGATATGTTGAATACAGAACGAGAAAAGTTACGATTTATGTACCAGACGCGGTTTATTTGGCAACGAAATGGGCCACCAAAAATGGAACTACAAATTTTAGCTTGATCGAAATGAAACGATCCAACTCGTATGAATGGTATAGATTCCTCTACACACATAAATTCCTACCTATTAGACTTCCTCCAGGCATATATTAGGAAAATGTTAACTAATAAATCGAAAAATATAATGATTTGAAAATAATTTTAGAAAGAAAAAATAACGAGGAAACGTAACGAATTGAAAATAACGAGGCTCACGAATCGTTTGAATGTGGAAGTGAAAAACAAAGAATACAGCTAACGCACTCTGGTCAATCGGTGTCAATCATTTCAATTGAATACAACGGTTAAATGTAGCTCGAATTTATGCTTATCAATTTGTTTCAAATAAACTGCATGTAATTGACGCCTTTTGATAAGATGGCATTTATCGCCACAATCTGACTGTTCGCGCGCTTCGGAAAATAAATGTTGTTCTTTTGAGAAATGTTTGTAGTTATAAGCAATTATGAGTATTTAATAACAAAATATTTTTTTAATATCAAAATAAATTCGAATCAAATTTCAATCGAAAAATAATTCTCTTTATTTTTTTCGTCTTGTGCACATTTTTTGAAATTGTATTAATTCGTTCGTTGGTTTTTTTTCTACGTATAGCGTGCCATGACAAAAACAACGAACATAATTGCTTATAACTACTGGTAATATAAAATTTACTCATTTGTCTGACGTCTAACGAATTAATACGTAGCTCGCTCATGTTTATTATATTTGATTGATAAACACCAAACCGGTCAACGCTTTATTTTAAATTATCTGTTACCCTAGACTGGTTTTTTTTCGACTTTTTTCAGAATTTTACGTCACCAAATAGCTTAATCGTTGCAGAATCATACAAAAAGAAAATTCCAACCAAAAACTACCCTAAAACCTTGGATTGGGACCTGGCGCCCGAGCTATATCTATTCAGATAGCCAAAAATCGCCTTTTTTGGATTTTAAGTTCTGTTTCCTTACCTTTATCGCATGTTTTAGTATATTTTCCACCTTGTGATCAAAGAACATAACATATATGACATAAAAAAACAGTACTCATTTGATTTTACATCGATTTTTGATCATTTTTTTGAAAAATGGGTAATTTCAGGCCAAATTTCGACAATTTTGTATGGGAGGTACCCGTAAATCGCTTTTGATTGACTTCAAACTTTCTGAGGTTTCATTATTTGGTGGAAAAATTAGATTCTGAAAGTTTCGTTCTGATCGCATTTGCGCAAGTTTGATTTTTGGCTCATAAATTTATTTGAATTTTTCTCGAATTTCCACTTCGGTTATAATAGTTCAATGCAAATTCCCGCAAAACAAATCAACATATTGAGACCGTATAGCACTTAAACAATTGGGTAATCTTATCTCAACAAGTAATGGCAAAGATTCAACTAATCTCGGCCAATCCAGAGCTTCTGAGGTCTCAATGTCAATCGATAGATGTGTTATTGTTGAATGTTTATCAATGAATTTGCAAAACTCTTCATTAAAAGAACTATGAAATTCCCCTTTCGGATAATTGATGATGAATACTTTGAGTTGTGGAAATAAAAAGGGTATGAAACATATTGGCAATTCAGTCAGTTTATCAAAGTAATTTCGAATGATTTCACACTTTGCATGTGTATAAGATCATCTGTGCCTTTGTAGAATGTAATGGGCTTTATTTGAAGTTTTAGAGTTTCTATATTTTTCAGACTATCGAGGGCACTCCGAATCAAACTTACATTCAAAGTACTGCATACAAATTTCTCTGATATAAGACAAAGAGATTTTATCTGTGGATTCAGCAGCAAAATAGGTAGCACCATTTCATTTTGAAAGAATGCTGAATCATACATACCAAGCTCATCAATCCGCAACTCTTCTAAATTAGGAAAATGATTTACGTTGGTGCTATGAAATGCTGCAATTTTGGGAATAATGTTTTGAGGCAAGTTCTTTCAGAAAATTTATGGTCATAGGTCGAAAATTCAACGAGGTTTGTGAATGGATTATCAAAATACTGTAATAAATCATGTCGACAATCAGGCAAAAATATATCATAACCTTGCAATATTGTGAATTCCTTCAAGTATTCAGCACAATAATTCTCGATATAAAAAATTACTTTACGATCAATTTGAAATTGATTTTCAACGTTTTCCGTAATTTGAAGATCGGTATAAAAAACTATGCGAACAATCGCTCGTCCAACACAGCGTATCAACTGCAAGCTAGTTTTTAAATCATTTATTGTTACATGTGATTTGTCTTTGATTTCGAATAGTAGTTTCGGCGATCAAAACACAACTGTTTTCAATGTAATATTTTTGAGTAAATCTATTTGATAGAAAAACTGCCTTTTTAAAAATACGAGAAGAATTTCGTATATGTACCCAATTTCGTATTGAACTTAATCTGAAGATACACGAAAAATTGCTCTCTGATGTGTTCTTCGAAGGTGTCATAAATGATTGAAGGAAAATTCAATGTGCATAAACATCGTTGGCCACCATTAGAGAGTGGTTTGAAATAGAAATAGAAACAACATAAAAAAAACAGAGACATTGAAATGGAGAAGGAGTAGAAGATTTAATCTATATTCGTCCTCTAAAGGACCAGACACACGTTTTTACACAAATAATTGCAGTCAGCTTATAATCAAATCTGTCGCTTTACAGGAATCCCTATTATTTTGGCTTTTATGATAGGGTCCTTTTACCTGAAAGTTATTATCGCTGGCATGCAAAATGAACTGTGATTTTCACTGCATTCAATCATTACCCAAAAAAAACTTTTTGGGTAAGAGAAATGATTCACTTAACACCACTGAAATATTATATTATCGTTTAACGAATTGCAAATGTAGGTAAAGGACAGCGTTCATGGGCTGTTTCGGAGCCATCAAGGAATCTAGCTGCTCACGGCTTTATTCGACAAGATGACTTGAACGCCGCTTTGGACAAAGGATTCAATCAAGCCTATCGATGCAAGGGAATTATTAATATTTTTGTGGTATGTTTTGTTCAGTTTTTGTCTATTTTAATATGCATTTTAACGTATTTGTTCTCTTTTTTGTGGTCAACAAGTTCTTGTTTGCATAACAAAATTCTCTAAATTTCATGATTGTCTTTTTACCGTATAGCTAAATTACATTAATTTTATTTTTCAGTTGCTTGTTATATTGCTATTATTTATTATAATATTTTGACATAGCACAAACCACAGGGATAGCACTACACTAACAATAACATTATTTGCAAACTAAAGTGCGTCCAAACATTGATCACCAGTGTAAACGCACGCTCGTAGTGCAAAGAGCACGATCATGGATGCACTTACCTCTCGTTCACAAAGCTAAGTTATAACTTATGGAAATTTATCAACAAACTTAACAGTGAACACGTTGTATTTGTATGTTTTTCTTTGTAGAATGCTATAGCGTCACCGCAGAATCCTTTTACATTCCTTATGACTATTCGTTTCAATCAGAAATGACTCATAAAATGAATCCATTGTCCAATCTGTAATCAAGTTCTATACTAAATGACAAAACGCCATGTAAATTTTCTTTATTGATTTATTCATTATTTCCAAATTTATTATTACGCTCTCACTGCAAAGAAATGTCAAATTTGAATACATAATGTAATTCTACTGTATAAAAAGTAAATATATTCAAAATGGTCATTTGATTCGTCAGTTCATACTAATTGCTATAAACTGATCTGCACTTCGGTTTTAGGTTATTTGTTCAAACAGAAATTATTTGTGTTATTCATTTGTTTATTTTGTGAGTGTCTGTTAAAATGGCCGTTTCGTGTGAAGAATTTTCGGAGCAAACAGTTCACATCGAAATGGTTATTCAGCAGTATGAATTCGCATGTGATGAATCAAACTACGAAATGTGTATGGGAAGTACTCTTAATGTTCAAATAATTATTGCTGCTAATCGACTTAAACTAATTCTCGTTCTTCATTTGATCATTTCCATTGTTGGCGCCACAATCGGCCAAAGCGTTGAACATTTTACACAAATTTGTGAACATCTCTTCGGTGGCGCTTGAGATTGCGATCCAAGGTGAACACGCGTCGGCAATTTGCGAAAGAGCCTGAAACACAACAATGGAATATCCACAGAGTAAATAAACTGCTGAATTTTAAATAAATAAAAAAAAAATTGCCTACATTGATAGGGTTTTTCTCCAGTATGTTTTCGCACGTGATTTGTCAATTTCGTGCGGTCTCTGGTCGTGAATTCGCATACATCGCATTCATACTTGCTGCATTTACAGTTGATTTCATGTGCAAGAGCCAGGTCATCGCTCATAAAACCTCTGCCACACTTTGAACAGTGAAATGGCGATTGGTCGGCATGTTGATTGATCGAATGACGGTCCAAGCTGTGTTTCAATGTGAATAGTTCGAGACAAAATTCACATTGATACGGTTTTTCGCCCGTATGACGACGCTATTAATGAAATTAAAAATTAATTATTAATATTATGATTATACTTGATATACTTCATTGCGTACAGTATGGTTGGTCAATTTTGTGCGATCGTTCGTAGCATATTCGCATTCATCACATTTGTACGGGCGTGATTTACATTTAGCTTCATGTTCCTGAGTATCGGTCTGCAGAAAGAATCCTTTACGACATTTCCCGCATTGGAATGGAAATTCCTTAGCGTGTTCGTCTCGCAAATGACACTCCAAATTCCATTTGTATGTATAGCCTTTCGCACAAAAGTCGCATGTGAACGGGCTTCGTTTTGTCGGTGGGTCCTTGTAATTTTGAGCGTATTCGGACGATGTGCTAGCTCGCGGTGCTGGTGCGGCAGGCGGTGCTTCTTGGCGACTCGAATGAGTCGTTGGCAACAGATTATGATATGGTGGCATGGCCCATCCGAACGTATTGGCCAAACCATCAAAATTTCCTCGTCTTCCTGCGAATTTTCCACACAAAAATAAAAGAACGCAATGATTTAGTCGATACGTACATCATACTAATTACATTCTAATGATATAACAAATAATTGAAAATTGTCCGATTTACCCGTGTCATAAACTTCTGGGCCTGAGCTAGGCGCCGTCTTTTGTTTTTTCCCACCTCTCTTGCTTCCTCCTCCATGGTTTCCATTCGGCAAAGCCATCGTTGGTTCGTTCACTGGCGGATACGGATACGGTGGCTGAGCAAAAACCTGCTCGTGATTATCTACATAGATGTGATGGGTGAGAATAAAATAAAAAAACTAGATTAGGTACTGTCACATACATTTGAAGTCAAAAATAAAAGAAAAAAACTGCATTGTAAACTCTTACATATCAAATGTCGACTGAGTTCTTCGGGCAACATTGATTTAGACATCTGTATGAGAATGAAAAGAATTTTACCCAATTGATCAAATAAATGTTGTATTTTGCGCTCAAATAAGCATTTAGTTCGAGTATTTACGAATCGAAAATTCTACGACCAAACGATTTCATTTGTTGCGACCGAACCTAACCTCAATAAATCCAATGCTATGCTAACACCACCAATTTGAAATTTTGTTGTACGCTTGATTTCAACCAGTTTTTGGTATTTGTTCATTACACGGTACGGTAAGCCAATTCAAAATTTTGTTGTCCCCTAGACTTTTATTTTAGAAACTTTTTTTTTTGTTCAGGTTTTCTGCTCTCTCACAAACAATGAAATGCACTATATTATTGTTTATGGTCGTCTACTACATTTGGCATACTTAAAACACTCTGTATGTGTTTTGGTGCTTTTCGACACTTTTTTTCATAAATTTTTTATTACTATTTTTAAATCTGCGTACATATTTCGCCAAAATTCAACATTAAACTGAATCACACTGTAAATTGATCGACTTTTTTTGGGGAGAAAAAATGAGAAAATATTCAGAACAAACAACTTTTACAAAGTGAAAGCCACTTTGTTGTATGCACTTTGTGTCATCTGTCACTTTGTGATGATTCTTTTTTCTTCCATTTTCTCACACGTATACAATTCAATGGGTGAGTAAGCGAGTGGACGAGCTAGTGAATGTGTATGAGTGAGTGTGTTGGAAGAGTACCGATATATGTAGCTCCCTTGCCTATACAACAACAATACCAAGCTAGCGTTCCTTAATTGTTTTTTTTTCTTTCGTCTCAACGTTCGTTTGGATTCTGAATTCTGACTATGCTACGCTACTTATATTCACTAATACACTCACACTTGAGCATCCATATACAAAAGAATGATTCGTTGCATTTGAACGTACGTACATTCACATTTTTTTTGTCTTTCTAGATTTTTAGATACAAACGATCAGATTAAACGGCAATCGTTTGCTAGTAGAAAGGTTTCGTGCGTAAAATACGTATCAAATGAAAAAAAACACTTTTCAATAGTCGATTACCGTGCTGAAAGCGAACACAAAATTTGTGATAACCAATTTCAACAAATCATTTCGGGGCAATTTAAAAATTAGTTGAGAGAATGCAAAATAGGTCGATTAAAATCGCGCTGAAATGATTTTTTTAAATTGATATCACGAGTTCTGCGTTAGCTATCGGCATGAGAATCGACTCTGAAAAATCATTCTTCATTTAACTATTTTCACCATTAACGAGATTTTTTTTAAAATTGAATCTCGGGAAAGAAGCATTATTTTCACATTGGTAAAAATGATTGAAAGAATTAACTTAATTGAAACGGAGCAATTGGCGCGCTCTGATTTTATTGCAATTTTTTTTGAGAGATTTTAGATGCAGAAAAATCGTGTTTATTCTTTAATTGTAGAAACCAAACATGGAAACCACAAAAATATGCTAATTCCCATCAAAACATTACTAGGACACAATTATTTGAATAAAACCGCTAATGCACTCGAAAGTCTGTCAAAATGTATGGAGATTGGCGCTTCAGTCGCAATTTTATCGTTAAATTCAGCAAGGCAGGGCATATTTTAACCGGTAGTTCTACCGGATTCCGGTAGTTCTAAATCCTAATCCGGTAGTTCTCAACGAAAAATGCGGTAGTTGAAAGTTTACATATAATTGAAAGAAACCCTTTTCTGTACATTTTGCTTCTAACGATGCTAAAACTTATTTTAAGCCGATATTATTAAGAAGCAATATTATATCGGTTCTATGCATTTTGACGAGCATTATCTTAGATAACGGAGACCGCAAAGATAAACATGAATAAAGAGTGCTGCATCTGCTCGAAAGAAATCAAAGCGATTTATTAAAAAAATTATGAAATGGCGATTTTTTCCGAAAAGAGTTACGGTACTGCTACCGAACACTTTGCAATGGTCAACGAGCAGAATACGAAAAAATAATGCGATATTGAAAGTAGCAAATCATTCGGTGTCAATTTTTATTGCGATGCACGTGACATTGATAGTTTAATCGTGAGCTGAGAATAAAATTCGCATTATTACAGTTAATTTGTTTTTTAAAACCGTAACATGAATTGTCGCTTCAATAGAAACGTCAAACGTTACATGAAATTTGTGAATTTGGAATGTGCTTTTTTTTGTTATTCTTGCGAAAACGATAAGAGATAACGAATTGTAATCTCCAACAAAGTTATAGAATTAGTTAGGCTCCGAAGCTTTGCTGAACACACTAATTCATTATCTCTTATCATTTTCGCAAGAAAAACGCATTTAAAATTCACATTTTTCATGTTACGATCATGAGCTATTTAAATGTATATGCCCATATAGGCCGGAGTAAATTTTTAAAAAAATGTTTACCCTGCCTATAGTTTGCCGCATTTTCATCTTTTTATATTTTTCCGGTAGTTCTAAGAATTCCTTAAAATATGCCCTGCAGCAAGGATTGAATTTCGCAACAAAATGAATTCCATTGCAAACTGAGATTGAATTTCAAGGTGTGTGCCTCGCTGCTTCTTCTAAAAAAATATCCAATAAGTTTTTGTGCATTGAAAAAAAAGTTGAACTAAAAAAAAACATCAAGAATCCATCGCAGAATCGAAAGACTGTTTTTTTTTCAACATGGCACAAGCAAATTTAGTGTCGACCAGTTCGGAAATCAATTTTCCGTTTGTGGTGGCCAAAGTCAGCGAATTGAAAAGCATTCGATCGCCCGAAGTCATGATCCATGGATCGCCGTGGTGTTTTGTTTTCCAGAAATCAAAGCAATGGCTTGTAATGTGTTTGGAACGCGTAGAAAAAAACACCAATACCAAATTGCCATACGCTGCAAAGGCTACGATCAAAATGCTTTCATTTTCGCCAAATGTGCAACCGTTGGAATATCATATTCAATCACAAGTCTTTGATTTTTCGAAAGATCCTTTCGATAAAAAGTTGGTTCGCGCGGTTGATTTATCTGAAATCGACGAGAGCTACATGAAAGACTTCAAATGGACATCAAAATTGAAGTAGCCGACGCAAATAATGTCAACGAAAGCGATGTGACCTGCGTAAACACCTTTGAGAGCCGTACAAAGTCATTTTATCGACTGACCGTCAACAACATCAAAAACTTGCTGGCCGTTCGAACGCCAGAATTCGAATTACACGATTATGGACCATTTGACTTGACAGTTTTCAAAAGCCTTTCCGGTCATCTCGAAGTTCGATTGCAAAAAAAGTCATTCATGAGAACGAATTTTGAGATCGTTATGTCTTCCCAATTGATTGCACCAAGCAAAGTTGCAGCAATGAAGCAAACTCAAACCGGGCATTTTCCTTATCAGGGGACACTAAGCACACAAGATCTTGTGTCATGGGACAATTTGTTGAAACCACACAATGGATTCATCACAAGTGATGCTGTTGTCATTGAAGTCGGATTCATAACAAAGTGGACACTGAATGCACCGTGCACTGCCAATCCGAAAAAAACTTAACGTTTGTACCGCATGTAAGTAGTTGTTGCTTTGACCTCTGAAAATATTTTTGAAAAATAAAATGCATTCAACACAGCATATTATAATTTTTGCCCCGTTTGAATTTACAGCCAGTACTGAAGATACAAAGTCGCCGTGGAAACGACATCAGCATCGAGGCGTTAATCAACTTAAACCGAATCATCAAATTTTTACTGAACTTACAAAAAAAACATTTATAATTAAAAAGCATGGAAAGAACATTTTTAAACAAATCAATTTAAAATACGAACATTGCATTTGAAAACGAAAAGTATTTAAGTCATAATTTTGTTGAAAAAGAATTACTAAAAATACAGAAATTCAGCGCAGGTGTTCTCGTCACAGGTGCAAGTTTCCTATGCTGATATTAGATGCAATTGCTCAGCCATTTGAATGTGAAAGAATAGAATAACAAGAAAACAAACGGCTCTATGAATTTTATGCCAGAAAAAAAATGTCATAATAAAAAAATATACCCAAGAAATTGTGCTAAAGCAGATAAGCACGCCAAGCATACGTTTGTCAAGTTTTTAGAATAAAATCCAAAAATTTTCCGGTTAATTCAAATTTTGATTGAAAAACCATCCCATTATTTTTATATAATATTTCATATGATTTATTCAGAGTAAATAGAATAAACAGAAAAAAAGTTGAAAAAAGAGAAAATTGATTCATTGAGCTACTAATTTCTTGCGGTTTTCTATTTTCTTCTTCTTTTTCTCTTCTTTGGCCGCAGCATCGATGCGTTTCCGTTTCTTTTCGAGTAGCCAATTTTCCTTTTGTTTCTCTTGTTTTTCGTTGATGAGTTTTGAGAAGAGTTTGCGATGTCTCGGTTTGACCATGCGTGCTTTCAACCGATGCTCCTCGATCTCTTGCTTTTTAATTGACCGTTGGCTTTCTCTGTGTACTTTACCACTCTGTACGGCCATTTTTTGTTTTGCTTCCTTTTGTTTGGCACGCTTTTCGGTGCTCTGTCCATCAAAATCTTGGTCATCTTCATCCAAGTCACTGTCTTCTTTGTATGCAGCATTATCGCCATCACTTTCGATCTCTTCATCTGAACCGGCGTCTTCTTTTTCCATACGGTACGCGTCTTCCAATAGACCATCACGTTCTGGTTCAGGGATATTTACTTCTGGCTCATCCTCCTCTTCGTCAGAGCTCTGCTGATGTTTTTCAATGGCCGATGGATCACGCAGAGACTTTTCTTCTGGTGGAATATAGACATCTTCACGGCTTGGATCAACAAACGGTGACAAATGTGGTGGCAAAACGGCGCCAATAAAGTACTTATTCGTTGGCAACAATGTGCGTTGATTTACACAGTCGAAAACCCATTGTGGTTGGACATAGTCGCGTGACATGTACTGCTTGCCAACGGATAGCCGATCGACAATTTGATGTGTGATCGTTTCGTCTGATTCATCGAATGTGGCTCCAACAAACAATGTTTTATCCCATGACACCTTGCCGCCAAGACAACGAATCAAAAACACCAATGGCTCACGCGGTACTTCTCTGTTTATGAATACTTTCAATCCTTTGAACAGTTTACGCAACTTTCTTTCTTCGGCCGCCTTTTCTTTCATCTGTTTTATTTGCTCGGATTCATTCTCACCCTCGAGCAAATCGATATTCAAATCGTCATCGGCTTCGTTTTCGTCGACCGTTGGATCGATTTTTAGCAAGTCAAAGTTCAATGCAGCAATTCGTTCTGACACAAATGCATGTTCGTCGCTCAACGATTCTTCTGTGTCTTGGAACAGATTCGTTGGGAATTGTGGCGGATAGACCAAATTCATTTGATTGTATAGACGGTAATTTACGAAGCCCAACATAATTGTGTAGAATTCAACGAAGATTGACATCAATCGGAAGTCGACTTCGGAACGTGACTGTGGCTGGAACGGATAATAATGTGGAATCATCCATGTCACTTTTTGTCCTTTGATTTCGGCTTGGAAATAGTAACCCTTGATCGAAATGAAGCAATAACGTAGCGATTTTGAGGCAATGACTGCGTGCAAAAATTCAATGGTCAATCGACGGCACAATGCCGATTGCTCTCTGGGCACATATTTCAATGACGGAAATGTGCTGAACAGAAACAGAAGCGTTAAACAATCGTCCAAATCTTTGATGGCATCGATGAATGTGGGGTAACGCTCTTTCACAATGTGATCCAACTTCAGTTCTGGTTTAGCCTTTAAACGACGATTCAATGCACGGAAATCCTTCAAAGCACGATCTCTGCCTGCTTTGCGATTAAAGATCTAAAATTGAAAACATTCGGTTAGTAACAGTTCTTTCTTTGGGAGGCAATGAGCTTAGCGTTCGACGTGAAGAAGAGTAAAGCTGTTTCAACCCTTCTTTCTCCAAATTTAATCAGAAATGACCGTTCAACTTCTAAACCGACTCACCTTATAGTCACGAAGTGTCCACACAATCGGTTCACTCAACAGGAATTTGATGTCTTTTGTGTGGTACAGGATTTTGATGTCGGTTGAACCACGTTGAGCACGACGACGATGTTTCGGTTCACGCGGATAAATTCCCTTGACGATGCACAGACGACGGAAATCATTCAACGATAGCTGCAGTTTTCGCAGAGCCTGTCGACGGGTAATGTAACTGGCACCTTCTCCAGAGGCATACTACAATAATTTTAATAGAAAATCCATGGAAATTAGTTTGATACGCAGTTCAACATAACCTCATTCCAGTGATAGTACCGAAATGTTCGAATATCCATGTAAATTTCAAAAGAATATTCATCAAAATTCTCACCTTTTTGAGTCGACGCATCTTTCAAGTATTAAACTTCTTCACAAAAACACTTTTTTTAATTCCTCCAAGAGCTTCGGCTCTTCTAATAAAAAATATTCTGATCGTGGAGCCGTGCACTCCGACCGTGTGTATACTTCGATGTACTCGTGCACAAGAAAACAATCGCACATGTTTTGTGACAGAGTTAGTTGACAGTTCAAACTGAACCGATTTGATGCGCTTCAAAAGTGAGCCGATGAAGTATGGTTTGAATTGGATTTGGTTTGAATATAATCGCAATAGATACATATTCTTAAAAAAAGTTTTCATTTCATTTTTTTTCTCTAGAAAAAACTCGATTAAATTTTTTTATTTTCACACTGTTCGGAAATAGGTATTCCAATCAATTTCCCTCACTTTTGACAGTTCCGTGTACTGAAATGCGAAATGTCAAAACATTGTTTACACGTGCGTCTATTCAACTAACGGAGTTTCGATTAAATGAAAAAGATTGAGTTGAAACATAAATAAAATTGCTATTTAGAGCAAAATGAGTGAACCAGGCAAATACGTGCTGCTGAAAAATGTGCAGGCATCTTCAAAGAAGATAAAGAAGGCGAAACAAAAGAAAGTCAAACAGTTGAAAAAGAAACTAGAGAAAGTTGTGCCGCAAAAAACAGCCGGTCCGATTCCGAAGCAAAAAGGGAAAATACCAGCACCGAATGAAGGAGCCAGCAAGAAAAAGAAGAAAAATAAACAAAAACCAGATGCAAAGAAGCAGTTTACCCATGAAGTACCTCAGAAAAGTGCTAAGAACAAAAAACAAAGACCACAAACCAATGAGGAGCCATCGGAAGAGCCCAAAAATTTTCACGACGATTTGGCTGGTCGATTGAAAGCGTCACGCTTTCGATTTATAAATGAGCAACTGTATACACAAACCGGTGATGAAGCGATCAAAGTGTTCAACGAAGATGATTCGGCATTCAACACATACCACGATGGTTATCGCATTCAAGTCAAACAGTGGCCGCTCAATCCATTGGATCGCATCATCAATTCGATTAAGAAATTGTTAGTTTATGAACTGAATGAATGTGTTCATGTTCATGTGAATTTGTTTCATATTGCAGTTTTTATAATCAAACATGTTTTATGTTTCCAGACCTCCGAACTACATAGTTGCTGACTTTGGATGTGGTGAAGCTCGTTTGGCCGAATCAGTGTCACAAAAATGCTACAGTTTTGACTTGGTGGCAGCAAACAAGAGAGTCATTGCATGCAACATGGCCCATACTCCACTATCGCCTGAATCAGTGAACGTGGCCGTATTTTGTCTCTCGTTGATGGGTACAAATCTCAAGGATTTCCTGCTTGAAGCCAATCGCATCTTGAAAATTGGGTACGTTTCGATTTTGAATAAAATCATCGAGTCAGTAATGAGCCAATGCCATGAATTCTGTGAATAAATTGTCAGTGCTATGAATTTTAAAAATATTCCAAATTTTTCTCCATTTCAGTGGCCATCTGAAGATTGCGGAAATCGAGTCGAGATTCGATAATGTCAATGCATTCATCAACAATTTGAAAATCCTCGGTTTTGATTTAGTCACAAAAGATATTTCAACAAAAGTGTTCTATTTTCTGTACTTTAAAAAAGCCCGTAACGTTAGCGATTCTAAGCAACTGAAGAACTTTTCTCTTAAGCCATGCCTGTATAAAAAACGATAAAGACTCAATAAAATCAAATTAAAACCAATTTGAATTGGTTCGAATAAAGAATGGTTTGGTTTTTATTTTAGAAATATTCACATTTTTTCCCAAAAATATATAAATTAGATCGGTTGTTTTTGTCAGAGTTTTACATATTTTGTATTAAACTGTTTGCTTCAGTTCGTTATGCTTTGATAAGAAACATTCTAAGTGAGGTAAATTTCCATGCACTCTTGTGCTTCTTCCTGGAGATTCTCGAGTTTTTCCAACAGCATCACCTGAAATACGAAATGATTGGTATTGAAATTTGATTTTAAGTTTCACTTTGACGAGTTTGAACTCAAGGTGTTGGCCTTTAATCCTCACCTTCGCTGCTGACACTAGCTGATGTGCCAGGCGGTTTGTCATGTGTTCAATGTTGGACACCAAATCTTTTGGCTTTGCTCTAGCAATGTCCTCAATCTTCTTATAACCAGCATTGTACAGCTGCTTCGCTCGTCCCTTCGAAATAACGTCAAGCCAACGATTAAATTTATTGAAAAAATAAAATTTTACACTAAAATCTCTTACCATTTTAACGGACGGCAACTGCATCAATGGCACCAGCTCAACGGTTGAGATGTTGCTCAATCTTTGCGACAGATTTTTGAACAATTCACGAAAAGCCCAAAATTCTTCGAGTTCCTCGCTTGGTTAGAATAAACAAAGAAATAAACAATTATTGGTTATTTTTTTATAATAAAAATTTTCTAAATACCAGAATTTGAGCAGGCAACTTGCTTCTATCGAAGCCATTCCCATGAGATTCTGTACAATGCCACGATCGATCCCAAACGAAATGGCCACTTCTGCTACTGGCTTGAGATGCCATAGCTCATTCAATACCATTGTCATGAAGAATTTCTTTATGATGCGCTCTTGTTCCTCCTGCAAATTGTGAATAATAAGTCAATGCAAACTCTAATTTTCACTTTTCAATTCCATTTTTACCTTGAATGCTTGACCCGACATCAATTTGCTTGCTGTCGACTCGGATACGCCAACAATTTTCGCCGTGTGCTGTTGATTTTGGTCCAACTGAGTGTACTGTAATTGGATTTAATTTCCTATCTGAATGTCTATTCTGAACACAACTACTTGAAGTAGCGCTTTGCTTCATGCTTGTCATACCTTATTATAAAATACGTTTCGATCAGGCATTGGCGGTGGATTGTTGTCATCATACGGCGTGACAATGTGTAGCAAATGAAAGTAGTCGAGTAAAACGAGACTTCGTTGAGCTCGTTGCAGATCGATGTATACGATTTTCGATCGATTGAAATCAATTCCCGATTTGAATGATGATTTGCCAAGCATTTCCACTTGTAGTTTCGTTGACGATTTCAGAACGAGGCATTTTCTCTGACTTAAGTCAATCTCTTTGCTGAAGCTTGAATCGTGGGCACTTGGTGTCGATGTGTTTGGGCTGATGATCTGTGGTGTGTTGTCTGTTTGTGCTGTGATTGCCTTGGATCGGATGAGTTTCTCGATAATGTCATTCGTTAGAGCCTTTACGCCAATGCCACTGAAACGATCCGCTTGAATATTGAACATAGTTCGGGCGACCAGGCTCTGAAGCTCTGCTTGTGTTGATGCGATATTCAAGCCAATCGCACTCAAAATCATCGCTTCAAATGCTCGCGAATCGCTGCTCGGCATTTGACTGACAACCTCATCCATCGGCGAGCATAAAAGTTCACATACTCTCTGGTTGTCTTGATAATTGCATATCATAATGCTCTCACCAGTCTCACCAAATCCAGCTCGACCGGCTCGGCCAACCATCTGAAGAAAGAAAAGAAAAATTGGGATGAAAAAGAAAACTGAAAATGTGTCCCTTCAATCAAAATTCAGTCAATATTCATTACTTGTTTGTACTTGCTAAGCGTAATGAAATCTTTGCCAACGTATGGCGATCGAATGATGACACGTTTTGCCGGTAAATTAACACCAGCGGCTAGCGTCGATGTACAACAAATCACACAGAGAACGCCGCATCGAAAGGCTTCTTCCAAATGACGACGTTCATCTGCCGTCAGTCCCGAGTGATGATATGCGATGCCACACATAATACTTCGGCCAAGAATTGGACAAATCGCACTGTCCATATCACTTTCGATGGCTTTGATCAAATTTTCTCGTTCGGCTAGTTTGTGTTCAGTAAATTTTTTCGGAAGCATATCACACAGCAGCCTTGCAAGGCTTTCGCAGTTTTTCTTTGTCGAGCAGAAAATTAAGCACGATTTTTCGGGAATTACTTCCGAAACCAATCCAGCCACGTGGTCTGGGTCTTTTTTGAGCGCGTTTTCTTTGTACTGGTTGAAAAAAAAAAGGATTTTGATTTTAGCAATGATTCAATTGAGAAAATGATAGACGTTGATAAAATGCATACTCACCTTGAATGAGATCGTTCTTTCCGGCACAAATGCATTTTCAATGTCCTCTCCTTTTTTGACTTCGAGCAGATCTGATCCACACTTTATGAATTCACGCAATTCAACTGGGCGAAAGTCTTTCTGGTATACGTCAGCATCCAAGAAACCAGCTAATTCTGCGAGATTACCAATGGTTGCACTCATTCCAACGATTTGTATATCAGCTAAGGGAAAAATCGCTCTTTACAGCAATTGAATCCATAGTATCCAAGTTCGTGGAAGAGAAAATTACCTTTGATAAATTGAATCTTCGTCAGCAATGATTCCAACACAGCACCACGACCGGATTCTCCAATAATATGAAGTTCGTCAATAATCACAAGTCCGATTTCGTTGGCACGGCCCGCTTCAATTAGGCTATCAAACATCACAAGTGCCTTTTCAATTGTCGCAATGTAGACCGGCTTCTTATTTCGTCGTTTGCGTGGCGGCACCGAGCCTTTTCCGGCTGCGTACTCTTCAATCATGAATCCCAGTTCCAATGCGAATGGCGACAGAGACCACACTTTCTCTTGAACAATTGAAACGTACGGAAGAATGAACAGGCACGACTTTTTACGGCACAATATCTCACGAAATATCAAAATCTCTGATACCAACGTTTTTCCACCACTTGTCGGGAGGGCGTAGATCAAGTTTCGCTTTTGTTCGATCGCCGGAAGCTGAAGACATTCTTTTTGCCAGTCTGGAATGAAAATTAAAGATGAACATTGTATTTTCAAAAAGAAACAGAAAGATAGTGATTGGCATTAAAAGGCTTGACTAAGAATCGTTATAAAGACGAAATGTTTGATCTAGAAAGAATGTGTCTTACCATACAAATCGTCGATATTTTTGTATGTTTTGATGAGCTTCTTCACTTTCAGTGGCAGACCGAAATACGGACCCATCGAGTAGAAGTTGGCCGCTGTGACTGGACTGTGTTGAATTGTTTCTAATCTTTTCACTGCGGTGATCGAGCTGTGGCTTGGAGTTGTAGCCGCTTGTACTTTGCGTTCAGTTTCTTTGGGTTCGGTTTTCTTCACTTCATTTTGAACATTCTGAATGTTTTCTTTATCATCTTCATCCGAAAATATATTTAAGGCACTTGAATCGGGATCGATGCACTCATTCAGTTGCTCTGAAATATCCAAATCGTCGTTCTCATGAATTCCAGCCAGTAGTTGATCTTCGATCAATTCCGTATTTTTGGCCAACGCTTGTGTCGTGAATACCATTTGAGCCAACAATTGATCTTCAATCATTTCCGTATTCTGCTCAAACGATGGGCTAGGTTTTTCATCTGCGGCCATGGCAGCGGTTTCAGCTCTGGTCGAATTCACTGCCAGACTCGTTTCTCTGCCATTCTTATCTGGTCGTTTGAGTTGCAAATATTGCGATGCCGTCACGTTGCTTTTGAACACATCAAATTTGCACGGATCCAAGAAATCTTGCGTACAAAATTTGCTTGCATTAATCGTCTCATTAACCAGCGAACTAATATTCATTTGAATCGTGGTCACTTCTCGTAAAAATACTTGGCTTGACTGCACAATTTCTTCTTCTTCGTTTTCCTTGTCCGATTCGCATTTTTCTCCTGCAAATGGTTCTTTGCACGCGATTGACTTCTCGCCATCTTTGCCATCGTTAAAACATTCAATTTGATCCTCCAATGTGAATTGCCAATTATCATTTCGATCAGCTTCAACGTCTTTATCTTCTTTTCCTTTCACAGTCGATTCGTTAACTGCACACCGTTGTCCGGATGTGATTGAATTCTCGAATTGGCTGTCATTCAAAAACTGTGACAAACCATCGATTTGTGTGAAATTATATTCACTTGTCGACGAATGTTTGCTATCTGAAACATTCTGTGCAATCGATGTATCGGCGTCGATTTGCCGAATGAATTGTGATCGAAAGAATTGCGAGAAATTGTCATCAAATGGATCGGCATCTTTTTTGCGTAGTTCCGGTGTTGCGATTGTCGTTGACAGCAATTTTGTCCGTTTTCTATTGCACGGTGAACCTCCGTCGTCACTGTATCGCTTCAGTGTTTGTGGCTTTTTGAAATCCATTTTACGCGATAAAATCTGATATAAAGCTTACTTTCAATAATTTACCAAATGAACATTGCACTTTGATACAGAAAATCACCGAACTAAATAAACAAAATCGAATAAATTCACTTCATTGTGAAATTGAGTTGTTTACATGATCCAAACGGGTCAGCAGCAATAAAAACAGCGGCAAAATTGTATACAAATGTCAAACAGTGTGTATGACATTCCAACTCACCACACTAAAACTCATTCAATCTCAACTCATTTGTTTTCGCTCATTCCAATTCTGATTCGAATCGAATGCAGTGGTTGAGTGAGTGAGTGGGTATCGATCTTGAGTGAAATATGCATTATCAATCCACCATAATAATAAAACATGCAGTGGAAATATTAAAAATAGTGTTACTTGAAATTACGTGCCAAATAGACTTTGCGTGCTATTTTTTATTGGACTTTGGTTTTTAACACACAATCAGAGCACGTAATAGAATAATTTTCTTTTCAATTAAAAGTGAAATTTCGATCACAGTTTTGGTGAGAGATCGCAAATATTTCTCTTGTTTATTTTTCTTTTTGGCTTGATGCTTCAAGAGACCTTTCACTTCCACAAAAATTTTGCACAAGAGAACGCTTGATTTGCGATGTGAATTATTATTTCTTTATTCAAATCAAATTAAATTGTTTGACGTTATATCAATGGTGTTTGTTTAATTCTCTAAATTTTGTTGAGTGATTTTCTATAGTCATTTCCGATACTTCTGTCAGATTTTCACAAATGTGTTCTGTTTATAAAATGCGGTCATTGATCCGACTATATGATTAATCATTAATATCGAACGACAATCAATTTTTGAACTTGGAATCGGTGTGGTTTCTTATGTGTTTGTTAGTCTTTGGTGGCAAAACTATGTTTCTATGAGGGAACTAAGCAAATTAACGTAAACTATATGCACGGTATTCAAATCGCACGGAATCGGGGTCGATAGGTCTCGGCGAAGCAAGCTCGCGAACATTCGTGTAATTGCTATTGTTGGTGTTGCTTGTTTTCAGCGTAAATATTATCAGCATAAAACCCAAAATACACTTATTCATCGCATATAACGAAGACACGCACTGAGTATACTGTTTCATAAAATCATTGTTAATGTGGTGATTAGTGTGTGTATGGAAAAGAAGTAAAACGGGCGCTGTGAACAAAAAAATTTGAATTATTTTTCGCGTTATCATAGCTGTAAATGAATTTTATTCGTAAACACATATTTCGCAGGCATTTCATTACGCGAGTTGGCCGCAGTGAAACAAGAACTATGACTACAGATAGCGAGGGCACAAAGTATTTTATTGCTGTCATTTTTTTTAGTGGTCACACTGTAGGTCTAATCTGTTTTTTTTATTTGCAGTAAAAATGGTGCAATATCATTCGAGTTAATTAACGATAAAACATTGTTCCCTGATCTACCGCCCGGGCCACTAGATCGTTATCGTAACAGTGCAAAGTTCGACTGGCGCAAATTGGCCCTGACATTAGATGGAGAACGAATCCTGCGGTTTCGTGTAAGGTTTTTTCTTTATATTTTGTGCAACTCAAAACGATTCAAATACGAATTTTCACTCTGAATTTCATTTCTCAAAAACAGAATTCAGTATGGAGTTACCTGGAGGATAATCATTTATTTGCTCGTGGTTATGAAGAACAAACGCTAGATCAAAATCGTGAAATAACCGTCCGAAGAATCAATAAAGTCATTGAAAAAGAATTCATTTCTTTGGCCGATGTGAGTATGCTCATCACAAAAAATGTGATATTCGAATAATGACTTTAACAATAGGCACTTTTTTTCAGTATATTTTAGATCCAGAGATTACATTCACATTTATGATGTCACTGATTGCATATGATCCCAGCTGTACAATAAAGGCCAGTTTAAGCACGAAAATGGTTCCGGGTGTTCTGAGAACAATGGGAACAGATCGATTGCTTCAATATGCCGAGGATGCTGAAAATGGATTGATTACAAGTTGTTTTGCTTTGACTGAAGTTTCACATGGATCAAATGCATTGGGAATGAGAACAACGGCAACTTATGATGTTAAAACACGTCAATTTATTTTAAACACACCCGATTTTGAGGCGGCTAAATGCTGGATTGGAAATTTAGGTACAGAAATTACAGACCAAAAAAACCAACTTAATGACATCCATTCAATTTTCAACCTTTGCTTCATCTAACAGGCAAAACGGCTACACACGCAATTGTGTATGCTCAATTGTACACACCTGATGGTCAGCATCATGGTCTGAATGGATTTTGGGTACCTGTTCGTGATGCAAAAACACTGGAACCATATGCAGGTGTAACTGTTGGAGATTTAGGAGAGAAAATCGGTTTAAATGGTCTCGACAATGGATTTGTAATGTTCAACAACTATCGCATTCCAAAAGAGTTCTTACTGGCCAGAACTGGAGATATATCAGATGATGGTCACTATGTGTCACCAATCAAAAACAATAAGAAGAGAATCGGCGCCTCATTTGGTGCTCTGTCCGGCGGTCGTGTCAATATCTGTGGTAACTTGGAAATTTACATCTAGAATAATCAAAATTGGAACTTATTTCCTATTGAAGACAATATTACAAAGGTGATGAGCTCATGCAATGGTGCGATCTTCTACATATAAAATATATAGGGAAGAAGGTGCATCATTGCTACCATGGGCAATGGGTGCGTTTTGGAAATAATTAACTATTTTCTTTCAAAATTCCAAAAATTGGAAAACAATCCAGGAATATCGACCGTTTACCTGATCAAAGCAATATCGATCGCCGTGCGTTACTCAGCCAGCCGAACGCAATTCAAAGACGACGATGCAGTCGATGAACTGCCAATATTGGAATATCAAAGTCAACAATATCGTCTGTTACCGCACCTCTCGACGGCCATCGTTCAAAAAGTGTTCACCATGTGGTTCACTAATACGTTTACCGAATTTTCGAAAAGTTTCTTTACTGGTGAAATTGTACCGTATGTTGGAAATGAAATACATGCACTGTCGTCAGCAATCAAACCGGTTTGTACGTGGGCTGTACGCGATGCAATTCAAGATTGTCGTGAAGCGGCTGGGGGACATGGCTACCTACGAGGTATTATGTCGAATTGTCGATGCTAAATTTAGATTATGGTTTATGTTTCAAACACATATAAATTTTGGTTTATTTAGTTGCCGGTTTTGGTGACCTCAGAGACGACAACGATCCCAATCTAACATATGAAGGAGAAAATAATGTGCTGTTACAACAAGCAAGCAATTGGCTGCTTTCATGCCGAAAAAATGGCTATGCCCATTTCGCTGAAGCATCGCCATTGAAATCAGCACAATTTTTGAGCACGTTCGATAAGGTGATTAAGCTGAAATGCGGTTGGACCACTACACAAGAGGCACTTAATTCCCAGAGTAAGTATTCTCTTTTCTGCGGCGAGTTAAAAATAAACACAATATTTGTAGTGTCATCTGAGAGATAAGACAATGTCATCAATAACACTAATTCAAAACATTTTTTTTTCTTCGATTAAATTCGTTTCAGATATGTTGATTGCATTGGATTGGCTCGTCGCATGGCTGCTGGAAAAAACCTATCAACACTCATTAGAATTGCAAAAAAGCGGAAAAAGCGCATTTAACGTACGAAATAACATCCAGGTATTCCACGCACAAACACTTTCAATCGTTTATGGACAGGTGAGTCAATTTCGATGACGTTTCTCAAAACCACATCCATTTGGGAATTTTTATTATCAAAATAATTTAAATTAATCGCCATTATTTCCTCTCTTTCACCTTCATTTCTTCAATATTGACTATAAACTTTGTGCTGGATATAGAGAGCGATCTTCAGTGTATTTTCGGACTTTGTGTCAAAATTGGAAAACACACCGGAACGTGCTGTTCTCGAAAGAGTAACGTCAATGTATGGCGCTAATTTATTGTTACGACACATAGGCCTGTTTTACGAGGTGAGAATCATTGAACAAAAAAACATTTTAAGAGAAACAAAACGGCAAAGCCAGAACAAACAAATCGAAATAAGAGTTTAAGGCGTTTCTCTTCCATTGAAATGGATTTATTTATATTTCTGTAAATATTGACAATTGAATTATCTGTCGAATTTCCTCTTTTCATTCCAGGGTGGATTCATCTCATCCGCTCGACCTGTGGAATTGCTGAAAACTGGAATTATCGAATTGTTACCGCTGTTGAAAGATGATGCAATACCGTTGGTCGATGTGATTGCTCCAAGTGATTTTATACTGAACTCTCCGCTTGGCATGAGCGATGGTCAAGTGTACAAGCATTTACAATCGGTTCTATGGCAAACTCCCTCCACATTTGAGCGTCCAAAGTGGTGGAAGCTAGTGACTCATTGGAAAGAGAAAGAAAATTCGAAATTATAAACCAACTATCAAGGATATACAAGAAATGGTGCTATTTTTTGTCATAAAGCGTGAAATTATATAAAATGGTTGTGTGGTTTTTTTTATATGTTTCAATATCAACTGGTGATGTAGTCCGTAAGAAAAGAACTTTTTTAAACGTTTTTTTTTAAATATATTTTTTATTGTTCGGTAAAATGGTACAAAAATAAACGGTTTTATTTCTAAACTTCCAAAAAAAATATGATTGATATTTCAATTTTTAATATCACTTTAACTTAAAGGAAATATACGTGTATTGTGGCATGTAATTGTATCTGCCTAAATAAATACAACTCTTGATGGAACCTATTCAATATCTCATGCATCAAGCTTAGGAATGTTGGGAAGTGTCTGGGATTTTATGTTTGGAATTCTACAAAATGTTCTATTAATCAAAATTTCAATCACTCAAAAATCAAAATGAACACACAAGCACACATTAAATTCACTGAGCTCTTTCGAATTAAGCTTACTTATTCCAGTAAAAAAAAGTTATATATATCCATACAATACGTAAACGTATGATTAATTTACAAATATTAATTAATTTCACCACTAAATGACTAACGATAAAAACCTACATCATTTGAGCACACACAATGATTAAATAATGTTCCAACTTAAGATTGCTAGACACTTTTTTTTACTTCGATGCACAATAAACTAAAATGGAATAATTAGTTGTGGACTCGGTGTTTGTTTTAGAACAGTATATTCACATTGACTAAAGCACTAGTCATCGTCAGCAGAAAGAAAATAACATTTAAAACTGAACTACGGTGGCAAATGAAAAAAAAAACGAACAAACAAATAAAAGAAGCACTAAAGTGACATAGCGAATTTCTAGCTGGACTATTCCCTTGCACAAAAAGTATTTTACAATTTTTTTTTTACTGTATTTACAAACGAAAGTGTATGCATAGTATACATATAGAAGAGGAATAAAACCTGAACAAGCACCAGTTCAGCGTGCGACTGCGTTCGTAAACTGAACGCAATTGTGGTCGGTTGCCCATTTTATTTGCTGGATTGAATTTCCGCTTCCGTTGTATTAAAAAGTTATTGAAATCCGACTTAAAATGGTAAATTGATAGCGTAAATGTGTGTGTGTGTGTGCATGCGTGCATGTAACCTCTTGCTATTTATTCTCTCACTCGTTATTTTGTGCCTTTGATTGACTTTTTCAGGCCATACGAATTGATAGCCTTGTACTCACGATCACATTGACGCAACATATCATACCATTGATCACCGTTGACGCGTGGAATTTCCGATGTGCCACCGTAGGTTGGTGGCAAACATTTTGGTGTAATGTGTTTGTGCAACGATGCCTGATCCGAACCGTGGAATATAATACGATTACGAAGTTTCTCTCGTAAGAATGGCTTGAACAGTGCAAATACCACGTTGAAGATTTTCGGTTGATTCACAATGTGAATGCCCTTGATACGCATCGGAACGGAGTCTTGCAGCCAATCAACGATACGTTTTGCGAATGACGGCGTAAATTGCCAGGTCTGTTGCAACGATAAACCGTCCATGTCAAATATCACTACGGCTCCATGAACTTGAGTCTCCGGTTCTAAGGTGGCTGCTTCCAAGAAGATTACACATCCCTTGAATACTTCGTCCAGTGAAACTTCTTTGTGCTTCCAACGCTCTGTGAATAATAGGAAGGAGAGGGACACATTAAAAATATTCTACAGTCAATTGATTGATCGTTGAAAATGAAATAAGTGATAAAAATGAAGCAAATACGAAAATTAATAACAATCATAGAATACTCAAATACTTTTTTGGGCATAAATACTCACTTCCGAGCTCCAATAACAAAATCCGGCGACCCAATTGGTCACGAGTCGGGACAACTACCAAAATGTTCTGTTGGAAAATATTCGCCTCGTTTGATGGCAACAAATCTTCGTAGATGTCCTTATGCTTCTCTTTGAATTGATAGTAGTTTCTTATCTGAATAATAAAAAGAATGAGTCAGTGTTTTTGTTCGTTCATTCGATTATTATAAAATATCGCAAAAAAAAACGCAGAATTTCGTCTATCAAAGCAATTCATTGATTTGTTTTTATGTTTGAAAAACAAGAGATTTGAATTTCTAGCCTTGAACTTATGAATTTGATCATTAAAAATTCAAATCAAGTGCATAATCGCAAAATAACATTGAATTGCGCTGAATTCAACGAAGAAGAGAAACAAATGAATAAACTAAAGTATTGAACTCACCAGTTTTCGTGCGCTGTCTGGATAAAATTTGCATGGGCGCAAAAACCGTATGATCCAATCATCATTCTCAATGGGAATGTACAAATCGGTATCCTCTGCAAGTTAAAAAAATGGAACCAAATGATATTTTATTTCAAGCGTAAAACTGATTTCATCAATAATACACATTAGTAGTCAATTGTAAAGTATCAGTTATTATCTTACTTTGCAACAAATCTCTCAATTCTTCTATGGCCTTTTTCTTATTTTCGGGCGTTTCGCGCAATTCTTTTGCCGCTACTTCACGACCGAACGGTGTTAGCGAATCCAATTCAAAGCGAAGACTATCTTTCTCGGTCAATTGGATTGACGGAAGTTCACCTAGATCCGACAGCATTTTGAATCTGCACAAGAGAAAATAAACCGAAAGATCAATTAGTCAACAATAAATTTACGCTCACAAATTGGTTGAATCGAAATATAAATTTGGCATAAGAAAAACAAAAAAGTCAAATGGGTCGAAACAATCGGACAAATAATAAATATTTATCTTTTCGAAATGTTATCAGAAGTGTCCAATGAAAACAAAAATAAAAAGCAAACAAATAAACCAACACAATTTTATCTAAAGTCCAAAGTGTATGGTGGTCATTCACTATCGAAACTCTTTACATTAATTATATCGTCAATTTATCGACAACGACACACAAAGCCCATTATTATCGTGTGCTGTGTGCCATGCACGCGGATATGAATTGTGCTCAGAGGAGGAAATCAGAGTCTGTTTTTTGTTGTTGTTTCCGCTAAAAAAAATTTATAGAATTTTTTCTCTCTATTCGTAAAATAAATAATTATGTTATTGTGATGAATTCTAATGAAACGCGCAAGTGTAAAGCTAATAATATAATTATGAGTGTGTGTGTGCGTGCACCAGCAATCTGTTTGCATTTGGTCGAACGGTTCCGATAGACATAAAGAAGTTTGACTCAATGTGAACCACTTTGTATGTATTTTGATATGGGTATTAATTAATTAGTGTTAACAGAAAAAAAAAATTATTTGCAGTCCCTTGACATCAATGAACGGTTAAAATGGCATTACACATTCGACCGAAACTGTGAAATGTTCGCACCGAAGCGCATTTTATTACAATGTTGTAATGGCCAATCAAAACAATTATTTGCCAGACAGTTTATATCGTCTTTGTGACCCGGCTGTTTACTTCGGCGCGGTGTAAATTTTTATAGTGAATATAAATAGCAAATCGATTGGGGAATACACGAAAAATGCAATAATTTATCGTAGAAATTGAACACGTTTTTATTGCTGGCCTCCCGTTAACCGCCTATCTGTGCACTCTCTCTGGCCATTGATATATGTATTAATAAATAACAGTTGAATACGGTATTTATATAATTTGTTCACACATTCTTTAAGGCTTAAATTCACACAATTGAAGCGACAACATGGTGTTCAAAGGCTCAAATTATTATATAAAATATTCGGCAGTTTGGCTAATCGTTTATTTATTCTGAAGAAATATTTCGAAATGATCAATCAGCGGCAAAAACCCGAGAAACCCTCGGAATTATGTCAAAATTAACCCGCATTTCCCACTGAGATCGAATAAACATTCAGTCAGACTGTGATTACTCAATCAGAATCATTGACACACTCATACGCAACAATGTTTACAGGAAAAAAAAATAATAGTTCTATCTTTCAGTGACTCAAGCGCAACTAATTCATTCAAACGAATTATTCGATAAAATAAAAATTCGTTGCTATAATTAATTGCTGTAGTTTAAATGGATATACGACCAGTTTCGGTGGATCGCATAATTCGCGCGCAATGTGATTTTTTCGTTTCAATACATCACTAGTCACCAGCCAACGAAACCGATCTTCGGACCCGATTGACCTTTAACGACTGTATGTTTGAACCAGAAATTCAGTTGGTCGGTCGCTTGGTCAGAAACAAAATTTTATTATTGAATTGAAACCGACAGAAAGAATGACCAAATGCAAACATCAGAACGCAATAAAAGCTAGAATTTGTTCGTCAATCAGATTGCTCGTGTACAAGAATTTCACAATGTTTTTATTCGATGTCTGATCGTCACATTTATTTTTAATATCTAAATTGTTTGTTTTTTTTTGTCCGAATATGGAATAAAAATCAAGTTACGAACGTTTTTGATATGCTTCTTTTCTCGACTCACTGTTCGATCGATCGAACCAATATATTCAACAAATCACACAATTTCTGCTTGACGTGTTGTTGTTGTGTGGCTTTTTATTTTATCTTTACACCAAGTGTTGTGTCTGTTTTTCGGTGAGAGAGCGCGATCGTAGTACAACGAGCTGATGTACAACACTCCTTAATCATGAATCAAGCAATACTGATGGCAAATGAACAGTTCATCGGTTTTATGAACGCTACGATTTTGTGTTTGCGGTCGAAGTGAGTCGTTGTCGTGTATTTTGCAATGTTTTTTTTTTCGATCTCGCATCATATCCACCAACGTAGTTCACGTATGTATAGCATATGCATGGGTATGGCTGTGCGGGCGCTGTAACTGGTCGCGTTTGTGTTGTCAACACACACATGCACTTGATATACATGTGTGTTGATTTATCGTCGTTTCAGTTTCGTAGTGTGTATATGGTCAAAACGTGTGCTTACTCAATGTTGTTTCGATTTGGCTTTTTGACGCCTGTTGAATGTATCTCTCGGCTATCTACTCTACGGCTACTCGCCAGTTGTATATCTCTCTATATTGAAAAACTGGCAATGTATTGGTTTTCTTCGAGTCATTTGTTGTTGTCATCGTCGTTGTCGTTTGTTTAGGTTTTTTTCCTCCTTTTTTTTTGATTCTTTTCCCCCAAAACAAAAATATCAATGATGATGACCATTGTGGTTCGCGCAACCGCAGTAAAATTCATCTCTCTTTCGCATCCAAACACGTTCCACTGAATCATGTGTTCTGCGCGCAGAAGAACATTTTGGCTATGAACCAAGGTCGACGACGTTCAAAAGCGAGGATAAGCCGTTAGACACACGATCAAAAGACATTCTGAATCTTTTGATTCTCGATTACGAAACCACTGAATATAAAATCAAGCCACGTGTTGATTGAGGTAAAGATTGGTGGTTTTTTTTTGTTTATCAAGTTGAGAGAAAATTAGCTCATTTACGAAATATGAAGTGAATGCTAGATCAAACAAGAACAAAAATATGGGAATTTTCGTCCGTTTCGTTCATAAATTCGATATTACTGGTCGGTTGATTTTTGCTGGAATCGGATTCAACAATGTCAAGCAAATTAACGGTAAAGAAAGGAAAACAAAAAGTTTAACTTGAGCGAAAGTCAATTTCATTGCGTCCGTCATTTCACATATATATGGTCATTAGGGTGTGCATTGTTGAAATACAAGCTACAGAATATGAATCACGGAACACAAAGCAACAGTGTGTGTTGGCTGTTGTTTTTGTTGTTGCATTAGATAATAATAAATAATGAATTATCGACGCTAATTATTCGTGACAAAATGTTGGACATTTCAAAATTGACAATTTATAATTAAATTTCCACTGCTGACCATGATTTCCATTGTTCCGATGGCGAACGAATAATCATTAACAAAATGTTGTTTACATTTTTGCATGCAAAAAAGGTCGCATGTTTGCAACTAGGGGGAAAGAACTGAGTAAATGAAAATATAAATATTTTAAATAATCGCATATTCTACCGAGTTTGGATCAATACGCGTCAATTCGTGTCAATGCGGTAAATAACTAGCTGCGAATGCATGCAAATATGGTCAATAAAATGTGCGTATTTGCAACTGTCATTCCTGCTCGCCACGAACGAGACAAAGCAACAGAAGAAAACAACAACAATAACACTACGGAATGCAGTGCAAATGCCTGTGAATATTTGTCAATACGTGTCAATGAAGTAAATATACCAATAGTTCTTTCCCCCTAGGTTTGCAATTTCCTTCGAAAATCATCTGATTCTTTACAACCGAGTCCAAATGTTCGGACTTGAGACCGTGCACCACAGAGAAACGTACACGATACATCACATCACGAAAATATTCCATTCACACCGGCGTAAACTTTAATTGGTTGTTGTTCTCTTACTCATTAACGCATGTAATGAATAACCGCGTAGCGATAGCTGACCCTTTTTGACATTGCACTTTACCGCAATTTTCGTTAACAGCCGAAAAAAAGGCAGCAACAAAAATGATATTTATTCGACGGTGGCCTGTAATTCAATGTGAAATATTTCGTTATTGTTCACATTACTGTTGCATTGTGCTACACCTCAGAATGTCACAGACCCAGTCAATGCTTTATTACTTTGGCCTTCAACTCGTATGATCGAAATCGGTACGCATTTCAACATTGACAAGACATCGTTTCATCAGATGTTTTTTCTTTATGCAATTGCTCCCTCGGCAAATATGCAGGAGGTGCTAATATGGATTTTTGGTTTTTTCCTCTTTCTCATCGAAAGACGCATTTACACCGATCGAATTCACAATTTAGATGGACCATACAGAAAATACTGAAAATATTTTATGGCGTTGAGACATTCGTTTTTCTTCTTCTCGTAAGCAAAGTCTTTACGGTTGACAAATAAACGACGTATATCCAGCCTTTTTGTTTTCTTTAAATGAATTTCTAACGTAATATTGACGTTGGTCAGAACCAGTTATTGCTATTATGACGTTCTTTTGGCACAACTTAACGAAAAAAAGAAGAAGAAGAAGAAGAGACAAACCATCTTCTAACACGTCGCACACAATGGATATGGAAACAAGTTCCCGTTCTCAATGATCGCGTTGTCGACGAATATGGCATTTGATACAACCACGTGAAATAACATCGGATGGAAAAATATTTAAATTTAGAATTCAAAAATCAAACCAGATATATTTCAACTTTAGACTCAACTGAATTAAAACTCAATTTTTTTTAGTGCCACTCTGCGTTGTGTGTCATTTACTTACAATTCTTTTATATCAAAAATAGCATCAAATTTGTATAGTTTTAAGGCCGCTGAATATTCCATGTTGAACAGAATATTGAAAAAATAATTTTGAACTTTGAACAAGAACTATCTGACTGAACCGAAACTCTTGGGCTGTAATTACGGAATGAAAATGTATGTTGGCACAACGGTGCTATGAATGCACTTGACTCTTGACGCTACCTACACCACTGTATTTATAAACTTGCGATTTGGCTGAATTTTTTTCTTAATTCTTTTCGTATTGTTTATTCCAAGTTGCAAAAGTGCGAACACTTAGAATCAATACGATTTGCAATGGTGTGCATTGCAAAGAACAACATCAAAAATAATAACAATTGGCTCAGAAAACCAATGACGGTCGTAACATTTTATGTGACAACAGCACAATGACCATTCTTGTTGTTGTTGTTGTTGTTTTTCTGACAGTTTTATTTTGAATATAAACCGATAACCTCGTGTTGCTTCATTGCTCTAAGTATGTTTTGGTTCTTGACTCGTTGTAATTTGACCATTTCGCTCTGTTGTGTTGTTTATTTCGTACCCACAATTTTTGCTGTCATTCACGCTTTTTTTTTCATTATATTTGACAAGTCAGTTATTATCTCGCCGAAGACCATTTGTTTTATGGGCAAAATCACCATTCGTCTGTCATTATGTTGAATGTGTATCTGTTTAATTCTCAAGACCCGTGTTTCAATTGTATGTCTCATGACATGTGTTTGAATTTAATTCATTCATAGTAAATCGTAACGAGATCGTACACCGTTTCGTCATCGTTGGTTGCATGACCGTGGAAATGCGCAATTAACATTGCTGGCAAATTATAGCAGACTATCCACTCGATAATTACATAATTCAACGGCTTATTTTTAGAATGGTTAGATTCGATGCTAATTAGAAATCGTGCTTCATTTACTGATCCTGATTATCCGAATTCCAGCAAATCAATTTCGATTAAATTTCAAATTCCGATGAATGATTGAATTCGATTCCGAAATGCAGCCGTGTTTCGGGAAACACAAGCAGCTGAATTCAATCGCATCAAATTTATAGGAAGGGGAAACTAATAGAATGAAAAAATATTGAGTGAAAAAAAAATTATGGTGTTGACCTTCGACGTACGACGAGCGCGCAAACATAAAGAATACATCTAATGCGTTGGATTTGAATTTAGCTGGGGCACGAAACAATGCGAATACACGAACTATAGTTATAGTTAGGTATGCCACAGATGCTAACATCAAATTCATTTCCACCAGGCAATCATCAGGTATAATCATTTTACGCTGTTCCGTACCGCACAAGTGGTCAACACCAGAACAACAGGCAATAGCACACGCGAACCACTTTATTGTGTAGGAAACAGAAAAAAAAGGAAAAGAAAATCAGCATGTGAAGAAGGAATCAACATTTGTTACGAAGAAAAGCAAACTTGTTTCGGTTCTGACTTTGCATTATTCCGTGTCATTTTTTCATCAGTTTCTCTCTCTCTCTCTCTCTCTCTCTCTCTCTCTCTCTCTTCTCTCTTTATAACCGGTGCTCATTTATTACTCGTATGCAATATACTTTTGCTCCACATACTTCTAATGGATATTCGATTTTGAAGGCTGATATGAATTACCGAGGAAAAAATCAACATGATGTAATAATGAGGCTATCGTTCGATATGACATTGTTTTTCTTTTCCTTCAAACTTATTTTTTTCTATTAATTTCGATAAGAATTTTATGGTTGTTGGAATTTATTGCGATTCACATTGAAACTGTTTCTCAATTGATCGATGAGACAGTTAACTGTCCACTTGTTTACTTAATTCACTTATATTTTGAAATCTATTTTTCCCACTTGTTCAATTTCTAGCACCAAATTTGAACATATTTTCTAATCGAAATCATATTGAAAATGGGTTACTGCAAAATGGGTTACCATCAAGTGTTTCGAAGTAAATGTGTCAAGATCCAAAAGTCCGTTTTTTCAAGTTACTCGCTATTTTTGGAGGATTTTTTTGTTGTAATAAAAAAGGTTACTTCATAATGAAAAACTATTACTTTAAGGTGATTTTCAGATCTTGAAATATGAATGAGTTCAAATGACGGCAATGCAACCGTTTATGTGAGCCAAAGTAAACGGTGTTGAGACTGAAGTTCAGATAAATCATGTAAAGTAGTAAACGCTTGGCTTTAAACAAATTATCAACGGCTTTTGAATGAATTCGTTTTACCTTGACACGTATGAGCGCCATGTACATTGGCTACATTTGAATTGGCTTTTTTCCACAGTTCAAAAGGCTTGGTGCATCGACTTTTAAATGGTTATTGGCTCATCTTGCTTAGTGATAGCCGTAAAATCTAGGCATATGAAGAGCAAATGGATAATAATGGGACGACATTTTACAGCGTAATTCTTGTTTGCGTGAGTATGTTGCGTACTTTTTCTACTTGAATCATTAAATGAATCTGCGTCAATTCAATGATAGGTAAGAAGCCATAATCGGCTCTGTGGATGGAAGGAATAAAGAGATAGTCGTCGCTAAGAGAAATAGGCACCATAAGTACTATGGAAATGAGAATGTAAAAAAAACCAATGATATTAAAAAAAAAAATAGCCGACATAAGTAAATTTCCTTATCCCGAGTACATTTCCTTTAGTCTATCGGTTGATTAGCTTTCAGAGATAGAAAATTCGGTGTTATTTGTTGTTTGATTTATCAAAATCCAGTATAGGCGACACAAATCTAGGCACACATTATTGTTGCCATTCAAGAGATTACAACAAATTAGTGATGATCTTTAGTTGTGTACATGATCTTTGACTCTGTCGATTGTCCATAACGCCCCTTTTGGTAAATGTATTCGAGCCAAAATACCAAATGACGATATGAACATGAAATTGAAGTGAATTTAAAAATGGCTCATTAAAATCAGTGACAGTAATTATCAGAATCAGTCATTGTGTTGAAATTTTCCAACGCTTCGCTAGTAATAATTACGGACAAATTGTTATTATCAATTAATGGAAGAGAATCTATGCAATGGGAGCTGATTACAGTCAATATTATTATCGAGTGGCCGAACTAACGTCATTCAAGTGACTGATATCTGTACAAAACAATATTCTAGCTGATAAAATGAAAGCAAATGTTTTCATTTGTTTTTCTCGTTATTATACAAAAATGTGAGTGTGTCTCCAAAGTATGTGCAGTGATGTTTGTCGTCGTCGTCGTCTTCGTCGTTATTAAAGAACATGTACATATCGCTATCGCATTACATAAAACTTCACTCTCGAAATGATGAAATGTGCTGCACTCATAAACCGCAATGACTGTTTGTTGTCTAAATCAGCTTGAGTAAACAATCCACCATATGAAATGGCGTTCTTATTCCCATGTCAATGCGGATTCAATTGAGAAGTAGGCACATACACGCTGCACACAGAAAAAGAAACCGTCTGCGATTGCCAAATACCGTGATATTATGCAAAATGCAACATTTTTCCGTTCGGTATATGATTGAATATTGCACAATGGAAGTGGTGGCTCGGATTGGTGTGCACCATACATATGTATCGTATGCGTCGGATCGCTTTAAGCGAATGCAATTAAAAAGCTACACACCAAGCAAATGGAAGCAAAATACTACTCACTGCGTATTTGTAAATGTGAACGAAACGATGATTCTCGCAAAAGCGACTCTCTAGCAAACCCAATGAACAAAAGCGAAACAAGAACAGAAAAAAAAGAAACCTTCGCGTTATTAATCGCGTCTACTACGTTTGGTAGTTCGATTTAAACTGTATTAGTCGAAAACTCGGCATAAAATGTTTGGATCTTGGCTACGAACATGGTCGCCCAATTCGATTTTAGTTCTTCGGGTCGTGTGTTGCCTCTTTAATGCTGGGCACAGCACACGTAACACCAATTTTAAAATCAAACCTGTTAAAACGCTGTTAAATAGACTCTTTTTCTCCCGTCTATCGTTTTTGTCGCTCCGTGATATTTATTATTGTTGTGTTGTTCAACAAATTTAATTACGTTTTTACAAGTTGTTTGAGAAAATTTTTTTTGTTTTTGACTAAATTCATAGCGCGCATCTCCGTTGTAATTATTATTCCAATCGAAAATTGTGGTTTTATTTTTAGCGATTTAATTAACGATTGTATGTTTGGGTTTCGTTTGTTTCAAATCACGATTTCACGCGATATAAAATCCGATTAATTGGAGAGAAAAAAAAACGCTATCAAATCAGCCATTAATTGGTGAACTCTTTCTCCCAAGTGATTACTTAGTATATTAAATTATATGTTATTTCGCAATATTGTTGGTTGAAAATTGCTTTCGTGCACGTTGTACTTTTCTCTGTCTCTCTGTTGTTCTGATGTAAAACCAAACCGGTTCCTGAGAAGCAACTACTGAATACGGTTAGCTAATAGACTTGGACAGATCATATCGATACGTTCAATACCTATTTTGTTGAGACATTTGCGCGGCTGTCGATGGAAGACTCGTTCATGCGCATCACCATTAACAAGAAGTTTGAGATAAATTGAATGAAATCCGACAACTTGCGAGGCATCGACACCGACATAAAGTGCCCAAGTATACGTAAACTCCGATGACTAATCACATGAATCAATCATTCAGTCGCAAATGTACACGTATCGAGACGTAGTTATAAGTACACGTCACATCGACAAACAATCGGAATTCAATTGCTTCGATGTGAATGCACTCGCTAAAGAATGACAATGTTTGCACGTACAAACAATCGATATATTTTCATCTGTTGTGATTGGATTGGCTTTTTCTTCAAGCTTGAACTTGAATTTCTTTTTTTCAAACGAGGTGTGAGAAAGAGAAAAAAAACTCGCTTTCATTTGTGAATAATAAAATGTCTTTTTATTTTTCACCTTGAGTCCGTTACTCTTAGTCTAATTTTGTTGCATTTAATTACACAATAAATATAAGCTAATTGGTGACAAAGAATAGAAAATGTTCGGTGTGTGTATGTTTTTGTTGGTAAAAAATTAAGTCGGTCTTTGCTTTCTATCAATAGGATCTAGATATAAGAACTAGATAGAAAAAAGTGAAATCTAACAGTTCCTAACAAAGTGCCACTCAGATCAGGCAACAATATCATAATTTCAGTAGAGTATCATGTCTGTGATACGAAATATCAAGTGTTGAGCATTTTTTTTGTTGTTGAATAGGTATAGCAATTGACTGCTGAATGAAAATTCGCTAATAGAGTATTTTTTATAAATTGACAAAGAAGAACTAAAGGTAAAACTCAGTGAACGAACAAATCTATCGATGCTTATATACGATCGAATGGCTTCTACACTATCAATGACCGCGTGTTTTGATGCAATTGTAAATGTCATTAATCGCTTTTTGTGAAATCATACAAAAACATAAAATGAGATCGTCTTGTTGTTTTTTCACTATTTTTTTGGTCGAATTTTTTCGTAAAAGAATTTTTGCTCCAAATTTTGACCCTGTACTTTAATTTTGTTCTGCAATTTGTAGTTGAAGTGGAATTGCTGCAATGCAAATTCATAGAATTCGTGCTCCAACCGCCATACTTCGGTCTTTTTTATTGCAGCTATCGTCTCCGGACTCGGATCGATCTTTGATGTCGTCTGACGCAGATGCGATTTACTCGAGTTTAGATATTGATTCATTGATCCTTTGAATATTCTGTGGGTGATTTAGTTTAAAGAAATATTTGTAATTGCAACAAAAATATTCAAAAAACGAAACCAAAAATAAAGAAAAAGTTGAATTATTGGTAAAAATGTCTTGAAAATTGGATTTGAAATTTTTAGCATATCTTGACTATTAAAAAATTCAATTTGTAATATAAATAGAATTCTTAAGACTCTATTCGAAGAAAATGGAGTTAAGATATACGAACCTTGGCAACGATAACTCTAATAGATATATGAAATCTTCCATTTCTTCTGTTACTCCAACTAAAAAGTAATGATTCACTAAGTTATACTTGGCTTGCTCTAACGCCCATTCGCTACCCGGTCGCCTGTAAATTGGAACAAAAATCGGAATTTATATTCCAAGAACTTGAATCATTTGAAGATAAACGCATGAAAGTGACAATTAATATACAAACCAGCACTCAGCCGCATGACCACAAAAGAATGGCACTTGCAGCCACATATATTTTACATCGCAATCCGGTTGCTTTCGTTTTATACACTCATCTAATGTCTGCACATGATGAAACAAATTAAAAATGTTAGAGTTTTCGAAAAAAAATCACGATTTTCTCTTTTGAATCGTTCCAAATGAGATTCTAAGTTAAATTTTTGCACCAATTGTTGTTGAGAAATTGGTAAATTTGATGAAACAAATCACCACCTAGTGAGTTGCACTTACCATTTTATCGCCCGCTTTTCGTCGCACCAAATTCGGCCTGTAGTTGTCTCCATATCGCAAAAAATAGTAATATGATACTAAACGGTCTATTGGTCTTCTTATCAAATTTATATAAATTGGTTTCTGTGGGATTTGGAATCTAAGAAAGAAAAAAATTCTTGAATCAATCAAAAAGATAAAAATGTAGAAGAGACAGAAATATGCATCATCATTATTATTTGCAAGAAATATTTCAAAATTTAAATGAAAAATGAAATAAAAAAAAAGGAATTAAAAACTTCCAATGAAAGCAAAGCTTAAAAAAGTTAATCACCGCAGACGAAAACAATAGATCATTAATTTGAATATTTAATCATATGGATACAAAGGTCGCTTGCGAGTTCTTCTATGATTCACTCATCGCATACTATGAAGAGTCGCATTCAATTCTCGGACATTTTTGTCATGACGCTGAAGATTCTACAATTGCTTATTGTCACGTTCCAGATGTTATGCGATAAAATGGCCTGTGGGTTTCTGGTGAAATACTTGTTAAAAACCAATTAAATTCAAATGCGTGTATTTTGTCGTTGCTTTTGCCTTCAATTTCATTGCACATTGAGAATACATGATATATGAACTTATCCAGGAGACGAAAACAATAGGTTGTTTTGAGAATAGTATCTTGAATCCGCTTTCGAGCCATATTTGATATTAGTAAGTGTGTTCATAGTTGATTTCACTACTTTCAGTTGCCCAATGATGCTGTACAGTACAATGGTCAGATGGATGGATGTTTATTTACTTTTTGCATTGTAAATAAGTAAACAAAATGCGACAATGTACAACAAAATGGGCATGTTGAACTTGAGTTCAGTCACGTACGGAGAGCAGAAATACGATTTTAATTGCTGTTGCATAGAAATTGAAACCGATTTGCTTGGCAAATATTTTGAAATCGTAGAAGCGGAAAATCCGGTGAGCTCTGTACTACATCCAAAGTACAGAAAGAAAGAGAATTTGTTTTAACACGCTGATTGAACATCTTTCGACCAAAATTTTTTCTTTGCCAGATTTCCGTCGTAAAACCTTAATGAATATCGACTTTCTCACTTTGGTTCGAACATTTCCGCTGAACACTTGAACCATTCACTGTTTGCTCGTTGAATCTAAAAATAAATACTTACTTTGAAAAGTCCAGATAAGCCATATGGCCGTGATACAGCGCTGGTTTCATTTCACTCCAAGCGCTTATGTTACGCGCAAAGCTAAGCTAAAAGTGTAAAATGCAAATATTTTTCGTATCAATATATTTATCAATACCCAGAGACACATAGAAAGACAACATTGAAGATGAAACGATTTCTGCTTACTTGGTTATTGAGTGATAAGACATGCATATTGGCGGTGATGTTAATGTGCAGTACATAGAAGTGATTTTTCTTGCACAAATCATAAGCTAAATTAATGAAACTGGTGGAGCCCGTTTTCGGGACACGATTGTAAATAACAATTAAATTATCATCGAATGAGTTAGTTTCGTGTGATTTGAGTGCAGCTGCTTCAGCGTGGTTGTACGCGGCATATTCGGTTGTTTCTAAAAGACAAAAAATTCCAATCGAGAAGGTCAATTGATTTAGCCTCAAATCGAATTGCCATCGTGCTGAATGTGGTTTATTTGGAAATATCGATAAATTACTTACTCGCTTCCCAATAGAATTTTTCCATTCGAATGAAATAGGACCAGACGCAAAGCAGCGAAAAGGCACCACTAGCTGCACAAAACACCAACAACACCTTCCTCCTGGAAACCATCTTTTTTACACACTGTATTCACATTAAAATTGCTTGGATTTATTTATTTTGTTTGTATTTAAATTCTGATATGATTAGCGATTAAATTTTCGTATAACTTTTAATTTTGACTGAATGGACTACATTTTCTGATGGCACATAGTGATTTCTCCAATCGATTTGAGAGATAGAGAATGACGAAAAAAAAATTGTTGAATTTGTTACAAACAAAAACAATGATTGAATAACTGCGAAGGTATTTTTGTATGCATGCCTCGGGTATGGCATGTCACACACTAACCGAACTGTCAATGCTTTCCAGTGGAAAACGTCAAAACAAACAAAACTGATCCGATGGATTCAACACGCTGTTTGAAACGATGGAAATGCGATAGAAAAAATGATCTGATTTTTGAAATTGATGGAAGAAATAAAAATAATCGAATGGAAAAGATAAATTTTAGTAGAAAAAAAAACAAAAAAAAAATCTATTCCGAATAATTTTTACCGCTATGCATTTCTGTGGCATCTGGCCCCACTGACTAATCCAAACTAGACCACTAAACTTCAACTCGAACTCGCTTTCAGTTTCACAACACAAATTCGACATTGAGTTTCCAGAAGCTTTCTATCCGCGAAATACAGAATAATAGAAATTGTTTTCAGTTTTCGTACGTATACTCACGACTAGGCGATAAAATCTGGGCATTTTTTTTTCATCGACTGATGTCAAAGTTCGCAATCGTAGCATTGATGATGGGTTGTTGATTCATCTATATCAAATCGTTCGATTAGATTGTGAGTCACACATAATTTGTGAAAAGTGTTTTTTGTTGGGAGAAGAAAAAAACAAGCAAATTGAAAGACAGACACGAAAAAGAAGAAGTGGATCAACAAAGTATTTTGTGTGCGAAGCGCAAGCTGTCAAAAAAAAGTAGTACGGTATTGAGTCGCAGTAAATATTTCGACCGAAATAAGGTGTTTTCACTTTGTGTGTGGTGAAGACAAAATTCAATTATCATTGCGTTTGTGATTTGGTGAAATGAGCAAGCACATGTATTCGACAGCAAATTTAAGTGACGTTGAGCTGAAAGACCAGGGCAATCGGTTATTTTCATCGCGAAAATTTGACGATGCAATCAGCTGTTACAGCAAAGCAATCGTAAGTGATTCACTCATTAGGCATACAAATACGTGTTGTAAATCGTGTTAATTTCGATTCTTTTTTTTTGCGCTGAAACATCACAATTTTTCCATTCAATATCAAGGCAAATATGTAGGTAATTAGTCGAATTACCGAAATTTTGTAGGTTAAAAGGGCCATAATATGTATGAATAATATATATATTTCACAGCCACTAATTGAATTAAATGGTTTTCTCTGTTGTCTAAATCCATATTTTGTTTCGTCGAGATTTATTTTCGAGACTTTTCGTCTCCACATTTTCAAAGATTCCGACAATTTTTTATGGCTATGAATTATTACAAACTTCCTGATACAACAATGTTAATGTGATTATCGATTTTTTTGTATTATAGATAAAGAACCCATCCAATGCGACGTACTTCACTAATCGAGCGCTATGCTATTTGAAGCTCAAGAAATGGGAACAATCATGCCTGGATTGTCGTCGTGCTTTAGATATGGATCAGAATTTGGTGAAAGGTCACTTCTTCTTAGGTCAAAGCTTGTTAGAATTAGAATACTACGATGAAGCAATCAAACATTTACAAAGAGGTATGATATGCATGTTTGAATGAATATTAAAATAAACAACGATAATGACTTGCTTTTGCTATTGTTGTTGTTGTGGTATTCATAACCAAAACAACTTTCAACAATAAAATTCGACATTTGTTTTCTCCTTTTCGAATAATATTTTCTTTATTTTAACCAATTTCAATCTTTTGATATATAAATTCTGATTCTTTCCCATATGTAACATTAGCCTGTGATTTGGCGAAGGAGCAAAAGCGAAACTTTGGCGATGATATTGCATTGCAGTTGCGTTCTGCACGAAAAAAACGTTGGAATGTTCAGGAAGAGCGTCGAATATGCCAAGAAATCCAGCTGCAATCATATTTAAACAAATTGATTCAGGAAGATATGGAGAATCGATTGGCCAAGCTCAAAAACGATGACACGAAGAACGAAGAGGCTATCAAGGAGGAGTCCGTTGAAATCGAACAAGAATGCGTAAGATAGACACCACAATCAATTTGATATTGAATTGAACTAAATTCTCATGAGATCGAAACATTGAATCCAATGCACGTTTCATTTCGCCATTTCAGGAAAACAACATGACTGAATTGAACAATGTATTCGCAAAAATCGATGATCGACGTCGAGTAAGTAAAATGAAATGCCAATTAGTCGACGGAGTGTTGATTGAGGTGTGTTGTGTACACAACAAATGACTTGGCACCTATTTTGATATTGGTGACGAAATATGTTTATCTTGTAAACATGCGTTTACTGCTCCCAAACAGCAAGAAGCAAAGAGAGTTATTTTCGCGACTCGTGGGCGCCAACTGTTTTATATATAGCACATGCTACATATGGTACAATCAACATTCTATCACATTCGGTTCATTCAACTCAAATATACGTTGCGATGCTAGATAATGAAAATACAAATTCCGCAATAACATTATTTCATTTATTCATTTCGTTTACAGAAACGTGAAGTACCGGACTATCTTTGTGGCAAAATTAGTTTCGAAATTCTAGCTGATCCTGTAATAACGCCATCAGGCATCACATACGAACGAAAGGATATTGAAGAGCATCTACAACGTGTCGGTCATTTTGATCCGGTCACACGGGTTAAACTCACACAAGATCAATTGATACCAAATTTCTCGATGAAAGAGGTTGTCGATGCCTTCCTAACTGAAAACGAATGGGCTCATGATTATTGAAAAGAGAATGCTACCACACTATTTTTTTAAAGAGAAAAAAAGAAAATTCAATATGATAGAATTTTTTTTGTAATGACCGAGTGCTCTGTGATGGCGAAGGTGTGAAATGTAATTGGTGTACATATGTACATACTTTGGTTGTGGCTTCAAACATCATCATAATGGTTATAATACTTTTTTTCCGTTTCCAATGTGTACTCTCTTTCTCGTTTTATAAATAGAATTGTGTGCACTAGTTTATCCAATTCTCAAGCCTAATATTAATGTTCCAGTTTAAACTCAACCAACAAATTTATTCTCAATTTCTTTTATCACATTCGATTCGATATGAATGCGATGATTCTAGAAGTCGATCACTATTTTTCTGTTCTGGGCAACTCGGGCATGCGATTTGAGAAAAAAATGGTTAAAAAGGTTTTACGACAAATCAATGTTATTTAAATACCTGAACTCTAATGATTACAATTTATTTACATACAAATAGAAAAGATGATAAATGGAATTTAAGTTTTTCAATGAATTTCGCTCCTTTGTTCACAACAATTGAACCCACTTTGATTTATTGTATTAAAAATAAATAAATCAAGTAAAACGTGTATCAATTTTGATGGTTTCATTCATTTTCCAGCACATTTTTTCCCTTTAGCAAGATTATTCTTTGGACCAGGCTTAATATTTCAATTTACAGGAAACAAAACAATGTATGCAAAAAAAAAATGTGTTTTCCCAAGTGTCTAACAAAATTATCTCAACGAAAATAAGTCATGGAATGGATTAAATTTCATTGAAGCAAACATGGAAACGGATACTTTTCTTCTAATATCAAATACAGAACGTTATTACTATTTGAATTTTGTGCCGCAAGATTATTTGAGGCTGTGAGAATGAAAATGGAAATACAGGAATAATCATTCTGGAACGCATCAAGAAAAAAAATTCGCAAAAATGAATCATGACTTCTGAATATGCAAAAGTGAAACATGAATTTACATGGGCAGCATAGGAGGTTCATGGTTCACTTTTGCGTATTCAGAACTCATGATTCACTTTTGCGAATTTTTTTTTCTTGATGCGCTTCAGAATGTTTATTCCTGTATTGCCATTTTCATTCTCACAGCCTCATTTCTAACTTCCCATTGAGCTGTCGAATTGTTGCAGCTTAGCTGACAGAAATGAAACGTTTCCATCTTAGGGTAAAATTATGTCAAACGTCTAATTGTCACCTCTTTTAGTTTTGAACTCAACCGAAAGTTGTTTTGCACTTATTTCCACTCGATAAACTCTGTTGTGATCAAATAACACTGCCAAAAATATTTCGCTCAATTGAAATACATGAATCGAACGTGTTCTTCAGTGAAGACTTTTCAGTATAACTTTTGAAGAATAAGTCAAGCAACCCTGTTAGACTTCCAAAAATGAACCAAAAAATTTGGTGAATAGTTAGAACCAAGAGATTTTGGAAAGATCGTAGACTCACTTTTCAATAGACTAAGAATACAGACGGAATTTTTCAGCGGCACATGTAATTTCTTTATTAAAAATGATTTTGAATAAGTTAATGGGTAATGGCATGTGAAACAAACATATTACATCATCGTATTTCGAACTAAATCTATGACTATATGGATTTTAAATAATTTCTTAATGACCATTAAATCTAACATCAAATACTGGTTTTTCTGACAAATGACAAGATTCTTAAACATAATGAATGAATGTGCATGAATCCATTCATAAAACATTCGCAAAGAATCTTAATACTTGTGTTTGCAGAAAAAAATTCGAAATAACTACTTCCCCCTCGCATTCATTCACTATTACTTTACATCATGTTTCCGCGATATTCATTTACAAACAGATTATTATTCGTCGGTTAAGAACAATATGTTTACATAACAGAGGAAAATTGTATAATTGAGAAAAAAATATCGTTTTTTTTTGTCTGTTGTTGTCTGATTGAGAAAAACGCGCAACGTTGAAATTCTTCGAAAGGCGTTTGAACCGATGTAAAAACAGTGGCGGATGCGTGTGAGTGGTTAGATATTTCAACATTTTTGCTAATAATTACGGAGGATTTTGTGTTCGTGCTAGAGTCTCTTTGTCAGCAACCATTTGCCAAATGACTGTTTGATTTTATGAACAATGAGAAAAAAAAACTCTTTTTTTTTCCATAAATAAAATGTTAAATAATATTTTCCTTTTGGAATTTCTATGTTTTCAATTGAAATACAATCGCTATAAGTCTGCGTTAACACTTTTGAATGCAATCAATGATTTCAAATCAATTAGATTTTAAGCCGCTGAAATAATATATTAATTGCAAGGGCCAATATTGCTGCGTCGATCACTTTGGTTTACCGTTTTTTCCCTCTTCATTTTCCATCCCGAGTTCATATCGTAATTATTAGATTTAATAAAAGGTTTGAATTGCAATTACTTTTGTTGCATCATACGCGCAAGAGAGGCGCATACGCCTGCAGATGAAAACCATTTAAAAAAAACCATACAAGAATGCAACCGCAAAAGCGCGATGATTGTTAAGTCATTGAGGTTCAATCCATTAGCTTTTAAATGTGTGCTCTCTCTCTTTCTCTCTCTCTCTCTCTCTCTCTCTCTCTCTCTCTCTCTCTCTCTCTCTCTCTCTCTCATTTGACGTTCGTGATGTGAGAGCACGTCGCTGGTTATAATTGTGGTAGTACTTATCACCTTGCCGATTGCTTCTTTGATGGGCTTCACTCGCAGAATGCTCATATTCGTTGTCAATCATCAAAATAAAAAATTGGGCAATGAAACGATAATTTATACTCATAATTTTACTCAACTCATCGCGTCTTTGGTTGGGACACAAATCCTCATCGTTAAGCAAAACACAAAAAACAAAAACATATCCAATTAAAAAGGTCATAAATCTCTTTTATCGTTTGAAGAAATAGCATGGAATCGGCTCAATATCTTTTGCCCGCCGCAAAATTTACTTTCAAACATTTAAATTCCAATTGCTCATTACACCATAAATTATTGTTGTAATAAATACATGCGAATATTTGCGATGTTCGTAAATTACACGTTAGTAATGAAAAAAAAAAACACTTGACCACTTGTAACTCACTCGTGATGGTGGTGCTGCTGACGAGGCATTTTCACATAGTTCGCCGTGTTGCACATTATTCGAAATGAAAAAAAAAACACTCACTTAAACAATTTCTTGATTTTTTTTTTGTTTTTTCTGTAATATTTCTGTGTGTAAGGCACCACCACACTCTTCAGGTCATGATATTGCTTCCCGGTGTGATGAAATAGTTTAGATTAAACTCATCTCCAAAGAGGCCATCATCGTCGTTGTCAGCGCTTGTATTCATATTGATGCCCAATTCAATCGGTTCCATATCACTTGCAGCAAAGTATTCGCTGCAAAAATCATTATTATTGTTACGTGATGACCGTAGACCACACTCGTGAACGATTTGATCCTTTGGTACTGGGTTCAAGTAGTCGGGGAAATCTAAACAATAATGAACACACATAAACCATCATTAAAATGTATTTAAATATGGAAATTTTCACATTATGAACATACCAAGTATTGTTTGATCTTGGAAATTAAATGTATTTGGATTGAGCACTTGAACTTCAACGGTTCGCTTCACACCGTTAAGTATTTCGCCAGCACTTTTCTTCAGATCATCCTCGCGATTCTGGCTACTATTGGCATGCATCGTCTTTTGGTATTGAACGTCAATCTTCAATAAAATGTACATTAGCTTTTAATGGACCTAATTTTGAATGATCTATTTTTTTTTTTTATTAAGTATGAGGTATCTATTTTTTTACCATTCCTCCCGGCGTCTTTGGACGCTCTAATATCGTCGTCAAATTGGCAACAGCAGCTGATGTTTCGTCATATGTTTGTGGCACTTGTTCATTGTTTGTCTCTTCGGTTTGGCCAAATGTCTTTTCCATTTTGAAGAACAGTTCCAGTCTTTGCTTTTTCTAGATTCGATTTTGATTGGATGATTGACAAATACACATTTAATTGGACATAAATATGTGTAATTTTTATGAAATTGATATGAATTTGATGATGATTTAGCACATACATGTTCCCAGGCAAGCAAATTAGCCTCCGAATCACGCGTTGAGATGATCCATAAGTGACCAGCGCCCTGCGGAGCTTTGTTGCCCTTTCGAAAATGCGGATTTATTGACAAATTATGCCGCACCGAATTTTTCCAACGGTCATCATTCGATTTATAGAATGGAAAACGGTCTCTGTGTGAAGAAAAGAGAGGAAGACACATTTTTATCACTACAATTTGTATGAAAATTAGAAATATTTCCAGATTTCATCGAAAATAATATGAAATACGATACATTTTACATAGGAAATGATTATGTAAACAAAAAACTGAAAAAAAAGAAATCTAGGAGGAACACATAGAATGGATGTATCGACGCAAAACGGTATTACAACACGAAACACATGCAAAGAGAAGTGGGATTGGTTTTCATTGAGGTGGTGACCAATGAATCTTCATTTGCCATGCGCGTAAATATATCATAATTCAAATTGGTGGAAAAACTATTCATATTGATGAAGAAATAAAATGGCGTATCGAATTGATAGGGGGACACAGCTTTTGGTTAGCCTTTCTTTCTCTCTATCGCTCTATCTCATCAAACAAGAATGTATTAAGCTAAGCTTATTCTTGGTGAAAATGATTAATTTGCGGTAAATTTTTTTGTTGATATCAAGTTCTAAATTTAGCATCAGATCATAAGTATCTTGCTTGACATTCAAGATTATTCACTATATCAACTTTCTTGAACCCAGCAAAAACTTCATTCATAAAAATCCAGTCATAAATAACCGGTCTATAACATTTTCAGATGTTCGTTTCGGTTGAATGATTCGAATTAGAATTTAAGCACCAGCTTGATTGTCCAAAGCTAAAGAAATCGCCTTAAAATTTGCCTAATTTTTAACTGAGCACAAAGGAGGGTGACAACCCAATAAAAATATTGTTTATTTTGATAGAGAGAGAGAAAAAAATACGTGATGAAAATTATCCGATGGCAATAAAAAAAACCACCCTCACGATTAACCCTAAGGTCATAAATGCTCAACGACAAACGCCAATCGATGTTAATTTGTTACCGTTTTTCTGAAATATTTCACGATTGTTTTTCATTTCGTTTTGTCTTCTTCTGATCGTTCTCCCTTTCGCTATTCTAGCGTGTTATTGCTCATGAAATGGATATAATAATTTGCTGATCATCGAAATTGTTCACATATCCGTGACCGTTTTTTTTTTTATTGAGGGAGCAATTTGCCACGTGACAGCATTTTGATATGTTTAAATGCACCTTTTACACGGTTCGCTGCATTTTTTGCGTATGGTACATGGATGGTTTGTGTGTGAACTTTTTGAACCTGCACCAGATCTAAAAGTTTCTCATTTTTTTCATCGTTCATATCGAGGTCGTGGAATGCCAAGAGGCTCAAATTGAACCGATCAATAAACTTAAATTGATCGAAAATAGAAAATGCATTTCCAATATAAATTTTGTACACTATGAAGTTTCAATGCCTTGAGGAGACATTCGGAATACAAATAATGTGAGTACTTTACTCTACAAAATGATAGTGTCTTGAATCTATTCCACTAAAATGAATGCATTTCCTTGAAATTGAAATTTAGTTCTAAAACTAGTGAGCACAGAAAAAAAACCACCTGAGATTCAAATCAAATAAATTGATTTTCGATGGGAGGTGAATTCGTGCTTGCGACATTTATAATAAACGAAATCATCGGTTCGGTTTGAGTGCATTTCGTTGAAGAAAAAAAACCGGGAATATTGCTCCGAAATTAAGGGACGCGTTGCATAGTCAAATGTGCAGGAAGTAGTTTATTAGCAATAAATTTTCCATCAAAATACGTCGTTTATGTTTTTCCATGAATTGAAAGGAAATTTTTTTTGACAAATTCACCTGCGACTGACAACAATAGTCGTAAATAACAACAGCAATAATAGAATCATAATTGTATGACGTCTTTCATTGATCTCATTCAGTCGAACAAGTGAAACTATACAACAAAAGCGTCGCATTTTGCCTGTATTTTTCCATTGTGCCGTTTAGGCCTCGCATGGAATCAAGTCAAAGTTATTGAAACACGCTATGCCATAATCGAAATATCGTAATGAGCGTATTTTAAATGCTCAATGCTGGTGCACACGATTCGTCGAATTCAGAAAATTTCTATTCGTCATAAATATTTGTGTGTGTTTTGGTTGTGTGAATAACACACGATTTGATGAGCCGTGCGTCACAGCAAAAGAAAATTTGTTGGATTTTGCATTTAGCAGAGCGAGGACGTGTGCGTGTATACATAACAACGAGACGTTCCACTAGACATTCAATTCTCGAATTTGAAACCGAAAAAAACAAGGAACGACAGAGACAGAAAACGCTTCGGAGGTGTAGTGAACGCTGAACGGCAGGCTGGCAGGCAAACGAATGAAAGAAAAAAGATGAAGAAGTTTATGAATTTTCTGTCGAATGAAGAAAATTTATATACACATGATAAATGAACCGTGTTTCCGAGCACCGTTCCTTGCCGTGACTGGTACCGGTGTTATCGATTTTTGATTTCGCTTTTGCCATTGGTCTGCGGTTATTTTATACGGTTTTTCTCTCTCTATCACTCATGGTTTTCCATCCAATTTGGATGACTCTCCTTCTCTCTCTCTCTCTCTCTCTCTCACTGCATTACAAAATGCGACGCAATACAATTTGTTCACGGTGTCCTTTCTTTTGTAGAAATGCGGAGGATTTTTTTCGCTTCTTTTATTTGCTTATCTGGTAAATTGGCTGTGGAATATTGTATACAATGAACTTTTTTTTCAAATTATATTCCATTTTGAATGTTTTCTTCACAATTTTTCATGGCTTTTATACCAATGTTCTTTAGGCATAGTTGGCTTTTTTTCATCCATCATTTTCTTTTTCCTCAGACGGCATTGTTAAATGTTTTTTTATGGACAGAAAAATAACTGACAGAATTATAAAATACATCTGTCTCTTGTTCCAAAAAGAAAATTAAGTACTCACGATATCCAATTGTAAATTCCTGATACAGTTAATTCGCCTTTATCTTCCAGGGCGTATTCAATTAGCTCCGTGTATGTAAATGGTGGCTTTTTTGGTCTAAATCCATAAGATTAATGAAAAATTTTAATTTTTTCGCCCTTGAGAAATCGAAAAAAAATCAAATGCATTCTTCGGATTGGCTACTTACAAACTAGCTGGATTGTCAACGGTGTTCGCATCAGTGTTGGACGGTTCGATTTCACATGAGGTCGCTTCTTGAATCAATTTGTCAACTTGTAACCCAGTTTCGGTGCGTGATCGATTCACTTCGGGTGAAAGATGCGGCAATTCGTTCAATTTATAATTATATAACCATGACAGATTCTTGTCTTCCGAATCGTCGTGAATGGCTGCTGTTGATGACCACAAAAAAGCACGGCAAATTAGGAAAAAATATTTTATCACATTTTTCACATTTCTATCAAAATTCAATCAATTTCGATTTGATTTGTTTTTTCGATGAGAATAAAAGAATGAGTGAAATTCGATTTCTGATAAATTTTTTTTCACATTCTTTGATTGCTACACGACTCAAACTATCAACGATTTATGTAAATTCGATGTAGAAATTAGAAGAAAAAGAAAAAAAATCGCTTCGATCCTCTAGAAATTTCCCGACGTTCACATTATGAAGTTCGCACTTTGCAAGTCGGTTGGCTGACTGATCGAAACTCTCAACGAAGCGACTAGAAAAACCTTGAACACATGGTAACCAAGAAGCAAGATTTTTCAATAATAATTCGAAATGCAATAACAATAACAAAAAAAAAAACAACAGAGAAATAAAACCGAGCAAAAATATTCGCTTCCACAGGAATGTGTGGAAAGTTTTGCGTTTTTTAAAAGAGAGAAATGATCCTGTTACCATGTTAACGTTAAAACAAACTTTTATTTTAACCAAATAACAAAGGAATGCCTTTCGAATACACTCTTTCTCTGCCGAGCAGAGAGGATATATATAGTGTTCGTTTATAAAAATAATTGAACGCCTCAATGAGCATTTTTACTACACTTTATTTGGATTGTGCCTTGACTTCGGTCGGCAAAGCTGATGTTGTTTGTTTATTTGGAATGTGTACGGTATAGTTTTTGAAAGTTTCAAATCAATTTTGATCAGATTAGCACCAAATCAAAAGTAAGACACTATAATAGCTTGAAAAGTGATAGTTTGAAATTCTGTCCAAATTCTATTGACCAATCATAAGTATTTCAATCAGATAGCGTTCGAAAAAAATCCAATCGAATTGTAAAAAAGCAGTAATTCAATCAAAAATATTTGATCGAAATCAAAAAAATTTCAATTCTAGACCAAAAAGAAATTCAACGTCAAGACTCTTACGTAAATTAGATGTAGATTGGTCCATTCCATTTTCTGTGTCTGGGTAGACATTTTGTACGATTTCATATTCGGTAACGTTGTGAATGTGATTGTTTGCTATTTGTTCGGCAAGTTGAAGATTTGTTTGTGTCTCATTATGGGTCATTTGTTGGTGATGCTGCTGCTGTTGTTGTTGCTGTATATGAATTGATGTGTCTTGTTCGTTCTGCTGTGACAATTGTCCACCGTTCAAATGATTGAGATGAACGGTGTTTGTGTTGCTTGTTTCATAGTAATAATGTCTTTGATCTAGATCCAAAATATCAGCATTGCCCCAATTCGGTTCGAAATTTATGTAATTTGTTTCCGTAGCCACCGGCGCTTGAATGCTCGTCAGCAAATCGTCTTCGTACAAAATATTCACATATTCAATATTTTCACTGATTTCCATTGTGCTGAGCATTTGTGCCGCCGACGACGATTGGCAATTCACTGAACCATCATCGTTCGCATCGTTTGGTTGTTCTTGCCCATTCGTTGTAGTCGATATGATATACTGATGATGCGGTTGGAAATTGTCATAATCATACGAATTCATGCTCTTTTTTGCGATAACACTCTTGTCACCCGAGTAACTTGTGTACGAATTTGATTCACTGTACGGCCACTTTCGCTTTTGTGCCTCATGATGACCGTTAAAATCGGCAGAACTCTCTTGATTTTTCATGCTTTCAATTTTTTAATTGTCACTAAACACCAAATTATCCAATTATATTCGCTAATTTGGAGTCCAAAACTCTTTTCGCACAAAAGTCGTCAATTGTAAATCCAGAAATGGAAACTCTGAGAGTCTTCGATGATCTCTTTACAAATCATAAATCCACGAAAAAGATCACCGAAACGAAAACTCCAAAAAATTGCTTGAATTTCAGATTGAAATGGGTAAACAAAATGTTCGGCCCAATGAAAACTTCATTTCTGTCTTTTCCGCAAAACTATCTGCACCAGCCAATCGTTTACGACTCAATGTCATGAAACAAAAACTCTGACTGAAAAACATTGTTGCCGTTTGATTTCGATATGGCAATTGCATATCCTTTTCTCTACCCGAATAGTTCAGGCCCCGTGCACATACACAGGCAATTTATCCTGAGCGTGCATGAGAGACACAGTGTGTGCGAGTATTTTTCTCGTTCTATCATCGACAAAAACAAATACAAATACAAATACAAAACGGTTTTCATTCATCGTTCGAGAAAAAAAAAACTTTTCATTTAGTAAAATACATGTACGAAAGCATTCGACCGCGCTTCAACCGAAAGCAATGCGCCAAAAGCATTTCTCCACCTATTCATGCGGAAAATGTTATAGAACGTAGCAAACCAAAATACGCATATATCCATTCGGAGCAGGCCGTCTACCACATTTTCACATGGATTGACAATGAATTACTTCGATAGAACCGCCACCATACACAATACCGTATCGTCTGATAGGTATTTAAATGAAACGTATTTCTATTTTTTTTTAAATGTGTACCGTGACGACGAATTTACAAATTGCTTTTTTCTTTCCATACGTGTGTAGTTCGTGTATCATTACATCGGTTTCGCTTAGGCATACAGCGTTGTATGCTAATACTCCTTTAAATGGTTTGGAAGTTTGACGGAAAATTAGAAAATAAGCATGACTATTGGCTTGGCAGGTGTCATATCAAAGAACACACATTCACCATGCAAACATGGTTCCCCCTTTTGTTCAGTCAGTCAACACATATTTGCCAACGCCGACGACGACGATGACGATGATGACGCGTTCGCCCATTTCGATTCGTTTACATATTTAATCATTTGTGTAATTTTGTTAATTGATATATTTACCTACGATGGTGTTTATGGTCGCTGTTTATATTTGCTTATGGTTATCTGGTTTATTGAACAATACATGAGTCGCTCTGCAATGTGGGAGGCGTTTTGTCGCAATCGACGACCCCATTTCGAACTAGTACGAAGCTTCTTCGCTGGAAAACAATTCAAAGATGGAAAATATCGAGGGGCGAATCACTCTAAAGTAATTTGTAATAGAGAAAGTAATTTACGTGTGAAAATCTCGATTACTTTTGAAAAGTAATCGAGATTTTTACACGTAAATTACGTTCTCGATTACTTTCTCTATTACAAATTACTTTAGAGTGATTTGCCCCTCGGAAAATATTTGTATTTCAAATATTTTCACCATTTTTGAATCATTTCATCACAGATGTCTATCTATGCACATCATAGTCTTATCATAAAATGACTTCTCGGTTCTAGAATCTAGATCGATTGCGCGATCGATGGTGATGCGCGTTCCGAATGATGAAATACATGGTCTAAAACCAGTCTGAAATTCCTGTGAATAGCATCAGTTCTCAATAAACTTAATAGTCTCGAAAAAAAAAAATGAATGTCGATTGCTGCATTTGCCAGGGCAAAAGAATTTTTATGTGTAGACTCGATGGGGTTTTTCTCCTCTTCTTCTCTCAATCGACGTTCGAGAATAACATGGCATTCCATTCGATAACAGTTCGCCTCTGCGCTGCATATTTGTTACTAATAATGCGACGGCTATAAAACAAGGTTTATGAGAATGATGACTTGCATCAGATGTGACAACGCTTACATACACACGTTTCCATTCGATGGACCATTGACATATCTTTCTCTGTTGCGCGCGCACACTCATAACGCTCCACGTTGAGATGCTGAAGAATGCTTTTCAACGAACATGGAATGCATTCTTTTTGGGGGCCTCAATGAACGCGTACCGTCGCTTGCATATCAAGCGACACACAGAAAGACTTCACCAAAGACGGAAACCTGTTTTTTTTCCTTCCAATACAACAATCCCCACACAATCATATCGCTCTGTCTCTGTCTCTGTCTTTCGCTTTGTGGCTGCAGTTGCGACGACTTCAATGCAGACGTTAGTTGTTGTTGTCGTTTTTTTTCCACGATTTGCATAAAATTCGAGGTTTCTGAAATGAAAATCTACAATTATGATATTCTAATATGTTTGGTGCTGTTGTTTTTTTATGTGGCAAAAGTAACACCGCGCCAACCCATCTATGAATGCAAAACCAAACGTAAACACTGTATTTTTCTAAAATGAATGCACACACAATGCATAATGCGATGAACAAGAAGTGGAATAGACGAAGAGAGAGAGAGAGAGAGAGAGAGAGAGAGAGAGAGAGAGAGAGAGAGGGGGAGAGAGATAAAAAGCAACGAAGACAACGACAAATAAGTAGTAAGAAGGTACGGCAAACGCGAAACCGCATCGTTGCGGCACGCCATCAGATCGAGGCGAGTGAAGGTATCGTGTGCATACCGCATGTCACACGACAAATTGAATACCGTTAAGAAAAGAAATCTCGAAAGAAGATGGAATAAACAAACCACACGTACAATCTCTTATGGATATGTTGCCGTTACCGATGCCGCGTCGCGAACTCACGTTACCACACACAAACACGACTACCACACATTCCGATGATATAGCTCAAGCCGCCGTTCGCGTCGTTGTTTGGCCAAATAAACAAAACAACTTACCGCCATTCAGTATGTATGAGTGTTGATTTTTTTTTTATGCTTCTACCTCTTACATACCAGCGTCGCTAACGCGTTCGACAGCCCGCATTGCTTGGCACGCCGTTGTGGACGGCTTTCTGCCTGAAATCCAATTGGATTTTTAGTTCGTGCAAACACTTCGATGCGGGCAGAGATAGATAACTTTGGCCGTTTCGCTGAATGAGTTTTTGGTTTTCTTTTCTTTGCAATCGTTTTTTTTGTGGTTTTTCGTTTCCATTCAATTTTTCTCTTTGTTTTTGCATTCCACAATCGACATGTTGACCAAGTGATTTCGTTATCGTGCACATTGCGGTACTGAATTTTAAACAGTAACGAAAAAGTTTTTAATTTCGGTGTGCTTTTTGGAGTTTGGAGTTAGCGTAACTTTGATGTGATTGAATCGCGCTTGAATTTCATTGTTGGAATAACCTTAAGTGATACACATTTGCCGTCACCAACAAATGAGCCATTCATGACAATTGTGACACTTATAAACGTGCCAAAGATCTTACAGCACGTTTCGCTTCGATTCAGCTCCATCGAAATGATTGAAAACAGGAAATGAATGATTAAAAAAAAATTAAGACGATTACAAATTGTCGTGCGTTTAAATCTTATTTTGACAGTGGATGCAACCAGCCAGTGTTAATAAGTTCAAGTAGCTTATAGAGTATTAGTGAAGTTCCTTTGCGGAAAAATTATCAAGTGTAATTTCGCGTAATTTGTACCGCCAGCAAAACCGATTTACATAAACCTGTGAAGGAAAAGAAAAACAACATTTGCAAGATATATACACTGGATTCTGGATTATAACATAAGTGGTCATTTTCATAAACAGCCCATAAAAAATAACACTCATTTCGGATTATTGAACGTGGATTCAGTTGATATTGAATTTGGATTAATAGTTGATCATCAAGCAGCAAGTGAGTGTCGGAATTCCATTACGATTCAAGTTTGTGAGGAATGTGCAAAGAATATATGTTTTTATTGATATAGATTTAATTTTAATTAGCATCATTTTCATAAAACTCGGAGCAAAGAGAAAAAAGCGAAAAACACACAGTGTTACAACTTAACTGAGTGTTACCGTTGCAGTGTGTGTATAAAAAATCAATTTTCTCAGTGCAATTGCTGCATGGCACAAAGTAATCGCATACGAAATGTTTCTATTAAACAACAGCAAACAACACATCCGATTGTGGTGGTTAAGATGAATGGCAGAACAACACATGCCGTGTATTTGTGTGCTTGGTAAAAAAAACAATCGAATTTTGCACACTGTGTGCAAATGGGACAGTTTAATTAGTGTTATTAAACTGGTTAGAGAGACGTTGATTCGGTTTGGTGGCGTGTGCGCCAGAAGCTAAATTAAGCCAACCAGCCGAGAAAAAAAATGAATTTGTATCAAATAAAATATTTCAAAATAGCAGTCTTTGTCAGGGCAGTTCAGAGGGAGAGAGAGAAAGAGTGAACATGATTATTGATCTCGTTGAATTTTTCTGCACACCCATTTTGGTTCGAAGGCCAAACAAACCAACGCGTTTCTAAACAACCAAATCACTCGTTTGTTTCTCTGTTGCTGTTGTTTTTTTTTCTCTTTTGCTTTCTTGGTTGCAACGTATAAGGCAAAACGTGTGTGTCGTGCATATTGGATTTTGATGCGGAAAATAGATACGGTTGCTGTGCAAAAAGCGGTTGATTCTTGACAACAAATATTGGTTCAGTCCTTTAATTGGCGACCCGTTCACGGTTCAATCGTGCACACCAAGCCACATTCGAAGCAGTGTGTGACGGCAGCTGCGCCAACTCAAACCGTAATGATCACTATATACCAACAAGCGCAACAAAATTATTAAATTACTTTATTACGTTGTATGGAAAAAATAAGATAATATTGAATTGATCGAGAGATTCATGTTTCATTGAGCCCATTTTGTTTTCCATCTACAAATTGATTCTTAGAATCACTCAATGTGTTTGTATGTGTCTCCGTCTTCAAGGGGCGGCGGTTAGAGCGGCAGAAATGGTTTTTTTTAGGCAATAATAAGCATGATTTGGTGATTTGTGCGTTGAAATCAATATTTGATGTGTGTGTTTATGGTTAAATATAAAGTGAAAATGTGTACCAATAATAATAAATCGACCTACTTTTACCATTATCTGGTTGTGCACACCATTCACTCAATTCATTGAAGAACTAGCAGTCGAATCAATTTAAGAAATAAAAAAACAAAGCAGAAACAGAATATAAGTTCATGTACTGCGACTTGAAGCGGGCATGCGAGAAGTAGAAATGAAATGAAAAAAAAACAGCACAACAACAACAGCAACAGCAGCAGTAGCAGCATCGGCAGAAAAATCCACAGTACAAAACAGACCTAAAAATTGAATTGTACAGAAAGAGAGAGAGAGAGAGAGAGAGAACACGGTCGTCGAAACATACTCGCGAATGCATGTGCTATACAAACACAGAAATCATGCGCAAAGCACTTACCATTTACTTGTTCTCCGGTTTCGTGCAGATAAGTATTTATTATTGAAACGTCCGTATCACATTTATGAAATGAAGCAAGGAAATGAATACGTATGCGTTGTACTTGTGCTGTAGCAGCACAACAGCAACAGCACCAGCTACATCAGCAATAACGCTCATTCTTCTGTTTTCGTTCGCTGTTGTTGTTTTCATCTCTTGTTCTCCCTCGACTTTCCTGGCCCATGTTGTATGTTGTGCGTACGTTGTGCGCGATTTGAAAGCGTACGTTTTGGTGATTTTGGTTGCGCTTGAAAAATTTCAATATCAGTTGATTATACATAAATCTACTTATGCATGCATTGATGTAGATCAATGGTCTCTTTTTTTCTCTACTCGTCCACTCGCAAACGATTTCATTTGTGGCGTGGCGAGAGTGAGCGAGAGCAAGCACCACCACTATAATATTTAAATGGCCCGTCCCTATGCAGACTTTCAAGAGATAACTGATTGTGCAGCAGTTGGTTACTTTCTCCAGACACAGCAATCGGAATAAATTACGCCTGTTCACTCAGTGATCCATCTTCTAATTAAACATGCTCTGATATGATTTTTTTTTCGTTGAATTCGCACTCTTCTTTCGGACCAAAATGCGCGCGAAAAAGCGAAAATTCTCGCCTTGACCAAATAATAAATCGAGATGAAACGAAGAGAATGCATACGCCAAACGGAAAAAAAAGGGAAAACTCAATGCGCACGCGCACACACACATAACGGTTTTAACCTCTTCTCGATAACCGTTCCGATTCCCACGATTCTTTTCCGATCGGCGCAGACATTTCGGAGCTACACAATCGTCTTCTTCTGTTTTTCGTTTGTTCGTGCTGCACCAACTTCGATATACCAATTTTTTTGTGTGTGTGTGTTAAACAACGATATCTCAAAATTGTGGATAATTAACTCAAAACTCACACTGATTAAATCAACGAAGAATGAAAAATGTGTTGAGCTACCGCACAGTAAACAAACGGAACCGGAAAAACTATTCATTTCATGCAAAACGTTTTTTCTTCTGTCTTTCTTTCAGCGAAACACACATTAAAATACAATATACGCGCTGTTAAAAGTACATGAAACTCGAAGAAACAGAATTCTGTCTTGACTTTTTGTTACTTTCTATTCTCTGGTCGCGCGAGTATAATGGAGTTCAAAGAAAATACAACTAAGCTGTAGCTGGTGAGCCATCAGAGATGAACACATCTCATTTAATTATTTAAACAAATTTTCGAATTCGATTTTTGTTCCATTTCGTTGAGTCACTTGGCCACCGGGAAGAAACCGTTTTATTTTTCTGTTCATTCATTTGTGTGTATGTGTGCCGCGGCGGTTCTGAGATTTGTGTCAGAGTCATAAAGCGATTTACGAGCGCAATAAATACCAACAAGATATTCATATTTGGTTGTTGTTGTTGTTGGGTTTCCGACTGCGATGGAAATGAAAAGTGGCGAACACCGGAGCAAAACAAAATGTGGAAATAGACAATTGTTATCTCAAAGAATCGAGACATAATGACACGTTATCGCTTGTGCTTGAGTTCGCGTTCGCGCTCACACACGGTGCGGCCAAACATGAATGAGAAAATTGGCAAATTTATGCTCATATTCCATATGTGATGATTGCTGTTGTGTAGTTTTTGAATTCGGATTTTGCATGTTTTACAAGTGGCCTAGTCTTATGTTTGTGTCTTGGAATTACATACGTTTCTCTTTCCAACTCAAGCCCATAAAACCGTGCGCTCACACAATATGCCAAATATCATTTATTATTATAATTTTGGTCGGAATTCAACGGGCTTAAACTGGTTTTCAATGTTGCCACCGCCAGAGGAAACGATAACCGACCAGATTGCGTTTTACACACCGAGCGCTTTTGTGACATGAAACATTTTCTACCTGTTGGCCAAAAATAGAGAGAGAAAAATCGTTAAAAATCGTCGTCGTTTGATTGAAAGGCGCAACCATATTACAACAAAAATCATAGTGTTTTGTCGAATGAAAGCGCTTCGAATCGGATTGAATAAACATTTAAAAGAGTTTAATGGCATATTTCAAGTGCACATTTGTCTTACGAATAACCAATTTTTTTTTGTATGTAGAGATAAACCTGATGATTGTTCGTTTAACACGATCGTAGACACGCAAAACGGCTACATCAACCGTGCAATTCGTACGAAATATCGTTTTCGCTATAGCTCGGCATGGCTTGGTGGCGGAATGAGCGAGCACCACCGATAATTATTTCTACATTGAAACGCACGAAGAAAAGGGAAATTACATTATTTACAGATTTTCAATTCTCTTCTTCGTTCGTTGCTCGTGTTGTTCGCTGAGCGCGCGCGCGCAAACCCTCATTTTTCACCTTTTTTCTTGCACGAAGGCGCGAGAAATTTCATTTTAATAAACAGTAATAAATGCGAGCGTTTTTAGTGTAAATGTTGTTTCTTTTCTTTGCGAGAGCCATTTTTATACTGGCCCTATTTTGGTGTTCATTGGTTGAATCGTGTGCTCACTTGCTCGCACTCAAGATGTGTACTTGAAAATACTCAGTTCCGCCCACGTAAAGCGCGCAACACAAACACGAAGTTGCTACATTTCGGACATTTTACCGAAAAAAGCGCCATTTCAAGGCGAATTTCACTTTAATCGAGGTAAAATGGATCGAATACGATACCGGTTCAATATCAATACACAATGAATAACATTAAATAGTTGGCTGCAGAGCGATAATACTGAATGTATGAGGCTCTTGTGTTGATGATTATTAGATCATCTTTTAAATATGTATTTTCTATGGACTTCTTACATTTCAATTGGTAGACCGATCGGTGTTTAAGCTCACAGGCGATTGTGTATCTTGTGTATACATCGGTGTTGTCTGCATAAAGCGCAACTTAATACCGCGATATGAATGGGACAGACATGGTCGGTTCTGTGTTTCTTTTTCGTTGTAGCAAAGCATGTAAAACATTTTGTTCATCATCGTGTAGTCGCAGCGGCCAGTTTGATGAGAAGAGCAAACCGGTTTTTATGGGGCAAAATGTTTCACTTTATTTAAGATTCTTTTTATCAATTAATGATCGCTTGTTTGCACTCTCTGTGAGTCGCACACTTTCCGATTCGGTTTTTTCTTTCTTCTTTCGTTCGAAATTTTTATGCATGATTTCAAATCGATGTTGCTCATTTTGTCGCGCATCGATAAATGAATCCCCATAATTTATTGATAGGCTTTTGGTCAACCGCAGCCTCTCCTCGTGCATTCGAATCGGGCAACCTATTAAACAAGTATTAAATCGTTTATTTGATTTGTTAAGTATCATGAGTACAACTTAGTAAACCTGTTTTCGAGCTTCAATACTGAAGTGAAGAAAAAAACACACACACACCACACGTATGA